ATGCAGCATACGTAAAGCAATTATTGCATTTTAATAACAATCGAAAACACTGTTAAATACTGGATAGACACGGCACAGCTACGGTGAAGAAAGGAAATCAACATACCCAACAAAAAAAGAGCGAGCGTGTATTAGTGTACACGCGTATGAAGTGAAACTTCTTTAGAATGTATTTTACAATGGTATTTAAAAAAAAAATTGGCTTAAACTACTGCATTAACTAATTACTAAGCACCAGAAAAATACAACTTTATTTCGAGCGGACGAATGCGGAATATTGTTTTGGTTTTGTTAAAAACTTTTACGCTTGCACCACACTGCAGAGAGGAATTACAAAATAAAACAAACAGAAACGCATTTGCAATACATATGCAGTAAATCGTAGGTGCAATCTGCTGACAATTTGTCGAATTGGCAATTTTCGGATTATTGGTTGCTACCAAGGCAAGCTTCTGAAGCCTGTTAAGACGACTCCTTTTGGACTTATCCACCAGGGGTCACACATGGCGCGTTACACAGTAACGTCACAGTTTTCGGTTTTGTGCCCTAGTAAATTTCCTTCCTACAGTTGATAAAGGTAAATTTTCTTTCTATCGTCGATAAAGAAGTTTCACTTCAAAAAAGAGAAAGAAGAAAAAGAAAATTAGTGTGACTAAATTACCAGTGCTAGATGTGCAATACGACTAAAACGGTGACTATCGCGCCTTAAAGAATGCTTCAGTGGTGCTATGTCTTGATCCCACATTTGCTGAAAACACACGTTTTACATCTGGCACAAAATAACAATCACATACTATTTAAATACAAATAACCTGATTTTTATAAGAAAAACAGCAAACTTTTGAAGCAATTAAGCAAAGCACATACTTAAACTATAAAAGCAAAGATACAAACTCCTCGATTTGAAATAATTTGATAAAAACTGGTAACAATAATATTGTTTTAAGGTTTTTGAAGTTTTGTAATTCTAATCAATATAAATAAATATGCAAACATATATCTCACCACGGTCTGGAAAAATGGATGAGCAAGTGCTTCTTTAATAGTAATCCTGTGATTGGGGTCTACAACTAGTAGTTTTCTAATTAAGTCTTTTGGCGCTTCTGCAATTAAGAATTTCCAGTTGTTTAAGTTAAATTTGAAATATCAATTTACTCAAACTACAATTACCAGAAATATCAGCCCATTCAGGAGATGAAAATGAATACTTTCCTTCCATTATATTTCTCAACATGATCATTTGTTTACGATGCCAAAAGGGTGGACATCCTACCAATCTTTTATTTTAAGAAACAAATGTCATAAAAAATAAATAAATAAACAAGAAGAAGACTGTAAGTAATACATAATGTAAGTTACTTACAGGGTATACATGATTACACCACAGGCCCATCTGCAATTAAAGCATGTTCTTACTTTTACATTAAATTACTAATAGCATCTTACATATCAACTTGGAATGAATAACCGGGTGCATCTTCCATCATACTGCAACGTAATGTTTCTGGTGCCAAATAACCAGGGGTTCCACATAAATCTGTAAATCTTTTTCTTGAAAATAATTTCTCTTTTGCAAACATTACAATGCCAAGATAATATAGGTAGAAGGCAAATTAACTTACCATATAAAACTTCACCTGGATCGAGTTTTCTTGCAAAGCCAAAATCCGTTATCTTAACATTCAAATTGTCATCTAGCAATATGTTTTCAGGTTTCAAGTCTCTGTGAACAATTCCTCTACTATGAATATATTCGACACCCTCAAAAACTTGTCTCATTATGTAGCGAGTTTTCTTCTCCGATAAGTTCACAACTGTTGTGAGATAATCAAACAACTCCCCATTTTTGCACAGTTCAAATACCAGGAATATAAATGTGTTTGATTCAAAAACGTCCTGCAATTCAACTGAAAAACTGTGTAATGCTGATAAAAAAAAAAATTGAGTTGTTTTACTTATGTAAGGGTGCCCCGCAACATGTCGTAAAATAAATATTTCTTGTCTGACGGCTTGTTCACCTGAATCAGGGTCGGTGCTGAGGTCGATTATTTTTGCTGCAAACTCTTTACCTGTTTCTTTTTCAATGCATCTTCTTACAGTACAACTGATGCCCCTTTTTAATTTATTCAGGTAAGTTATGTTAAGATATTAAAAGCTGACTGGATTTCATGTTGAACGTGCTACTTACTTGCCTAAAATTTCCTTAGGTTCGTACTTGGCATAGAATTCTTTAGCGACGTCCTTATCTGGAAGTTTGTCATCTTCTTCTTCTTTAGCCATTTTCCAGTTACCTCTGTTAAAATTACATAAATGATAACTAGTTAAGCAAATTTTTCCGCAGTAATAACCTGCTAACAATTTGTAAACGTGAAACGGAAAAAGAACTAAAAAATACAGAGATTGATACGCAGCATGGAAACGCAATCGAAATGGCAATATTGTTTACTTACGTCTGATTGCGTCTGATTCATAGATTTCTCCATAGATAATAGATATGCAATAATACTTGCGACCCTGTCAACTACGTTTTATTAGAGTGCCAGATAGTAATAATAATAAGAGATAAAATGTCATTTGAAGGTCATTTGGCGAACATAAGATATAACAACTCACATTCACTAATATTTTTATAGGAGGCTAAATGGTGTCACCATTTTAAGCTAAATACACCTGACCTGAGAAAACCTGACCTTAAACTGAGATCGACCTGACTTGACCTGGCCTGACCTGATTTGATATGTATTAACCTGACCTTGACTTGACTTGACCTGACCTGACAAGGCGTGTCCTGACCTAACGCAACACCAATTAACGCGACCCGAATCCGACCTCACCAGATCAGACCCGACCTCACCTGGCCTGACCTAAACTAACCTAACCTTAACTGACTTGACACGGCCTGACCCAATCTGACTTGACACGGCCTGACCCTACCTGACCTAACCCAACGGAACCTGAAATGACCCGACTTCGTCTGGCCCGACCTGACCCAAATTAACCAGACGGAACATGAATTAATCCGACCTGTCTCGTCCCAATACGACCTGACCTAATCCGACCCTTCCTAACCTTAACTAGATACCATCTAACCTTACCCTACCTGAAATGACCCGACGTCACCTGACCGGACTTCATTTAACCGAGACCTACCTGACTGAATCAGACCTGACTTGACCTGACTCGACACAACAAGGCCAAACCGACCCGTCCCAATACGACCTGACCTGACCTAACTCCACCCGACCGACCTGATCTGAACTGACCCGAGCTGACCTGACCCGACCCGAAATAGCCCGACCTTACCTCACTACCTGACCCGACTTGACCTGACCAAGCCGGACACGAAAGGACCCGACCTGGCCGGAGATGACCTGACCCAACTTAAAATGACACAACTTGACCTGACCCGTCCTGACCGAGCCCGACCTTACCTGTCCCAACTTAAACTGATCTGACCCGACCTAACCTAACCCGACTTGGCCTGACGACCCCACTCCTACATCTACTACTACTACACCCCAAAAACATAACGTTTATCACTTACCAGGTACATGAATCCTGATGATCCGTTTCGGACAAAACAGTCTCCTGACACCGGACACAACTCACTCATTACCGGGTACTGCAATCCCAGACCGTAACATGGATTATGGCGCCGAATGTCAGACACATCAGCTGCTGAATACCTTCCAACAACGGACAAGGGGCGGCAACACCTACAAGACGCACAACCTTTCACATCCGTAAGATTCCATCTATTTATCCACCACTTATTGGACGCATAACGCCAAACACCGCTCATCTGAAACAAACCACGGTGTATCAAACACCGTACAACTGATACCGAATCCACGACACGAGATGTCGCACCCATGGTACCACACCGCGAACGTTGGACGATTCCAAAAATCCAACGTTTTACACCTCATTCAACATTCAACATTCAACTCACCGAACGTGGACACCGCACTCCCTCTTTCCGGCCACAGGACACTCAACACCCATCGAACACCACAGTACATCATATGACGGTTTTCAGACACAGCTGAACAGACAACGGACGGTAGGATGTTGCGCGATACGTGGCGTGAGTGGAGCATGTAATAAGTGACATCTACTGTGAATGTGCCGTGTGGCGTTTAGGGTATGAGATTTGGGTGTGGGATATAATGTGATGTGAGGCTTACATACAGATGAACAGAAAAATAAATACACAATGTAGCATTATTAAGCAAAAACAAAAACATCTTACAACCACAAGACTTGGTGTACAATTGTTAATGGAAATGTACTTCTTATGTATTTAAAAATAACAAAAATACTAATGTAAAATGTACTCAGAATTATTAACTCATCTTCCCTGGAAAAATAATATGCATCTTAACATACATGCTTAAAGTAGCATTATTAAGCAAAAACAAAAACATCTTACAACCACAAAACTTAATGTGCAATTGTTGAAGAAAATGTACTTCTTATGTATTTAAAAATAACAAAAATACTAATGTAAAATGTACTCACTATGAATTATTAACTCATCTTCCCTATTAAAACAGCATGCATCTTAAAGTAATTATGAACCTATTTCACAATTTATATCAATAAAAAATATTATGGCCTCTACTCCCACAATTATTGACTGCAAATTCGTTCTAGGTTAATGGTAAACAGCAAACAACAAAGTCCAGACAGTCCTACACCACAGCAGTCTATTAAGTCAATTACCTGCAAATAATCAAAAAGAAAAATAAATTAAATTTGTTATTAAATAAATAACATGAAATAAATACGAAAACACACCAAAAACCAAGTGAAATGCCGAAATTAAACCAAGTATTACATCCACTATAAAAAACACAATCAACTGTCAAAATATCAAAATCAAATAACCGTAGATGAAAGTTAACCTCAATTTATGCTATGAAGAAATTGGATGCGTTCCATAAAGAGGGTTACTATACATGAAAGGAAAAATTACAGACAAAGCAAAATATACTCTTGTCAAAGAAAATAAACATGTTGCATTTTTAAAAATTAAGAGGGTAATATAACTTCAAATGAACTCACTATCACATATGATCAGTTTAGCCTCCTTAGTAACATTACGTGCATACCATATTAAAGTAATTATCAACCTTCTTCTCTGTTCATTAAGTGATTTAAATGAATGTTACTTTTTATTAATTAATAGTGGTTACCAATTACTTAAACACCTTACTAATAATACAGTGCTCGTTTCTTATAAAAAGCAGGTTAACCTTACCGGACTTTGTACTGGTTAAGTTTATACTAGTGTTGTTAATAAGAACTCCCTTCTATCACCACAGGAAGATGGTTAAGAGTTGCTTTAAGACATCATAGTCACTTTATGGTTATATAGACAAACAAAAAAAAGATCACTTATTTGAGAATTAGATGTTAACACAATCACAGACACGATCCTCAGATATTGCACTGCCAATTTACTGCAAATTCGTTCTAGGTTAATCGTAACCAGCAAACAACCAAGTCGAGGGAGTCCTGCACCACAGCACACTATTAAGTCAATTATCTGCAAATGATCGACAAGAACAACAGATTGACTATGTTATTAAATATATAACATGAAATAAATAACAAAAACGCACCAAGAACAAAGCGAAATACCAAAATTAACCCAAGTATTACAATTAGGACGAATGGGACGAACCATCAACTCCGAAAAACTAATAAATAGTAAATTGTTAAACCATAGATAATAGTTGTTAAACCGTCAAAAGATACAATCACAGATAAGATCACATATGTAAGATAACGTCAATTTATGGGTGCGTTCCATGAGGCTTACGTGCAGATGAAAGAAAAACTTAGCAAATACATAACGTAAACAAACATGTTGCATAGTCAAATATTAAACATTTAATTAAATGTCAAACGTACGTACATATTTAATATGAAATATTCTCAATTTTTACTCACTACACACTAGTGTGTATTCTCAATTTTTACTCGCTACACACTAGTGTGTAGTGGGTATAAATTTAGAATATTTCATATTAAAACTAACTCACTTCGGGAAGATTTCTACATTGTATGTGTACGTACATATCGTTAATTCAGCCTAAGTTCAAAGTAAGGTGCATAGCACTTTTAAGTCGTTATCATCCTTTTAGTTGTTTTTTAGATCATAGTTAATATGATCGCCTCTGTCTCGTCATAATTAATTGCAAAATTTGCCTGGGTGAATAATCCCCTTGTGTTTAATATTAATTATTAATTCAAGTGAGCCATTACTTAAAATTGAAAATTATTGTTTTCCGTCTGTCATTGCATCTCTGTATAGTGGTCGCAAAGTTAATAGAATTTATTTAACTAACTCCAAATCGCGAAGCAATTACTAAAATGGAAAACAGAATGCCCATTATTAAGTTTAGCATGATTACTGTGGAAACAGACTAAATAATTATATGCATCGGCATTACATAGTTTCTACTATTTATACTACATACTACTATATTCCATAAACCACAAACAAACCTGCAAGTACAACACAACATAAATGTGAATAAATAAAAATATAAATTCAAATTATTCAAGTCAAATTGGCGACCTTTAATTCATTCAGATCGATATACAGTAGATCATAGATGTAATGTTCAAATACACGTATACTCCACTTTAAAAATTGCTCTAAAAATTTTCATCAAATGGAGGCGTTTTAAGATATAATTAATTAACCTAAATTGAGCGTGTCTTTTGGAGAAAACAATGCAGCCGTGCCGTTTTAATAGTAAAGCGGCTGTTTAATTTGAAGTATGCAACCCAACATACATACCAGCATAGTGTTAAAGCTGGTACAGCTGCAGTTCTTTATTCGTTCAGTTTGTAAAAACAAATGTGGGTATATGTCTTTATTTTGTTAAACTTACAAATAAAAAAAGACCAATAATAATTTAATGTCATTTGTCCATCCTTAACTAACTCTATGTACAACAGTTACACAAATTCGATTGATATTCGTTCTATTTTCAGGATTATCTTTTTATCTGTATGTATGTTTTCTTTGTATGACTTTTTACAACAAAAAAAATTCCACAACTTTTCGTTTCAAGTCTTTGATTGTCAAATACAATTATCAAACAGATTTAGATTTTTCTTGGCTAAAGCGACCTCGGTCCTAACCCATTGCTACACTAGTCATTTTTATTATTTACTAAAGGAAGCTAGCACTGACCTTCGGCATCGAAGCAGCAATCTTCTCAATTTGGGTACTTTTTACTAACTCTGCTTGTTAATGTACAATTTTACAAGCAACAATCTTAAAAGACAATACATCTATCTCACGACGTCATCACCGGCAAAGACGAAGAAAATTAAATCAATGCATTTATTCCTTTCTATGGCTAACTAGACGATCTAGGAGTGATGGATGGAGAAGATGTCATTACCACAACCGGTTTAACGACGTATTGGGCATTCACTAACGGTAAAACCTGCAAAGTGTCACATGTGTATATGTAGTACGTCACGTGCACTTCGGTAATTTGAGTATATTGTATACGACTTGGAAAATATAAATTTAATAATATTATATTATTCTTTACCTTTCCATTTAGTTGTTGGGATGTAGTAATAAAATGAGCAACCGGACTTGACACTGCTGCAAGGGGGGTTAGATCGGCTATACCCTTAGGAACCAAGGCAACCTTGTGCAAAACAAGTCCTGGAGGGTATCCTGCCACTGGTAACACAGACAGTGCAGCAGTACCCTGTAGAGCCTGTTGATGGGATTGAACAGATGTTTGTATTTGTGATGGTGCAATAGAAGAACAATGCTGTTGTTGTTGTTGCTGTTGATGGGAATTCGCGTCGTTTTCGCTTAGGCTTTGTATGGATCCGCATAAAAGCTACAATCGTAGAATTTCCCTTCATGTGATTGCATATACCAAAAATATTACATAAATGAATATTATCTTTTTCGTTACTGTTATGAATATTTGTTTGTTCACATGCCAATTTTAATCATTTCTGTTGACTTTTAAGCAAGACACTTGTAAAAAATTTTCGATATCATAAGGGTCTTCAAATAAAAAGCTTTTAAGTGTTCCAAACATTTATCCAATTGTCAAGTTTATCCAACTTTTTAGTGTATTATTACTTTTCCTTTCTGAATTCTTGACAATTGGTCATTATACCCATATGGCTTTAATAAAATAAAACACAGGCAACTTACTGGCTTTACCTTTTCTACTCTGCTGATTGGTGTCATTACTGCTGTTAAATTGGACGTTGTTACATGGGGCTTTTGGGACGCCAACATCGACTGTCTTTCTTTAGACTGAGGAAAGCATGATATTCTTTCGTTGATAATTATATTTTCATCACCGGCACTGTATTTTCGGACGTTAACTTTACTGAATCTCTCAATACTGTTATTATTATTATTATTGTTATTGTTATTATTATTAGCTGCATTAATTGTGTCAGAATGCATGTCATCTGATAATTTCGTAATAGTAACAATCTCTGTAGAAATCCCGGGTGTATCGACAAGAGCACTGCCAGATTCTGTGCCTTCCACAGCTTGATGATTAGTTTCAACCAGTATTGCACCTAAATCCGTACTATTATCACAATGTGCTGTTATGTCTCTTTTCAAAATAGCAAGTTTTTGCTGAGCTGATATTTTTTCACGTGCCAATCTTTCCATTTCGTGTTCTAAATCTCGTTCTTTTCTTCTTAAAATGTGAATATAGCGTAAGGCCGAATGTAATATGCTTAAATTTGAAGTTTTTTTTTCTTCTGCTTGTGCAGGAAGTTGCCTTTTCAATAAATCGAAACATTCTACAAATAAAGAAACGATTAATTAGACTGTAATACACTACTGCAACCTACAGGCATTACCTTTAAGATGTGCCCTTCGATTTTTTTCCAATTTATTGTGTACTTCTCGTGTTCCAGCTCTAAAAACAAGAGGTGGTTGTTTGCGTTTAGGTTCCCCACCCTCGTCAATTACTAAAGGATTGATAATATCGAAACTGTTGTGAATGATTCTTGAAATATGTCCATTTTGATGCACTACATTAGCACTGTCTGCAAGTTCAAGTTTCTACATTACATTTTTACTACTACTAAATACCATTTTGAATCATAAAATTGCAACATACTTTAAATGACATTTAATGGAGCCTGCCGGTTAAGATTTATCTTAAACCAGCAACTTGAATAAATTCTTTGATTACCCGTACCGCATAGATATATGTACCCCCATTATCATAGCACACTATACTCGACTGCATTGCATGTTTATAAAATAAGACCCACTATATTAAAACTGAAAATATGGAACTGCATATAAAAGAATATTAACCTTCAACGTTCCGTAATCCGACGGTTGGTAATGACGGAGTTGTTGATATTGATCGTTGAGGACAACTGGGGGTTGACGATGATGGAGAGCAACTAATTGCGGGAGAAATAATATCTATGGTGGTTTTCTGCAGCTCCTGTAACTGATTTAATTGTTGGATTTGTCTTTGTTCTTGTATTTCTAGATAACGGGCTGCTTCCAAAAGGGTATTTAAACTCATCCTCAGTACGGTAACAACGCCCTGCAATGGCAAATCGATTATCTACCTTTTTTTGTACATTTCGAATAATTTATCCAAAAATAGATATTTCTCCTATGTAACAAGAAATACAAATAAAATAGTCAATAAAAATTGACGATCTTATTTTACAGCAATTTCATAAAGAAATTATGAATATTTTTTGTGACGTTTCAATATTGGCTACGTATTATTTACATTCACAAGAAAACACGTGCTATTCTGTAGCGTTTCCACTCTCAAAGTTTGTGCGCATATGCGCAAATATCGCTCTTATATGCACTGTACATAATGGATATATAACAGGATAAACGCCCGTAAAAACACCTTACAAAAACAACTGAGGTTTAAAACAACGTTGCCAGATTATAAATACAAAAGTAAACAAACTTTTTATGGGAAGAAAGATGCCTCACTCGTTAACAACAAGCTATGCAAAAATACCTATATGATGACTATTTACTGAGCCGAATATAATTTTTTTAGGAAAACCCGCTAAAGATTTGTCCGCTTTTTTTTTAAATTAAACCCGGCAACAACGTGCTATTGACATAGCAACAAAACGTGTCTTTGGTGTCTTTTAATGACACTTGAGTGGTAGCAAAATAAAAACAGTTAATTAACTTATGATGCATTATTATTAAGCTATACCGGCACGCATTCCGTTATTAAGTAACTCCATCCAATTTCAGTAATTTGTATTAAAGTTACTCGCAACAAAAGACGTTCGCAGAACAATACATGTAAGAAACAGAAAAATAAATGAACTTACGTGTTTCCTTTTTGTATTAAGAATAATTAACGTAAATTATATGCTTCAGTAATCAAAGACGGACGAAAAATTGTTTTAAGAAAAATGATGAAAGACTTTTGTTACTCTAATTTATTTCCACCTGACAATTGAAATACTTAAGCACTGTTATGTTCTACGGACACCACCCGTGCACACGTTCAGATAACCGTAATCACGTGTGAGACTGGCTCTATCGACCAATAGGCTCTGCGCGTCTCAAGTCTGCGCGAATGACGTAATTGCACACACCCTGACAGCCTGCCCCTTCACTCAACCGTACAACATCATACCGCATCACACATTACTCTACTATTATTATTATTATTGTACGATCATAACCCGACACTTTTCGCCAGTTTTCGCTTCTCCAAATATAATAATAACGCAGTAATCAAAACAATACGAAACTTGGTGCCTACTTTTACTCAGTTATTACAGTTATACCACACTGCTACAACAAGAGAAGAAAAACACGTAAATTCGACCCATGCAACCCAACCCCAACAAACGATTGCTTATGGTACGCCAAATTTAAGCGTACTCACAGACGTACACGTGCAACTATTCCATGTTTAGGGTGAACAACATACAAGCATGATATTGCCAAAAGACAATAATAAAATTATACTACCGTTGTTTAGAAAACATTTAAATATTCTGTGGAAACAATAATATTGCATTGCATGTTTTACAATTTGTATTATTTACTCTAGAACCATGTATTGAACAGATCTCCGCCATAAATCGCTTGTCAATATTTAATCAATGTATTGTCTGTGATTTCCCTGACAAATACTACGGAATAAACATTTCACTGATAATTTTTCACTTTTTTAAATCTTAAATTCGTCGGTCTGTCTGTCTCCTCTATCTCTCGCCAACTACCACCTCCCACCCATTCCCACTATTGCTAAAAGAAAGCTAGAGAAGGCCTTCCGCCCTACTCTCTTCGGCGTAGTTCGGAGGGGCTGGCCGCCCACCAACATTATTAGGAGGCGAAATAAGTAGAGGGAAAAAGCGATAAAGATATACTGGGAACGAGTAATTAATTAAATAATAATAGTGGTAAAAGGTATTTGATTCCGCGACAGTATTTTTAAAAAAATGTATCGTATCAGACGGGAATCGAACCAAATCTGCAAAGGTGACAGTCTACAGTTTGCACATTTAACTGAAATCAACAGTTTGTATATTTATAATAATTAATGTCCGTTTCGGTTCGATTTCCAACCCATTTAATAATTTTTTGAATGTTTTTTCCTACGATTATTCAGTTATATAATTTAACGAGTCGATTAACTTAGTTTAGTTTTGCTGGTCAAAAAATATGACAAAACTATGAATCAGTTTATTAAACAAGAAAAAACAGAAGTTATCGTAAAACCGTCCATCTATCAGTTCTCTTAATATCCATCCAAAATAACTAAATACATGTGTGACATGTATAAATTCAGCAATCACATTTGTACATTTCGATACTTTCCTCTACTACGGTGCATTTTTCTAATAAACAAACAGTCCTTTTATCTGCTTTGCAACTGCTCAAGGTATAAATGTTTGAGGTCGGTTTTGGGCATGTTTTCGAAAAGGGCTGCTCGATTCTGACCTTCGCCCTTTTTAACCCAGTGACCATAAACTCTGAATGCACATGCGTCGATAACTTTTCTCAACAACTTGATGCGATACGGATCTTCTCTTGCTACGTGTAAGCTTAACGGTTCAGGAGTAAAACGTAATCTTTGAATTCTTATCATCGCTTGCACCACCAAAATTGCCCATTTGAATTTGCGACGAGGATGAAAAGAGGCCCGTTGTAACACCTTCAAAGTTTCAAAATCAAAATCATTAATGAAAAATGCCCTTTCCTTGTTACTTTTTTAGTGTACTAAATAAAATGAATACTTATAGCAACCAAAAACAAATATTCGTTAATTTATTCGATCAGTTTTGGTATCTTAATATATGCAAACTGCTAGTTTTTTATGCAGCATACGTAAAGCAATTATTGCATTTTAATAACAATCGAAAACACTGTTAAATACTGGATAGACACGGCACAGCTACGGTGAAGAAAGGAAATCAACATACCCAACAAAAAAAGAGCGAGCGTGTATTAGTGTACACGCGTATGAAGTGAAACTTCTTTAGAATGTATTTTACAATGGTATTTAAAAAAAAAATTGGCTTAAACTACTGCATTAACTAATTACTAAGCACCAGAAAAATACAACTTTATTTCGAGCGGACGAATGCGGAATATTGTTTTGGTTTTGTTAAAAACTTTTACGCTTGCACCACACTGCAGAGAGGAATTACAAAATAAAACAAACAGAAACGCATTTGCAATACATATGCAGTAAATCGTAGGTGCAATCTGCTGACAATTTGTCGAATTGGCAATTTTCGGATTATTGGTTGCTACCAAGGCAAGCTTCTGAAGCCTGTTAAGACGACTCCTTTTGGACTTATCCACCAGGGGTCACACATGGCGCGTTACACAGTAACGTCACAGTTTTCGGTTTTGTGCCCTAGTAAATTTCCTTCCTACAGTTGATAAAGGTAAATTTTCTTTCTATCGTCGATAAAGAAGTTTCACTTCAAAAAAGAGAAAGAAGAAAAAGAAAATTAGTGTGACTAAATTACCAGTGCTAGATGTGCAATACGACTAAAACGGTGACTATCGCGCCTTAAAGAATGCTTCAGTGGTGCTATGTCTTGATCCCACATTTGCTGAAAACACACGTTTTACATCTGGCACAAAATAACAATCACATACTATTTAAATACAAATAACCTGATTTTTATAAGAAAAACAGCAAACTTTTGAAGCAATTAAGCAAAGCACATACTTAAACTATAAAAGCAAAGATACAAACTCCTCGATTTGAAATAATTTGATAAAAACTGGTAACAATAATATTGTTTTAAGGTTTTTGAAGTTTTGTAATTCTAATCAATATAAATAAATATGCAAACATATATCTCACCACGGTCTGGAAAAATGGATGAGCAAGTGCTTCTTTAATAGTAATCCTGTGATTGGGGTCTACAACTAGTAGTTTTCTAATTAAGTCTTTTGGCGCTTCTGCAATTAAGAATTTCCAGTTGTTTAAGTTAAATTTGAAATATCAATTTACTCAAACTACAATTACCAGAAATATCAGCCCATTCAGGAGATGAAAATGAATACTTTCCTTCCATTATATTTCTCAACATGATCATTTGTTTACGATGCCAAAAGGGTGGACATCCTACCAATCTTTTATTTTAAGAAACAAATGTCATAAAAAATAAATAAATAAACAAGAAGAAGACTGTAAGTAATACATAATGTAAGTTACTTACAGGGTATACATGATTACACCACAGGCCCATCTGCAATTAAAGCATGTTCTTACTTTTACATTAAATTACTAATAGCATCTTACATATCAACTTGGAATGAATAACCGGGTGCATCTTCCATCATACTGCAACGTAATGTTTCTGGTGCCAAATAACCAGGGGTTCCACATAAATCTGTAAATCTTTTTCTTGAAAATAATTTCTCTTTTGCAAACATTACAATGCCAAGATAATATAGGTAGAAGGCAAATTAACTTACCATATAAAACTTCACCTGGATCGAGTTTTCTTGCAAAGCCAAAATCCGTTATCTTAACATTCAAATTGTCATCTAGCAATATGTTTTCAGGTTTCAAGTCTCTGTGAACAATTCCTCTACTATGAATATATTCGACACCCTCAAAAACTTGTCTCATTATGTAGCGAGTTTTCTTCTCCGATAAGTTCACAACTGTTGTGAGATAATCAAACAACTCCCCATTTTTGCACAGTTCAAATACCAGGAATATAAATGTGTTTGATTCAAAAACGTCCTGCAATTCAACTGAAAAACTGTGTAATGCTGATAAAAAAAAAAATTGAGTTGTTTTACTTATGTAAGGGTGCCCCGCAACATGTCGTAAAATAAATATTTCTTGTCTGACGGCTTGTTCACCTGAATCAGGGTCGGTGCTGAGGTCGATTATTTTTGCTGCAAACTCTTTACCTGTTTCTTTTTCAATGCATCTTCTTACAGTACAACTGATGCCCCTTTTTAATTTATTCAGGTAAGTTATGTTAAGATATTAAAAGCTGACTGGATTTCATGTTGAACGTGCTACTTACTTGCCTAAAATTTCCTTAGGTTCGTACTTGGCATAGAATTCTTTAGCGACGTCCTTATCTGGAAGTTTGTCATCTTCTTCTTCTTTAGCCATTTTCCAGTTACCTCTGTTAAAATTACATAAATGATAACTAGTTAAGCAAATTTTTCCGCAGTAATAACCTGCTAACAATTTGTAAACGTGAAACGGAAAAAGAACTAAAAAATACAGAGATTGATACGCAGCATGGAAACGCAATCGAAATGGCAATATTGTTTACTTACGTCTGATTGCGTCTGATTCATAGATTTCTCCATAGATAATAGATATGCAATAATACTTGCGACCCTGTCAACTACGTTTTATTAGAGTGCCAGATAGTAATAATAATAAGAGATAAAATGTCATTTGAAGGTCATTTGGCGAACATAAGATATAACAACTCACATTCACTAATATTTTTATAGGAGGCTAAATGGTGTCACCATTTTAAGCTCATTTTTGTAATTTGCCCGACTGCTACTACGCGGCACTCAAATTATTTCCACAATAGACTTTCAGAACTTACCAGAACTAGATAAGATGGTTTTGGATTACTACCTCTATTTCTTTATTGGCATTCCATTACAGTCACAATAATAAAGGAATGTCGCTGTCCAGATTTCTACATGTCACAATGGACTTATGGTTTCTAATGGTTTCTTATGTTCAGTGCCACACACGGCTGATTTGCGAACTTCTTAACAGGCCTCTAAAATAGAACATTGCCGAATATCTATGGTCAAATGTTATTCTGTTTTCTATCACGCTCATTGTTGCTGCGGTCAGTTAATTCTCCAATTGTTCGCGGACTTTATTGACGGTCACAGAATTTATTACAAAATTAAAAAATTTTTCAGTTCTGCTATAATACAGGTAAGAATTTTGAATTTCACTCACATTAAAGTGTTTAAGTACACATGTATTTGTATTTTTAAGACGATTACAACGATTTTGAACGTACATAAAGCTTTTCTGTTGGAATATAAGCCCGTTGGTTGATATACGAAAAAGAAAGCTAGTAGGATGGCATTAAATAAATTGAGTATTGATTCACTGAACATTACCAATAAAAGAGTATTAATCAGGTAATGTACATAGTACCTGGTAGTTATTTCTATAAGACGCATTGTTTTTCAGAGTGGATTTTAACGTTCCTCTGAAAGATGGAACCATTACAAACAATCAAAGAATTGTTGCTGCTTTGGATACGATTAGGTTTACTATTGAAAAACAAGCAAAAAGCATTGTGCTGATGTCACATTTAGGTAGACCAGATGGAAAAGTTAACTTAAAGTATACATTAAAACCTGTGTCGGAGGAATTAAAAACACTTTTAAACAGGTACCTGCCTGCGTGTTGCTGTAGGTACTTATATTCCTTTACCTTTGTTACCTATCAATCCATTACTTTTTCCTTTTCCTCAATTCAGTTTACTTATAGTTCGAATGAGAAAAGATGTATTAAATTTTAGGGACATTCTGTTTCTGCCTGATTGTGTTGGAACTGAGGTAGAAGACGTTTGCAAAGATCCAAAACCTGGATCTATAATTTTATTGGAAAACTTACGATTTCACATTGAAGAAGAAGGCAAAGGTTTAGACAACTCAGGAAATAAGGTTTACAATCTTTGCCCATGATTATGTAATTATTTTTTTTTTAATCTCAGTTCTTGCTTAGATAAAGGCTGATCCGGAAAAAGTTAAACAGTTTCGTGAATCATTACGCAAACTGGGAGATATTTATGTTAATGATGCTTTTGGCACAGCACACAGAGCTCACAGTTCAATGTTAGGTGAAGGATTTGAAATAAGAGCAGCTGGATTTTTACTGAAAAAGGAATTGGATTATTTTGCAAAAGCATTACATAATCCCGAAAGGTATTTCAAAGTTGATTAAAAAATTTATTGTCTATATTTCACATATTGTATTTCAGACCGTTTTTGGCTATCCTTGGTGGCGCAAAAGTTGCCGACAAAATTCAACTTATTGAAAATTTATTAGATAAAGTAAATGAGATGATAATCGGCGGTGGCATGGCATACACTTTTCTCAAAGTGTTGAAAGATATGAAGGTAAAGTTGTTGCATACATTACATATATGTATAGTTTTTTTTAAAAGCGTTTCGCTAATGCTAATTAACTTTCAACTTTTTATTGGTCGAGTAGTGCGTCTACAAGTGATTTTGTAAGTTATATTCACGATTTTTTTTTATGGGTGGATATTGAATTTGCAGACATAAAATTGATATAAAAGTTTTTAAATTAACATGTCAGCAGTCATTCAATAAAATGACACATATAGTTGAAGATGAGTCCGAAATATAATAGGGTAAACAACAGCCCATAAAATAGGTCCAAAATACGTGCTTTAAACGCGTAGTTTTTTGCCATTTTCCCATTTTCTTTTACATTTGTTAATTTTGCATCATGCCTTTCGAATTCGTGGCGATTGAACCGATTCCGTGAAAGCAACTGCAATTGCTTTTCCATATTCTTGTCGTAAATATATTCTTCTCGAGCGTACGCCTGTGTTTGACCGAGAAGTTGTAACATCTCTTGATGGTAACCACTCCTTAGGCATTTGCTTGAGTGGGCTTTATGATATATACCGGTGCAATAAAATATCGTTGGTTCGTAATAAACCGAAGAAAAATGCAAGAGGCTACTTAAAGAGCTACATTTTCTTTTTGCGATGGTGATCGGCAGGGGAGTGTTACTTTCTGTTGTTAAAGTAGTTAAGTTATCGAGAAAGTAAAGAATGTTGTCATGACAATTTCCTCCTTTGCCGCTCACAAAATTGTCGCCTTCACCGTTTGCTATTTCGCATACGTATTCGCTGTGGTTAATTGATGACGATTCCTTTTCCGACAGCGTTACCTTTGTCTCTATCGTCCTTTCTGTTTCTTGAGTAATACTGTCAATATTGTCAGCACTTTGCATCGCTTTTTCTATCGTTTTGGTAGCAGCTTCGATTTTTGCAAGGGTCGCGTCTATTTTTTCACTCAAATGAGGCTTTGGTTCGTACGCTGCAGTTATAAAACATTTTTCTTCGGTCGTTAGACCATTTGTGTCTTCAAAATTTGCGACTTTACGACGTGATGCGTTCAATGATGCCGAGTTAGAAATAACATGAAATGAGTCCGTGTAAGTGGTTAAATCGGTATCTGTCCAACTTTTTGATGCATTAACCACTGAGTTTTTTACATTTTCTTCTAATATCAGTTCGCTAAACTTTTCATCCAATCGAATCATTTCCGCATTGTCTTCTGGCAGTCTTATTTCTGAATCGTCCTAGAAATAATACGTTTTCGATTTACGCCGACATATACATCCACAGTTGTATTGTTATTATAGCGGTGATGATAATGGATGAGTCGGAAAAGAAAAAACAAAACAGTGTAGAGGTATTTTAAAGTGCGTAATATGTGTCAACAATAACGAAAGAGAAAATTACTGGAAAAACCGTTGCGGGATCTCCTTTATCGCCTGAGCCGCCGCTCTTTTCAACTATGGTCTCTCTTTCGCAAACATTCGTCACTGAAGAGATACTGTCCGCCTGAAAAGTTGTACGATTATAAATTGTGCAATCTCCTATGGAAATGATGTATAAAAAAAGTTACCATAATTTTTTCTATTTCATATTTAGGTGTAAAATTAAAAGACGTTTCCATTATTTTTGGCTGCAACGGTACATCCGTGTCCTTTTGGTTTTTCCAATTACATTTCGATAAGGTTGCTTTACACATATTTATATTATCGTCGGTAGTTGGTAAGTGTAACGGTTGAACGATTTTGTTAGTATAATGCGCCTTGTCGCTCGGCTTTGATGTTACTGACAGCAATCGAGACCGGGAAGAAACTTGAGCGAATGCACGTGATGGTGGTGAAAATGTGCGTAAACAAGTTGCAGTTTGCGATTTACGCCGGCGAAGATTATGGTGATTAAGCGAATGCTGTGGCAAATAGGAACTTGAGCAAGAAGGAAGAGTAGTTCCTGAATTTGTCAAAGGACCTTTCGAACGAGGCTTAGCTTGGTAACAAAAAGATGGAACCGATTCCTTTTTTTCTTCGTCAGACTAAAATTAAAAATTACTTTTATTCATTAACATAGAAAAAAGAAACGATGACTTGCCCTTACGGACGTCTTTAACGTCTTCTGCTTCACCTGCGTAAGGGGATTTGTATTCAATTTTTCTTCAGTTACGTGCTCAAGTGAAATTTTTCTATGTTCATTCGGTGATCCCACGGTTTCGAAATACGCCAGGGAGGTTTCAGGTCTTATGGACGTTGTTTGTAATCTACTAATTATTTTTGAAGCCTTTAACAAACAACAAAATAGCAATGTATATATTTTAAGAGAGTTTTTTCCTTTAATAGCAGTTAATATTTAATAATTTTTTAAACATTAATGTGAAATTAATTTAATTTCTTTACCACTACTTATTACTTCAAGTTAATCACAATTAAACTTACTACGAAATTTTTCAAAAAAGGTTCACTTGCCTGTTTTTTTTCGCCTGTTCCTGTATTAATTTTNCTTCAAACAATCCCTTTCTCTGGTTTTATATATTTAATTATGAACGATCTTACTTACAGTTGTTGGCATACATATCATTCTAAAATTTAAAGTTAACAAAGCATATTGTGTATATGTTTGTTATCATAAATGTGTAGTAATGTTACAGTATATAAAATGTCCAAACAACAAAATAGCAATGTATATATTTTAAGAGAGTTTTTTCCTTTAATAGCAGTTAATATTTAATAATTTTTTAAACATTAATGTGAAATTAATTTAATTTCTTTACCACTACTTATTACTTCAAGTTAATCACAATTAAACTTACTACGAAATTTTTCAAAAAAGGTTCACTTGCCTGTTTTTTTTCGCCTGTTCCTGTATTAATTTTTTTTCTGGGCGGTGTTTTTTTCACCACGGTGCAAATGTCGGTTAATATCTACAGGGGAAAAGGATATTTTTATTTATTTATTTCAAGTAGGGACACAATACACAGTAATAGCAGAAAGAAACCTGTTTGTCTTTTTTGGAGATGATTGATAAGGAAGAGACGGCAGTTTCTGTGGTGGTGCTGTTACTGCCGCTACGATCTGGCATTAGACAAGATCGTTTTAAACCGATCGTTTCTTTCATTTCATCGTCAACATCAACTATCGACGTGGTTGTACCTCCCTCTTCTTCGATCGTTTTGTCATTTGTTTTGAATTTGGCTAGCACGCTTGTTATTTCTTTTTCGACATCCATGAATGCGTCTACGTTATGCTTCCGGGGATCGGACAGAATATCGACCATTTTGAATTCTACGCTTTGGATTACCTTATTACAGAAAACAGAAAAGTATACGCGTTAGTTATGTATGTACCTGAAAAAGGGTAAATTCGATAAATGCACCTTTTGTATGTCGTCCTTGAAATGAACATTTCGATTTTTGTCTTTTATTTTTTTTAACGGCTGTTTCTGAAGAGTGTAATTTTTTACATTTTTTACGGTATTTTCGGTTGCTGGTCTGTTCAGCTTCTTCTGCGTCTTTCCCCTGAATTGATGTTTAGACGGTGCAGATTTTACGCCCGTCCGTTTACATATCATCTTTGGCAAAATAATTGCTGCTTCCGCGTTTTCTGGATTAAACGTAGACTTTTCATTTTCTATTGTAGTCTATAATAAATAAGGATTTCAGTTTTTTTGAAATTCCGATTAATAGTTAATAATAGTGGTAATAATTTTAAAAGTTTACTAGTTGTTCCATTTTTGTTGGTGATGCAGATTTCATGTTATCTACATTTTTACACTGACATTTGTTGAAAACTGAACCCCTCGTAACTGGCCCCTTCTTCAATCTTGTTTCTGGAACGTCGTTTCTATTATGTTTGTTCAAAAAATCTGTAAACTCTACCGATTCGAAATTTTTCTGTTGATTTTTATCCAAGTGAATTCCCCATTGGCTCTTATCTTTAAATGGTCGTCTTTCATTCGCGGCGTCGTTTGTATACTGACTATTATGCATAGGCGTTTCTCCGTCTTGAGTTGTAGATGTAAAAATGTATGAAGGATTTTGTTCGAGCGTTGACGAAGATTTTTCGTGATCTCGTAGATGAGCACTGTTTGTGTGATCTTCACGTTGCTGACGTTGCAATTGTTGAGAAAACGGAACGCGAGCGGTACTGTGAGGCATCATCCTGGGATTGCCGTTTGTGTTATCGAATGTATGATAAACCACTGAGAGGGGCATTATTGTGACGGAAGTAGGATAATGAAGATAAGGATCCACCATATACTGTTTCAGTTTCTCCTCCACTTCTTGTCTTGTGAAGCTTTCGACGTTTGTTTTATAACTGAAATCGATCGAAAACTATTGTATTGTTATTACTGATTTAAGGGATGTCGCTAGTGTAGTTTTCAAAAATTTGAAAAAACATTGTTTTACTTTAACGGTAATTAAAAATCTCAGTAATAGTTCCGATCCAATACAATAAAGCCACCTAATTTATTATTTCATTATAAAAAAGATAGCTGATTTGACATGCGTTAAGTATCGCTACAGTAGCAACATCCCTGTACAAAACATGACTGACCTTGTCGATGGAGAATAATTGGGTTCATTCGAGTGACCTAGTTTTCTTGGCACGTTTAACTTAACATTTTTAGGCTTGTGCCGTTTGCTGCGCTGGGAACTTGATCTAGAACGGTCGCTATGTATTTTTCTAAGTCTTTCCTTTTTTGCTCCTTCGAATCCGGCGCTTTTCGCTTTAGGAATGTGTCCGTCGTTTGGAAAAGCGAGTTCTCTGCCCATTAAGAAATTTTTAAACCTAAATTCATTACCATTTTCTACGATCGTCGTGACTTTTGATCTAGCGCAGTCCTTTCCACGTTTGGGTACTGTTAATAAGTGATTTTTCTTTTTTTTTGGTGATGCCGTCTCGTCTGTTGAAGAAAAGCTTCTTTCGCTCGATGCTGAATTTTTATTGTGGTTTTTTGATCGTTTATCGACGTGGTTGTCTTTTATTTTACAGGTGATGCAATTCGGACTACTACACACTATCTTGGGTGTTTCGACTCTTAGTAACCCCTCTAGCACCTTTCTGTTTCCTCTATTTATTAATTTTCCCAAAAACGATTCGCAAGGATGTGGTATTTTTTCTGGTAAAATATTGTCCCGCCTAGGATATTCCGACTTCAACGGCTGAACGTCGTTGGGAGTGATTTCATCCAAAATGTCGAAACAGTATAAACTATTTTTGGCCGATTTAGGTGAATCAGTCTGTAATAACGGTTACTTTGTATTCGTACGTGGGAAAATCAATTTATTAAGATAGAAGAGTAAGTACTCACTTTGTGTCTTAGCCACTTATGTTTATCTCGAGCATAATCTTCAACGGGATTTTTGCTATAGTCTAGATTTTCCTTTAAATCGTAAAATTTTTTGTTGGTGTTATTAGTTTTTGGGTCTTGTATAACGACAGTGGCAGAACCTATTGCTGATTTTGCGTCAATCGGAAGTTCGATTTTGCTTGGATTATTGGAATTATTCAGAGGTACGTTCCCTTTCATGTCGTTGTTATAATTTGGATAATCGTTTTTCTGGTTAATGTTTAATTGCAAAGTGTTTTTCATACGATCATTGTCACTGTTGGAACTCGCTTTCTTCTCTAACGTTTTCTTTATACTAATTGGATCTTTTGGCATTGTGATGGTTGCAGTTTTATTTTGCTGGATGATAGCGCTACCGTGATGAGATCGTTTGTAATCGAGTGCGTTTTGTATAAGACGTTTTCGACGTTTTTCTAAATATTTCGCTACTCGTCCTTTCGTACGTACATGTGCTTCTGATGGAGATAATTTGGTTATATCTTTTTCTTTTTTGTGACCTAAGGGTGTTGTTTTTATTAGCCGATTTATGTGACGATCTGGAACGAACAACTCTTGGGCCTATTTTAATGTAAATAAAAATGAATATTAATTGCTTTTAATTAACAACACTTAAATTGAGATAGCTTGCTTTACCCGTAAGTGAACTAATTTCTTTTTGCTCTCTTGCAGTGTGGTTCTGGTGAGTGCTAACGAGGTTGGTAGCTTGAATCGCGCTTTTCCCTTTTTTGGAATGCACATTTTTTTCTGGAATTCGAACAAACTGTCTCTCGCAAGTTCTTCATCTTTTAAGCGACCATGAATGTTGGTTAAAGCTCTAATTCTGGGAATGTCCTCTACTAAATCGGATTGAAACGGTTTGCTAGAGACTGTCTGTTCCTGTAAGAATTCCATTATTTGACGTATCCTTTCGTCACCGGATTTTTTACCGAGTGCCTTAATTAGTTCTTCTAATTTTTCTTCACGAGTTTTGTTACACGTTTTCGGCGATTGAACTTCTATTATTGTTGTATTTGACAACATTGATTTCTTAGTAATTATTTTAATTTTTCGTTTCTTCTTTTCTTTACCTGTCCTACATGTTTTCTCATCGCCCTCTAATATTACGGGCCTGGCGTCCTCATCACCCTCGCATTTTATACTTTTACTTTGCACTACATCCTGAGGTTGTGAATTAACCGTATTGGCAAAATCGAAAGTCTCCATAATTTCTTCTTCGTTGCAACTTTTTTCTAACTTGTTGGTAATATTTCTATCTGTTTTGTCGTTGTCGATGCCATTAACGTCGCTGTCTTTCTTTTTACCGTTATAATTATTAACGACGTTCCGACATTCGTCAATGTTATCAATATGACGCATGACTTCATACAGGTTTTCTAACGATACAGGCTTATTCTCCATTTCGGTCTTGAGAATTTTATCAATTTCAATTATTTCGTGTGCCTCGTTGTTTTCATTAATCGACGATTTCGTTGGTATTCTTCTTTTTTTGTTGTATACAATCGCTTCATCATCGTTTCGCAAACCCTCCTGAAACATAGACGTTAAAAGAACAGTTTAATTAGGGCAGAGAGCATTTATACCTTATCCTTTAATATTTTCTTATAAATACGTACATATTTGTACTAAAACCGACTCGCCCCTAATTACCACATAAACTTTTTAAAAGAGAGACAGGTGTTTCGCCTTCTTTAAGTCGTGGGCAAAGGACGAGCCTGTTTTTCAAATAGTTTTTGTGATAAAAAATGGCGAATCTGTCGGTTTCTTTACTTGCCACAGCCTTATTTATTGATTTTTCACACATTATTTTTAGATAAAATTATTCACTAACCTTCTCGTTGCAAGTGTTATCGCACGCGCCTTGATTGTCATTTTCCCCATTTTCAATATAATGATTTATATTAACTTTACTTTTTAACGTTTTATCAGAACATTCCATTTCGTTTAAATATTCGCGCACACGTATATTTATGTTATTTAAGGTTCCTACCCCATCTTTGAGTGTCTTGCTCATTTCTGCATTAACTCTTTTCAGAGTCTCCGTTCCACCTTTTCTGTACCTCTTCAGTGCATCTTGATAATAATAGTCATCATTTCCTTTTGTTATGGCGTAATATGTTGTATCATTTTTAATCGTTTCCCTCAAAGTCAAACACTTTTTCGTGTCGTTGCTGGCTGCGGATGAAGTGCGCGATTTGATTGCAAAAGGTTGGTCGTTAAGAAGGAGATTAGATATTGTCTTGGTGGCAGAATAAACAGGAATTGTGAGCTGTTGGGGAATAGGAATAGGGGCCGTTGCACCTGTATCCTCCATTTTTCGTACTGCGAATTTGTAAACAGTGTCGTAAATTAAGCATTTTATTTTTGCATCTCTCAATTCATTTTTGCCAATCAAGTTTAAAAATGAGTTCGGAATCGAATACCTACAGGTGTTAACCTGTTTCCTTCTGATCTTGTGTACATCGAAAGTAACGGTAACAAGTTTTTGCACGCAAAAATATAAAAAATTCAGACCCATTGGGTTACATTCTATTAGCAGTTGAAAGCAAACCTCCTTATTTCCCAAACTTATACAGTAATGGCTACGTTTTAAAAGAGCATCTTGCCTATGTATTAACCAAAATGGAACGTTTATTGGCGCTAATTGAAGAGTGCGTCCGTTACAATCTGTCAAATAAAAACTTATGGTTTCTGTACGTAAATTATCATTACTGTCGAAGGCACATCTTAGTAGAGTTTCAAATACTTTTTTTTGTTTTTGTATTGACCGAACATGGCTTATGAAAGTTATCGATCGTTTTGTAATGTTTGCTTTGCCTTGATAATGATCGACGAAACAGCAGCAACTTTTTGGTAAATACCTTAATTTAGGCAAATCACCGATAAGGGTCTTTGATTTTTTTTTTCGAGTTGTTTTAAAAGGGACCGAGAGTTGGCATTTCTGTTGTTTATTTTTGGTTGTACGTTTAAAAAAGTCACTTATTCCATCACAGTTTTGTGTTTTGTTACTGCTTGCGAACAAACCTGTTTTGATAAAGTCGTAAAAATAGCATACATTTTTAAATATGTCCATTGGTGACCACCACCGATGACGTGTTTGACGCCTATAAAACATAATGGTAACTATTAATCCAACGTAAACTGCGGCAATTCAAACGACGACTGAATTAATTAGATATTTAAATAAAAAATTATTCTGTTTCAAGTTTCAATATTTTCTTCAGTAACAGTGACAATATTTTACATGTTATAGTATGCGTTATTCGTTTGTTTTTAGCATCGATATTCAAAGTTTTGAAGATTCCCGGCGTTCTTCTGGCAACCTTTAGCATAGTNCACCACCGATGACGTGTTTGACGCCTATAAAACATAATGGTAACTATTAATCCAACGTAAACTGCGGCAATTCAAACGACGACTGAATTAATTAGATATTTAAATAAAAAATAAAAGTATATTCCATCTATTTTATGTGTAACACTTACTCGTCCGTCGATATTGAATTGTTTTCGGTTTTAGATACAGAATCGACACTATTACAGTTGACCATCATTCGTTTTCAAAATTCCATCAGCACACAAGTGTATTCTGTCTTTTTTTTGTAGAAATAAGGAATGAATTTTGACAAATACTACTTTTGAAGGCGATAAATACACAAAACGATGAAAAACGGAATTAAAACGCCTACGCTTGTTTTGTTTAGAATATGTCTGTCATATTCAAAGCCAGTATGATTAATTGCTTGCCAAGGCACAGTTTAAATTCAGTTTAGTATTTGTAATATTGTATTCTTTTTTTTTTAATTAATAGTACCATTACAACTACCATACGTTTCTCATATTTAATTACCGGTTAGTCGATCTTGTACACATTATAAATTGCTTATCAAAATTTTATAACAAGGAGATTGCGTTGTTTTTCTTTTTTACTTACACGCTGTCGTCCTTTGCGTTTGTCAATTGCATGTTTCGGAAAACACCATGATTATAAAGAAGCAGTCAATCTTTTTGCAAATGTAAATTTAGAATATTCTCCCTTAATTTTAGCTGTATTATTACGAAAAATTTTTGAACTGACACAAATTAGAAAACAATGTCAATAAAAACAAATTTGACACATGTTTTCCATAATAAAACGCTTATTATATTTGCGTATCCTTATCGTTTTTAGATCGGAAATTCGTTATTCGATGAAGAGGGTGCGAAAATTGTTAACCGCCTGATAGAAAAGGCAAAGGCAAATAATGTGCAAATCCACTTGCCAATTGATTTCATCACAGCAGACAAATTTGCTGAAGATGCGAAGGTAAGTAAATAAAATATAAAATCATACCCGCCAAGATCCGTATATTACCATATGAATAATTAGCAAATCCAAATATTTTCCCATATCAGCCCCGAAGTAATAACTTCCTATCGTATTGGTGTGACGACCGGTTTATTTTCAATAAGTTTCTCGACGTTGTTTCCCCCTTATTATCTGCAATAAAATATTATATACTTGACAATTTGTAAAACGATAGTAGTAGCGTAGTAATGTGTTAATTGTCAGGTTGGTCAAGCAACAGTCGACGGTGGCATTAAAGATGGTGAAATGGGCCTAGATATAGGCCCACAAACTATAAAACTTTTCAGAGAGCCAATTCTCAGAGCCAAAGTAATCGTGTGGAATGGGTAATGTTATCATCAGTCTTGCTTTTTACATTGTTTTGTATGTTTTTTTTTGTTTTGTCATAATTATAGACCCGCTGGCGTATTTGAGTTTGAAAACTTTTCAAAAGGTACCAAAAGCATAATGGATGCAGTAGTTGAAGCCACAAAAGCAGGATCTGTGTCTATAATTGGTGGAGGTGATACGGCAACGTGTTGCGCAAAATTCGGCACCGAAGATAAAGTGTCCCATGTATCAACTGGAGGGGGAGCAAGCTTAGAACTTTTGGAAGGTTTGGGTTTCTGTGAATAAGAAATGATTAAGATAAGTTCAATATATATTTTTTTTTAACAGGGAAAGTCCTTCCTGGCGTAGCCGCTCTTTCAGATCGGGAGTAAAATATACTGTAGTGAACAAAGCATATTGTGTATATGTTTGTTATCATAAATGTGTAGTAATGTTACAGTATATAAAATGTCACATTTCATCTACAAATTAAAAGCATTAAAAAAAAACACATCCGCATTAGAATTTATTGTTTATTCCATTAGTATTTCTTCGATTGTTTTGTCGTCGTCTCTAAGCGGGCTTTGGGTCAAGTGCGATTCGTTTTCGAGAAACTGTCTCAACTCAGTTTCCAAATCAGCCACCTCGTTTGCCGTCGTCGAATGTGTAGGTTCGTGAGCGGTATCAGGTAAATTAACGCCCAGTGCCTTTCGAATCCCCTGAATCGAACACACGTCCCCAGGTCCAACCCTCTTTGCTATTTCCGTCAAATTGTCGGTAACGCTCTCAGCCAATGCAACTTCTTCTTCGGTTGGAAGCGCAACGTTGTTTAAATGAAGCGGAGGTGGTGCTGACAATCTCCGATATTGTGTTTTTTGAAGTTTATCTAGCAGCTGCGATGTAGTGTCCAAACGTTTTTGCATTTCTTTCCATTCTTCCATGGACCATTGTTCGCGTTCGAATTCTTCTAAAAAACTAGTGTCAATTCCGAGTGATGAAAGAGTACGCAACTGTTTGAAATCGATTTCAGATTGAGGCGGATCGTTATTCTTTAGGTCTGATACGCATGAGCGGCTTGTTTCCAATACTGTTTTAACAGCTTCTTCTTCTTCACGAATTGATCTCTTTTCATCCAATACTTTTTTAGTTTTTGTGTGATCGCCACCCGTAAGCAGATCCAAAAGACTATCGACCATTTGAAGGGTATAGTCGCAGTCTTTTGCAAAATCTATCAATAATTAAAAAAATGAAATTCAAAACATTCATATGACAAACGAACAGTATATCAAACCTAATATGCTTTCTGCATATTGGACTGCCGTCTCCGATCCGTAAGTTTGATAAACTAAATCGCTCTCTTCTTTTGTTAAATTAGCAAAGGCAGAATCGTAACTTGGAGCGTAAGATCCAAAAGCTCCGTAATAAAGCGGTTTAACAGGTTTAGCGACGTTTCTCCTATCCTCCCGGTAACCCTACGACATTCAAGTTTTTATTTTAATTTTTGTCATTGCACGTTTTATTTACCTGTATATGGCTAGTTCCATCTGTTACTTTGCCGGTCAATTGTCCTAACAAAACGGGACGTTTTTTGGTTCCAGGAATAACGCCATCCCCTCCACATAGTATATTTAAATGAGTTGTACCATCTTTCTTCATACTTAGGAACCCTAAACATCGCCCGTTTTTGGAAGCTTTAAAAAGGAACGTATTTAATTGCTAGCATAACTGCAAATCTACATGGTATTTAAACTACCGCTGCTTTATATATGAATATAATAAAAATATTATTTAATCACCCAGTTTTGCTTTAGCATTTTGTGCAGCAGTCTGTACTTGTTGCAGAATAGCTTCAGGTGACATACAGTCGGGAATCGCTTCAAATTTTGTTGCGGGCATTCTTTTCTTAGTTTCAAATCCATCATGATCATTTTCTCCATCACCCCCCTCATCTCCGTCTCTTTCCCTCTCTCGCTGGGCACCATCCTTTTGATCTTGTCTCAATTCTGGAGTTATTTCAAAACCTAAGTCTTTGCTGGACAATTCAGGAATAAGGTTCAATAGCCATCCCAGTTTTTCTGGTTGTAATAATTTCATGCCAGTATGCAGCAACTTTTTTGCAGCTTTATAGTAAATTGTCTCAACATGATTGTATTGCATGGCATTATTACACACCAATTTAAAATCAGCAATGAAGTCTTGTAACGTTAAATAGTGATTTTCGTCAATTTTTTGACGCATTGTGTTAAAGTCCATTGGCTGAGAAATGATGGCTGAATATCCTGGGGCAATATTGTCCGTAACTGGCCAGGCAAAAAACTGCTGCGGATCGCGCTTCTCTAATGCTTTAAGGACATGTTCCGATGCTCTTTGCAAGGCGGTCCGTTCTTCTCTCTTCCGAAGTACACACATTCGTGGTTCTCGACCAGATGGACTTGCCACATTGTTTATACAACCCTCTTCTACTGAAGGTACGTGTTTTGTATGATTCTAATTACAGATACTTTACAACAAAGCTCACTTACCTAGAGATAAAGATCCTTCATCTTGGCTGCTTTCTGTATGTTTACGTTTTTTCTCCTTGTGGTGGTGCTTGTGTTTTCTTTCCCTGTCTTTGTCTTTGCTTTTTTCTTTTTTCCTTTTCTTTTTCTTACTCTTTTTGTGATGTAATCTGTGTAACATTAAAGTATCCACTTGTTGTTGTGCTCCTTCGTTACTAACATCGTAAGTTTCTGCTACTGCATCTATATTGGTAGCAGTTCCTTCACTTGTCCAATCCATTAGGTGCTCCGGTGTTGTTTGATTTCCAACCTTTAAAATTAACTTTAATCCAGGTCCCTTTCCGTCAGGATCTGCATCGCAACGATCTCTTTTATCTAGTTTATGTTTTTTGTGTTTTCCCATTAGAAATACTCTCTTCAAACAATCCCTTTCTCTGGTTTTATATATTTAATTATGAACGATCTTACTTACAGTTGTTGGCATACATATCATTCTAAAATTTAAAGTTATATTTACTAACGTAAGGCACGATCAAGTTTGTTAAAATTACAAACATTGGGTTGCAAACAGCACGTAAGCTACGACAATCTACGGCCACAACAAGCTGTCAACAAACATTTCAGAATAAGCATAGATAATAGGTTAAATATATAATATACTTCAAATAATAACGTTAACGACGAACCATAGATAAATGATAATTTATACCCATCGACGTATCTTCTTATCTATGTTGATTATTATGCCCATAGATAATGTTATGTCGTTGCTATCAGTAAGAAGCGTAAGATAGAAATGATTGTACATTAAATGGTATGTGATGACTATAATGTGTGCACACTTCATTAATACAATAATTAACATACACGTAATGCACGTAGCCAAGCTATTTATAGGTAACACCAGCTAACATTGAAAAGATATGAAATGAGCCAAATATTTTTTTGGCAAGCCGTTGTTTTAAGACAAATCTCGAACGTCTCCGTTTTCAACAAAATTTTCGTTTATGTTAGAGACTACAGTAAGGAAACCGTGGAGCATATAATATTATTTACCGGTATCTATATGTTGCTATGCATTATTCTTTATATGGGAATGGTTAGGTGTCAAAAGCCTCAATTTAATAGTGCGGTGACATGGGCAAGAAGAGTTTTGATTGTTACAGCTCACCCAGACGATGAGTGTATGTTTTTTGGTCCTACCATTTTAAATCTACTTAAAGATGGCAATTGTACAGTTTACATTCTTTGTCTCACTACAGGTCTGTTCTGTTAAAATATATTATATTAAAAAAAAAATGTATTATCTAAATATGAGTATTCTAGGTTGCAATTACGGTATGGGAAGAATAAGGAAAACAGAATTGTACAGAGCCTGTAGAACATTAGGAATAAACTCTGACAATATAACAGTTAAGAGCCACTCATTACTACCTGACTATTTAACTGCAAGGTGGCCTATCGAAATTGTTGAAAAACTAGTTTTACAGGAAGTGGAAACATATGATATTGATACAATAATAACATTTGATAAATATGGAGTCAGCAGTCATCCAAATCATTGCACCATTTTTTATGGGATCGCCAACTTATGTTTAGAAGAAGTCCTACCCAAAGGTAATTACATATACTACAAAAAAAAAAAGAGGAGCAATTTTGAAGACAAATTAATTCATTTTGTTTGTAGATTGTGCAATTTATGTGTTGGAAACTGTAAATATATTAAGAAAGTATATCCTAATTTTTGATATACCTCTGTCACTCTTGTTTTCTAGGACAAGGTAGGTATCTAAATTATTTCATTTTACTAAAAGTGCACGTATCAAAAGTGAAATTTCTTTTAAGGTATTTTGTCAACTCTTCTGAGCGATCGATAATTCACAGAGCCATGAAACAGCATAAGTCGCAGTTGATTTGGTTTAGGTGGTTATATATTTATTTTTCCAGATATATGTTGATAAACACATTGCACAAGTTAGATTTGATGGATATCCAGTTTGAGTTGGATTTGGAAATTTAAAATTAAATAAAATATATGCTACCTCGATGTATTACATAATTAAACGTGTAACGTATAAAAATTTTGACAATCACTTCTCATTAAAGATCGATTGTCTTTAGAGAATTAATGAATTTCACATTATTATTATTGTATACCACAATGCGATCACAAGTTTTATTTATAGAAAACTATAATCAACTTGTTTTATGGTTTATTTTAAAAATCCACTCATTTAAATAATAAAGTGACTTAATTTTTCTAAACGACATTTATGTATATACATAACAATTTTTCTCATTAATTTCGTTTTCAAGACTTGCTTAACTTTCGTTCATGTACAGTTAGTCGAGAAAGTTTACTTCCAGTAGTTTATGAGTGCCAACATACAAATTTCATAATGAAAAGTTCATGTGTTAATAAATTAAAGTAAATTTATTAGAAAAGTATGCGACTATTTTTGATCTAATGGTTGGTTGTAATATACATTATAATATACGCGACAGGCAACTTTTAAGTGTTACAAACTATCAGGGGGTGTTGCTGGACCTCCGTCAGGCTTACTTTCTAATGAAAAGGGGGGGATCCTACAGTCAAAAGTATATCCATCTTCTCTTTCCATTCTGAATGTACCCCTAAATGAGATTACGATGATTGTGTGTTATGCTCTACAGGAATGTATTTCAAAATTGTATTTAAGAAACTTCAACAACTATCCTCAATAAATTATATTATGGTTTCTTTCGATACTTGAGTAGAAGTTAAAAAAAAGTTACCACATGTGTCCACTTGGTGCTTGCAAACTAACGTGGCTGCTATATTGAAAGGCTGGCAGTATTCTAGTTAATGCAGGTTCTTGTCCTACAACACCTCGGCCCCTGACAGTTTCTAATGTTCCAGAAAGAGAGAATATTCGCCAATGTCGCTCACGCAATTGAACAGAGAGGGGTCCCAAATTTTCTAATCTTATGCAATATCTCCACTAACACAAAATGGGAAACGTAAATACATACTATTAAGTAATATATTAGCTTATTTTTGTTAATAGCACATTTCATACCCAATAGACAGAATTTGTGTGGGATTCTCTACAACCCATGTAAAAAGGTATCACAGTTACTCTAATATTTTCTGTAGTTTCTTTATGAACATCGGACAATTCAAGCCAGGGGTGGTTCTTGTTTTGCCAAGCACGTAGTGTATCTTGGGCAAGAAAGGGAGGATCTATAAAACAGCATAATAAATAAGTAGGTTGACTCTGTATTTGCAATATTTTGTGTGCGTTCACCTTTATTTGGATTTGATGCTAAAAATTTATCAAACAGTTCGTGCTGCAGGGGAGTTTTTTCAGCACTAGTGTATGGAATTATATCTTCATGTGCTACATAATCCAAGCCAGGAATAGCATACAAGCTTCGAGATGATTCTTGATTTCCCAAAAATGTAACAGCTTCAGTTTGGGCTCTCTTAGAAAAGACAACGTTGATTATTATATATCTGCATGTAAAGTCAACTGAAATGAAACTCACTATGTATGGGCAATCCCTTTGGTCAATTAGAACTTGATAAAAAGTGTGGGTTCTTCCTCGAATTTCCCGTCCAACTGTTGTAGAATTATCCTCACCTTCATGTTGTTGAGGCATATCTCTGTCATAAACCCTTGCCAACCATGGGAATAATATCACTCCTCGATAACCAAAGACACGGTGAAGAATTAACTGTCCAGTTTCATATTTACCAGTAAGTTTGGGCTGTTCAAGTTTACCGACCTCTGCTAATCTATATATTAAAACTATTGCATTAAAAAATATCTTTTTCTTTTTCTTTCGAAAATAAAGTAAAACGCAATTAACTATTAGAAAAAAATATAACCTATGTATATTTTTAACATCCGTTACATTGAAGACGCAAATTTACTGTGCACATACATACCTTGCATAATGACGAAATTTCGAAGAACATAAATTATTGAATACTAGGGCCGTTTTGACTTGATTCCTCAATGCAGACGAAATTATTTCCATTTTTCATTTTCATCAAATATACTTGAACGAGTTGCGCAGATCAACCGTCATTTTTACTTGGTTAACGGCAGACGAAAAGTTATGCATCACATCGATCGTTCAAACAAAATTGTTAATCTAACTAGTATGATTTGACTTGTTAGTGAATTATGAAATTACTTGCAAATTTTGAAAAAAAATATATCAGAACGGTGAGAATCAAGACAAAATGAAATTACATGTACAAAAGGCTTTTTTGACTTGTTAAATTATTACTTGTCATATTGACGTACGTAGATACTGCAGTTTTTTAATAAATTTTATAGGTACCCATGTGTACACATTACCTAATATATAAATCTGCGTTATTAACAGGGGCATCGGTAATACACATTTCTAAAAAATATACTTACTTTAATTAATTAATTAATGTGTAATTAATAGCCTACGGCTAATAGAAATAGCACTTGTTCATTTCAGACTATACTGATCAATATTTTTACTTCAAAAATTGATGCACTCATTTTTATTAAGAAAAATTGATATTTTTTATAGTTTAGGAAATCTTTATACTCCATTGTATGTGGTGCGTGAAACTAAAAACAAAAACAGTATTAATAAAACCAAGTGTTATAGACGTGTTGCTGCGCCGGTTACATGAAAGTTGGACCTTTTTTGCTTGATATCTTTTTCATTCCTGCTAATGCACATAGCCTTTGCTTTAGTGTATATATTACATAATTATAAATGTTTTACTTAATTATTTCAGGTATAAATGTACGAATAAGAAGAGGCGAATTGTCGAAAAATGTCCCGTCTCCATTTATCCAACACTTCAACAGCTACTACTTGTGACGATTTTGAGTTGCAGAGACTTGTAGTACTAAATGAGGAAACCGAAGACTCGCCTATTTTCCATCAACCAAAATTGAAGACGTGCCAGTGTCAGTGCCCTTATCTTGGCTTATTACTAGCGACATGTAGTTCGTTTTTCTTTTCAATGTGTTCCGTTATAGTTAAATGGATGGCGGAAATAGACCCAACAGCATTAGCCGCATATCGTTACGTTGGTGTTTTGCTGCCAGCCATTCCCGTTGTTTTATACAAACAAGAACCGGTTATTCCCAAGGGGAAATGTATGGTATTGATTCTTCGATGTTTTACTGGAACGATGTCTTTAATGTTAAGTTTTTACGCGTTCCGACATATGTCCCTCGCGGACGCTTCTGTAATAATTTTTTCGGTCCCCGTATTTACAGCTATTTTTGCCAGAATGTTTTTGAAAGAACCGTGTGGCATTTTCACTGTATTTTCGATAGTTCTTACTGTTATTGGCGTAATTTTTATAGCTCGGCCTTCGTTTCTATTTGGCTCTATGATAAATTCTCTGGGAAATTCGCGAGGTGAATTGGAAATTTGGGGAATAGTGGCTGCGTTTTCTGCCACGCTCTTTGGAGCAAGCATCTACGTTTTACTAAGAGCACTAAAAGGAGTACATTTTTCTGTTTTAATGTCCAATTTCGGCGCTTTCGCTCTTGTTCAGTGTTTGCTGATAAGTTGGTGGGTGGGAGGTTTATGCATGCCACCTTGCGGCTTCGACAGATTGCTGATAGTTGCATTAGCTGTTTTTAGTTTTAGTGGTCAGATTTTGTTAACGTTAGCACTCCAAATGGAACAAGCAGGTCCAGTCTCTATAGCGCGAAGTGCTGATATCGTCTTCGCGTTTATTTGGCAAGTTTTGTTCTTTGAAGAAGTACCCAATAGGTATTCGGTTACGGGAGCCGTTTTAGTTCTCACGTCGGTTATTTTAACCGGTATGAGAAAATGGGCCATAGCGCTCCCTGAAACGTCCTCTTTAAAACATAAATTAAAAATATTTACCAAGTAGGTAAAATCATCTTAGCTTAAATGTACGTCCATTGTGGATTAGACATATTTGAAATGCTACTGCTGTAAATATTGCAATAAAGTCTTACAGATTAATTAAACTTCTTAAATACATATTATTACGATATGTGCTGTGATTTAAATCATGGATGCGACGCATTTATTACGCCGCTGCCAATAGTAATATTATCATCTGTGAAAGCCATACGCTCGGAGGCACTTTATCTATGAGAAGCTTCTATGGTAGTGGAATCAATGACATAGATTAGAGATGTACAATATACTATAACATCTCGTATCTGTGTTCAATAGAATTAACCTCACTACTCTGTTATCTATGTAATTTAATGTAACCTCACAACTTAATGCACTTTCGATTGGTGACGAAGCGTTTTCTTTTTGCTAAATTTTTTCAAGAAAAATTGTGTGTGTGCGTACAGTGTCAGTGCGTATAAATTAATTCCAAAAAAGAAAAGCGCATTAAAAAAGTATCTCTTGAATATGGCTTCAATCGCAGCTCAACCAAGTGTCACCGACTACTTGTCTAAAAAACAAAAAGAAGCCCCCAAGGATTTGGCCACAGAATGGGCTGAAATAGAAGAACTTCACAATAAAAAGTAAAACTTATTTAATTTGAGAACAGATACCGTTATCCTAATCAAAAACATTTATAGGCTTTGGCATCAGCTAACTCTCAAGTTATTAGGCTTTGTGAAGCACCCTTCACTTCAAAAGGGCGATAGTTTAATTCAGCTTTACAACAGTTTTATTTCGTCTTTTGAGAATAAGTATGTTATGATACTTAAGTGAAGTATTACCTATTTACTAATAAGCCTGATTTTAGAATAAATCCTTTGTCTCTTGTGGAAATAGTGGTTGTTGTTATTGATCAGTTCTCAAATAAGAAAGATGCCATAGCATTTTTAGAAAAAATAGAAACCAAAGTCAAATCAAACACTGATGCTTTAAATCTTACTAAAGTAACTAATTGACTTAAGTCACTTAACTGTACTTCTGTATAAATATGTATAATAAATACTTCTAGGTATTGGAAGGGCAGATATATTTGGAAAAATTAAATGATTTAGAATCTACTAAGAAGATTATTGAAGATGTGGAGGGAACCCTTGACAGTGTTGATGGAGTAACCCCTGTTCATGGAAGGTTCTATTTATTAGCATCTCATTACTACAGGTTGAAAACAATTTTGTTTTTCTGTTGTTAATTAATGTAGATATCTTAACAAATTTGTTTTTGTAGAATACAAGGGGATCATGCCCAGTATTATAGAACGGCACTTAGATATTTAGGATGCACTGATTTGGACAATTTATCTGAGGACACCAAGCATCAGCAGGCCTTTTTTTTGGGACTGGCTGCCCTATTAGGGGAAGGTGTGTATAACTTGGGTGAATTACTGACCCATCCAGTTTTAGAAAGCTTAAAAGAAACAGAGAATGCCTGGCTTGTTGAATTACTTTATGCATTTAATGCTGGTGACATCAACAAGTTTGAAAACATGAAACCGCAGTGGTCAACAGTCGCTGATTTAGCAGCACAAGAACTTTTCCTGAGACAAAAGATTTCTCTACTCTGCTTGATGGAGGTAATAATATGATGTAAAAAGTTACGTATTTTTTATGTATATAAATTAAATTTTTACAGATGACATTCAAAAGACCTTCGCATGATAGGCAGCTTACATTCGTGGAGATCTCGCGAGAGACGAAATTACCTTTGAACGAGATCGAACTTCTCGTTATGAAAGCGTTGTCTCAAGGACTTGTAAAAGGCGCTATAGATCAAGCGAGTTAACGAAATTATATGATTTATGAAATAATCACTAACTCGTTTTTGCTCTTCCAGGTTGCCGGCACAGTCAACATGACCTGGGTGCAACCGCGAGTGTTGGACAGGAATCAAATTTCGAACATGGTTCAAAAATTGGATGTTTGGTGCAAACATGTCAACACAATGGAAAAATTACTTGAAGAGAAAGCCTCTGAAATACTTACTTTGTAACTACTTTTTTGTATTCACGTTTTTTACGTTCCGTTTGTAACAGTTATATTCGTCTTTATTTAATAAAACGTGTAAAATTATTACAAAAAAAGAATATTTAATTATTAAAAACTAAATAATAATTAATTAGAAAATCAAATTATAGATTCTACAATTTTCGTCCGAAAATTAGTTTTCACACCAAACAACCGGTGGCTATAGATTGAATACAATGGTTTTAGTCAAAAGTCATTTGGTCTGAAAATTAATTCTCAAGATTGTAAGCATTTGTTTATGTATAACGTATTATCTATCCCACGAAAGAATAAACGGATATTTATTTTTCCGTGAACTTCATGTACACTTTTTAAATCGACTAACAAAAATTAAGACAAACATTGAAGAGAATAGTGAACTAATAAAAGATATACCTGGAATGGATAAAATATAATCTTGAGAGTTTATTCTCAGGTCAAATTACTGTTAGTTAAAACCGTCGTATTCGGTTAGTTGTCTGCGGTCGTTTGGTCTGAAAATTAATTATGTAACTTCTGTTTCAAATATGTATTGGAATGGAATACTACAGAAATGATTCTTATTTTATTTAAAAACAAGCACGGTGTAATAAAGAGGGAGCATGTTGGAGCATTAATTGATTATATTTTGGATAAAAAGAAAAAACAATAATTAACAAGAAAATTAAATATAGATTTCACATTTTTCGTCCGAAAATTAGTTTTCAGACCAAACGACCCGCAGCTACAAACTGAATACAACGGTTACAGCTAACAGTTATTTGGTCGGAAAATTAACTCTTGAAATTGTAAACATTATTTATGTTTAAATTGAAAGTAGATTTGTCTAATGTGTGACTTTTGCTTCGAAAACATACAAAAATTAGAACAGACACGCGCAATCGGCAAAAAAAAATTAATTCATTTTATTTAAAAAGAAGCACGCAGAGTGTAATAAAAAGGCAGTATACCAACGCAATAATTGAATAATGAGAAGAACTACTAAACCGTGGATCGCTATCTCTTGAATAATCTCTCCCAAAAATTGCGAATGTTATCAACCGATTCTCAGGTTCAATTAATGCTAATGTTCTTTTTTTGGAATTAATTTGGGATATATTTTCGTAAGACCATTTAAAGTTTGTCGTTGGTAGTGGTCTCAAATTACTTCTTAACGAATTTGGATATTGTATTTTGTGCAAAACATTCGAGAAATTCCCTTTAATTGTAATACTTTGGAACGTGATAGGCCACGAAACAGTGGAATAATTTGAAAATCTAAAACAAAATTGGTTAACTGACGTACACACAATATCATGCAAGATGTTTGTTCCAACAAAAACAATACCTTACACCGCAGGTTGCTGGAGTATTATTCGTACAAGCTACAACGGCACAAGTCTCAATGCCACCGTTGTACGTACCGGAAAACGTTCGGACACCACTGAATGCCAAAAAGGCGTAATTATAAGAATTTTGGGCACCATTAGTGACACTGTTCACAGTAAGGTTAACACGAAACTGACAACACAAAATATTCTCGCCACTTCCGTGACATAAGGATTTGTCAATGCTAGTAGTAGTAGTTGTGTTGATAAGTTGAAAGGCGTAGTCTAAAAAATAAAGTCATTAAATGTTTCTTTAATGTGATATTGCAATAAATATACCGGTCAAGTTATCTTTTAATAGAAAAAAATTATCCAACGTTAACGCAACCTTGTCTATTTCCTCAGTTGTAATTTTAGTTTCAACGCTAGTTAATAATGATCGCGGTGTGCGTTTAGTAACATTAGCAACATAAATTTTCGAATCCCCTTGGGCAATTATGTCTTCAATAATTGCTCCCCGGGACCCTAAAACAGATTTCTTTAATAATTGTATTCTTCACATTTAATTATGTATGTACATATATACACCTTCAACTATTGCACTGCCACCGCTTCCAACTGCAGGATTGTTGGCTCCCGCAGCCAGAAAATTAACATCATTTTCGTATGCCCATTGCTCCTGGGCCTGAAGAGCTGAAACAGTGCCAAAGTTTGGATACATACATTGTAACCTTTATTATTATTTCTTACCGGTCAAGAAAGGCAATTCTGAAAACCACATGGTCGGAAAGACGAAATCACGAATGCCGTTTCTTAGAAGGGCATTTGCTGGCGTATCAAAAAGCAAATCGAAACAAATGAACTGACCGAAAGTGACGTTGAAGTCCGTAGTGAACGGAGAAAGTTCAGCTTTACTCGTTTTATTGAGAGTATATTCTCCAAACAGATTATATTTTCTGTACCTGTGCAAGTCACACAAATAAAATAATGTATAAAACGTAAAAATTGCCTGTACCTTCCGACAACGGTTCCATTTCTATCAAAAATGACATTGGAATTATAAAAATCCCAATTATCTGAGGCGCATTTGTTTCCTGTGCAAATGCGTTTCTCAATAACGTTCGCAACTAAGTATACAGCTCGATTTTTGGCACCACACGATAAACTAATCAAATATTGCGAATAGTTTTCGCTTGTTTGGTGACAAACGACAATATTTTTTGAAGGATCGGGTATTATGGTGGCAAGGGCTAATAAAATTGTTCGATTTCTGTTTTGAAATCCTGTTGTTATTGTTGCCTCAGGAAACACGACTATGTCTATGTCCTTGAACAAAAAACAACAAGTGTCTATTATTTCATTTATTTTTTCTGGTAATAACTTTTATCATAAACTTACTTCTGTCACCTCATTAAGTAATGATAAATAATTATTAACATTTTTCAGAGTCTTGTCTTTCGGTGACAAACCGATTTCTTGTACAGGAAAATATTCGACAACTGCGGCCGTGTAATAGGGCGAGTTGGCCGTTGAAACCTACAAATATATTTGTTTTTTTACTTTTTATCAAGTACGGGCATTTTTTGTATAAATAACTTCAGTCTCTATCTAATACCATGCATTCATGGTGTGATTCGATCCTATCTCAAGTTATCTCACACTTGTTGTAATTAAAAAGATTACGTAACAATTACGAAAAGCTATGTATTAATTTCATCGTGTTCTTTTTTAAATGAATGCTTCGATACGATTAAAGAGGTGATTAAATTAATGTACGAAAATTGATTTCGATTCACCATTTTTCGTCTGAAAATTAATTTTCAGACCAAATTACCTACGGTCTAACTAATAGTTGTTTGGTATGAAAATTAACTTCTGCTTTATTTTCACGTCTAAAGAAGTAATTTTTGAATGGACATTTAATTAAAGACTATTTATTTAAAATACAATTATACATTCCGATACATTTAAACAAACTGGCAATTAACTTTAACTAACAGTAACGTTAGAAACGCGCTGTCTAATTTCTAATAAGAGAATTATTCGTAAAAGAATAGTTAGCTTCTATCTCATCTTTTAATAGTCATACCACAAGTGACGTTCACGAAAAACTTTAATTATCTCCTTATCGGGAGACGTTTCGTCTTGTAATAGATAAAATCTTATAATGTAATGTGTTCTATAAAAATTCCCACTTACCTGCAACGTGCGCTGCAAAAAATTCAATAAAAGCGACAGACGCAAAATATAAGACATGTTTTTTTTATCGTTTCTTGTTCGCAACGAAATTCCAAAACTGTTACTGATCTTTAAAGTCAATATTTTCTAACTTATACACGACAGATAATGATAATGATAACAGATAAGGGACGCAATCGGTTAGAAGGAAAATAAAAAAAATATATTGTCACGTGTGTTAAATCATTAACATAAACGATCTACTTGATCGAATTTCTTCGATTATATTTTTGCGCTTACTTCTTTACAGAATATTATTTATTACTATTGTTATCGTTAATAATAACACGGTAGCTGTTGTATTCTTATTAGTATTATACATTACGTTTATTATCATTTACCTGTAGTTCTTATTTAAATAAAAATATACAAGTGGTAGGTACATTAAACAAGGTTTTTATAATATTTACAAACAAACCGTAGAACAAAAAAAAAAAACATTATTTAGCGACCTCACGAGGTCACTGCTCATTCATACTCCGCAAACTTCCGAGAAAAAAAAAAAACAAAACGTTTTCCCTATTTATATGTATCTATAAGTACTCATACCTGAATCACAACGATAAATAAATAATAACTGATTGTTGATAGAATACGATTCAATACGCTGTGTTTATATGTATATTACAGATACATGTTACATGTATGTGTGTGTCCTTTATTACGATATTTAATTGGCCCTTTAATTAAGGAAAAATCCCAACGTTATTTATTTTTCTTCCTTCATCTTTGTTTTGATTCTCAACGACGAAAATAGACCCACTGATAATAAAAAAAACCTTCTAATTTCCTGGTCACGTATCGCCAGAAAGACATCACATGTTTTTCCTTTTCATTTCCCACCCCCATTTTTTTAATTAGATTACTTCGACAACAGAAACAACTTCGATTTCTTTCGTGCAAAAAATATCTGACAGTGATTGACAAATGCTCGCCCTTTCTCATGCAAACGATCCATCTTTGCCTTGACTATTCGACATGCTGCTCGATTTGCTGGTACCTGACAACCTAAAACAATAAACAATTAGACCGATAACGTTCTACGGTATTTAATATGGGATTTTAAACTGGTTCCAGACTAGCCTTCTTTCACCATCGAATCCCGTTGGTTTCAAGGAAAGTTTCGACGGAAAAGAATTAAGAGACTCTTCTGAGCTATAGCTCACTTGTTCGCTAAAAGAGAGAAAAAAATAACCAAAAGGAATGCGTAAAGGCTACTTCCTGTCCTACCTATCGGATTCGGTGGTTCCCTCTTCTAAATCGCCCTGTATCGCCGCCTGTAAATCTTCGATCCTCTTAAGGGCCAGTTTTAGATCAGCTTTGGAAGCAGATGCTTCCACTTCTAAACACTCGCATCTCTTCTCTAGCTCTTTCTTTTTCTGCAGCCACTCGTTTTCTTTCGACTGATGATGGCCCAATTCTTCTTTAAGTTCTCTGTAGGAAATGCACATTTTCTAATAAATATATTTTCAAAGTCCGAAACAATTATAAACCTAATGTTCTTTTGTAGTTTTCGCACGTTCTCTTGAGCGAGTTGCTCCTTTGTCCTGTGGGAAACAATCTCGTTCTGAAGCTTATCCACTGCCTCCTTGAGTCTTGTTATTTGGGTTTCCAGCCGAGATCGAGTTGTTTGCTCCAGGTCTAGTTTTGACTCTAATTCTTTGTTCTTCAATTCAAGCCTGCCAAACAAAGAAAAAACCATGAAACCACCGCAAAATCCGCAAAGACGATCTTACCTTTTAACCAGAAGATTCGATGAAGCTTCGCCGATATTTTCAGCAGACTCTAACTTCGAGGTCACCTCGGCCAATTGTTCTTTCAACGTGTTTCTTTCTGCTTCAAGTTCGGACACAAGAGACACTTGCTCTTGTAGTGCCAATTGATCTAGAGACATTTGTTGCACTGCTGCCTTGTACTTTTTCAACACTTCCGCCAATTCTTCCTCGTTTTCTTCCAATTGGGCTTGCAAATCGGACCTGTCGACGACATAAAGTAATTAAAACAGCTCGTGTTATTGTCGAAATTTATATTACTTTTCTCTGGACAATGAGTTGACCTTTTCCTCGGCATCGTGCCTTCCCTTTTGAGTTTCTTCCAACGTAGTTTGTAATTCGAAGAGTTCCGTCTCTACAGACTGCTTTGCTTTCACTGCGGACGATCTCGCATAGTCAAGATCTTCTATCTGATTCCGTAGCTGTCTAATAACGGCTTTGCTCGGATTTTCGGATTTTTGACGATCCAATTGGGCTTGAGTATCGCGCAAAAGAACCTTGCTACGTTTCAGATCGCGTTTTAGTCTTTGTAGAAGAGCCTCATCGCCTGCCCTATCATTTCTGTCACTTTCTGCAAATGCTGTCAAACGCCTTTCGAGTTCGTGTTTATCGCGTAACAACTGAGTTCGTTCCTCATGTTCGTTTTCCAATTGGGCCTCCAATGCTGAAACGAAACATTTTTTACTTCCGTTCCATCACACTCGTATGTCGGTAATATTTACCCTTGACTTTCTTCTGTGCATTGCATCGTATTTCTTCTATTTCGTCGTCACGTTGTTGTGCTTCTTTTTTGGCTTCCTTGCGCTGTTGTTCCAATGACATTTCCAGTCGTACTTTCGACTGTTCCAACAGCTGAACTTGACCCGCAAGTTCGTCCAATTCTTCCTCTTGGTCCAACAGTCTTCTTTCCATATCCATCTTTTGTTTCCGGAGGACGGCGATCTCCTCTTCGGTTTTTCCGCCGTGCGTCAGTTCGTCCAGTTCCTTTTGAAGAGCTCGGAGCTTCTCTTCTTTCAGTTCGAGTTCCAATTTTGTGTCCTTAAAAAAAATTCATGAACAAGAGGAGAAAGCAAACTCGTTGGCAGTGTTTCCTTACGGCCAAGTTTGTCTCTACGTTGTATTTTTCTGTTAGTATCACATCCTTTTCTCTGGACAGTCGATCCCTCGCTTGCCTTTCGGAACGCAGTTCGTCCTGAAGGAGTTGCATTTCGGAGTCGAATTTGCGCTGTTTTTTTTCCAATAAATTATTTCTGGCACTTTGCTCTTCCAAAAGAAGACGCAAATCGTTGGTTTCGCTATTCAGCTTTTGTACTTTACGCTTCCATTGTCCGACAACTTGTTTTTGTTCTTCGACTTCTTCGTAGGCGTCCGTCAACTGGCCGAAAAATTACCAAAAAGTTATAAGAAAAAAAAAAAAAAAAATAGAAAAACAATCAGCGGCGCGAACTCACTTTTTTCTCAAGTTGCTTCTTGAGTCCCACCAACTGCTCTAAATCGTCTTCGTGTTGTTGTTGCAGCCTTTTTTTGGTAAATTCGAGTTCTTTTTTTGCCCTTTCGTATCTCTGTTTGTAAATGTTGGCGTCGTTGTTGTCGGCACATCCGTCGTCATCTTCCTCTGAAATCCCATTAAGGTCCGATTTGGCATAGAGCAATTCGAGCTCCAGCCGTTCCGAAGAATCTTGCAAAACTTTATTTTTATTTTGCACTTCCGTAAGTTCGCGTTCCAGACGCATACGTTCCGATGTTTCGGCCTCGAGACGTTCCGTCGCCAAGGTCGACGTTGAATGTTCTTCGGCCAAATCAGCTGTCATCTCGCTCAGCTGAATTAGGCAAACGAAAAGAAATTCAACAAAACGTTGCTTTGCTTTTAAGCTGGTTTCAAATGTGGCCAGGGCATCAATTTACACTTATAATATTTATTAAACATACAAACAATAGGTAGATAATACAACGTCAATATTAATATTACTACCTCAATCACCTGCCCATGTTTTTTCTTTTTAATAAAACGGTGTAATAATAGAACTGTAAAAGAATTTGCGTGTATAAACAATTTATGGAAGTTAAAAATGTTCGAAATACTATTTTAAAAGAAAGGTGAGTAATAAGAGCGAAATGCCAAGGCAGAAAATAAATTTAAGTAAACGTGGCGATTAGTGTCGCGTCTGCGTAAACAGTTAAATTGTCCTTTGAACGAAACCGGTAAATGCCAAATACATAGATAGAAATACCTCGTCAATTTCCGCTTCTGTACGGTCTTCCGAAACATCTCTGGCAAGTGAAGACCTACAACTATTCGTCCTACTGTACAATTGAAATCCCTTAATAAGAATATTGGTGGCACTTTTAGATCGGCCAAATTGCTTGGCATTCTTTAATACTACGGAATCATCTCCCGATGGTTCTTTTTTCCCTAATCGTTTCCACTCCTCCATTACATGATCCGTTCTATTGAGAAAATCGGAAATTTTATTGGTTAAATAATTCGACGTTGTTCCTTTGTCCATAAAAGCCGGTATGGGCGTCACATGCTGCTTAATTTTCGCCTTGCATCCAAGGACGAAAGTTAAATTTGCGTCAAATATCACAGGCGATTCCTCATGGCTTTCTAAATCGTCCAAATCAACGGACACGCCCACCTGGGGAAAAACTCTTCTTGGAGTTACGCTGCCATGCGAATTGGTACACATGCTGCTTGGACGAGAACAGGAAACCACTGAAGAACATGGGGATGGACTAGGTGACTTGGCAAAACTCTTTTTAGATACATAATTATCATTGGACGGAGTACCGTAACCGTTTAACAAAAGAGTCGGTCGAGGAGGGAGGTTTTTGAAAGAGTTCTCGGAGACCGTGAAAGGAGATGGACTTTTAGAATGAATACTTCGTGGAATCGAATTTTCTCTGTTTAAAACGGGTAAAGAACTTCCATTGGAATCGTTTTTTAAAGATGTTGGAAATGATGGAGATGTACTTTTGTTGCGAACATAGCGTGGTATCGAATTTTCTCTTGTATAACACCCAATAAACTCCTTTTCTGGACTACACGCCGAGGCAGGTGTTGCACCACGCGCCATGTTTTTGGAATCTGTCTCTTCGTCTTTTTGCGAAAAATACGACGAATAATTTTTACTAGGACTTGTCGACGAATGCCTTTGTGGAGGAGTGAGAACGGTCAAGTCTTTAAGAGGGTAAGTCTGGAAATAGACGCCCCCTTTGGGACCTGTACTTGCAGCAGTTGATCTTCGTACGGGGGTGTTGTATCCTCTTCTTGGCAAAGAGGAGGACGGTATATGAGGAGGTAGACTGCTGGTCAGAGGCATGGTAAGGCATGACGGGGCAAAAAGGAAAGAGTTAGAGTATGCGTTGGGACAATAGGAAGATGACGATGAGGAAAGGGATGGAGAAGGAGACGGTAGGTGTCCGAAGTTGTCACGAGGCATCTGAAGCCATGTCACTTGCACTAAACACCAGTGAAGGGATTTTTATTTTGTGATGTTTGCGCGATTCTTGTATTATTTTGCGAAGGAGTCGGGTGTAGGACTGACGCGGACAGACTAAACGATCTCAGTTCCAAAGCTATTTTAAGTCGGAACTAAAGTCGTACCGATTACTACATCTAACTTTAAACGAAAATCTAATTTTATACCGTCAACTCTACTGAATTATACACAACGTCGATTTACTTGTCCCCTTTTTCAATTGTTTTTCATTTCGTACCTACTTACTTGTAAATTACACGATTCTTAAAAATGTTATTGATTGATGCACATCAATCGGTGGGTAGGTACTAGGTACGAAGTTGAATGAAAATAATAATCCGTCAAAATATTATTATTAAGTTCAAAAAAAAAACACGTTGTTTTTGGAAATGGTGAAGGCCACCTTCTCTCTTTCCAAAGTAAATAAGTATGCACCTACATATTTACAAACATTTAAAGGGTTATTACTGGTGTTGTAAATAATAAAATGAAAAAAAAAAAAACTTCATGGTTTACGATACTCGCATGTCAGGCCATCAAATTAGAAAAACACCAAAATTAAAGTTAGCAATAAACAGGTGGCCCGATGCCAAAATACACCGACTAACTTCCATTTCAATTTATTTGGTTATACAAACTTACATGTACGCAAGTACGTACATATACTAGATACCTATAAATACATATATAGGCACTTATACATGTGTGGAAGGTATTGGTCGGGAAGTAGAAAAGCTATTTCAAGAATTTTAATACTGAAATAATTTTTTCCTCGTCTTCTTCCGTCTAGCAACGGATGAAATGACCGACTAAAATGGATAGGTCACTTAAAATCTGGGTCAATTATGATTATTCGAAACACCCGATATAGAAAGTACTCGCGACGACATACAAAGCTATAAAAGGACTGTATGTAAGCTTTCAAATGTTAAATGGTTAGGTACCTACTTAGACGCGTCTAATCGGAAGGCCCATAAAACGTCACGTTGTGTTCCCTATCTACAATATCTGGTAACTACCTACCGACATCAACAGTACTACTATTATAATCTGTCGTATTAATTTTTAACTTTTTGCAAACATTATCATATCACAATTGTCACATTGGCACAACTGCAAATTAAAATACACTTATTATCAAAGTACAAGTACAGAGACTCTTTGGCGCCTTCGGAAAACGGCAATTATAATAATTTAGGCTTGTGTTCAACTTTAAGGGCATTAATCAGGAGCTGATGTCAAAAACTGTTGCCAACTAATTCGCTAACTTCGGTATTAAGTTAACAGTCGTACAAATTAAATTTGCCAATTAATTTGTACGTATGTGTGTAGGTATTAGACGGTAAAAATTTTTAAGTAACAAATCTAGCACATTACTCTAATGTACAACGAAGATAAACTTGAAAAATATCACTCACTCTGTACCTACGCACATACCTACGTATAAGGTATTCGAAAAGATTAATTTAAACGAAAACCATTCTAATAAATAAGACCTGTACTATATTCATTTATCGGCAGTAATAATCCGATGGCCCGGTTCCTTCAATTTTAAAATTGTCTCTTAAATATTTATGGGCGTCTTAGACACGTTTTTTCATGACCAAGTTATCAATCAAGTTCAAGTTAACTGTACTTGACCGCGAGTGCAACAAGGTATGGGGTCCACTGAAAAATTACGGTCCGCCGTATAAGAAGAAAAAAATGCAAATAGCGCAACCGACATTCAATCGTCCGATATACACAACAAAAGACGTTCTCGGATCAAACAAGTTAAACAATGAGAAGTATATACACAAAAAGTGTGGACAAATGTACATAAGTGTAGGATAAAATTAAACAGAAAACATAAATCTCACCTTTGCTTCAAGTTTATCCTTTTCGTATTTCAACAAAGTCCTTTCGGATTCCAATTTTTCCACCTTAGCTTTTAAGTTTTCTAATTCCTCCTGAAATGGATAATTAAATAAAAAGCCCTTAGGGGGAATATTTAACTGTAATTGCTCATTACTGATGGGAAACGAATTTCCATTTCCTGCACCTGAGCAAGAGTTAGTCAGTAGTTGCTGTTCTGCTGAAGCATTAGGTAGGTACATACATAAGAAAAGCACTTTGCATGATTACCGTTTTATTTTTCAGTTCTTCTTCCGTCCTGTGGACATTAAGAAGCGGCGTAACCCGCACCAGAAGCCTCCACCAGGGCCAATCCCTGACCACAAGGAATTTCCTTACATTTCTCTGTATGCAACGTACTGCTATGTCTTGCAATCTTCTTTGGATCAACTTTTTTCGCGTGATATAGCCCCTGCAATGGGCCTGCAAACTGACCACCATGCCTGCCAGGTGTTCATCTCTTTGGTTCTCGAGCTGGGCAAGAACGCCGCTTCGAAGGAATATCTTTAAACCACCATAAATTTAAAAACCACTTTATCAAAAAATGGGGACGACAAACAAGCCTACTGCTGTTACTCCATTTTCTCGCTCAGATGATTTTTAAACTGTTTATAATCTATTTTAGACCGAACCAACAGAAAATAGACTTGCAACAATGTTTGTAAATTGCATGTATTATCCATACATGTATTACACTATGTATCTAATAAGAACAATTATTTATTTTCCTAAATAACTTGAGTGGGTTATGGTACATTTACTTGCTTAAACATTCTGGTGACCTAATTTGCCTCTATTTAAAATTGGACTACAAATTTACGGTTGCGACCATAAACTGCATCAAATAAATTACAATTCAAAGACAGAACTGATAAAACCAAACAACTATCGTTGTAAGTACCTGTCTTTATATGCAAAAATTTTAAAAGTGAACGTACGATAATAAGTTTTTTTAACGATTAAACTGGTTAATACCATATACGAATGGCAATGCATTTTTATTGTTTAATTTTATCAACAACGAAAGTACAAATGTGTCTCACTACATGTAGTTCCATGGAACTCCATTTACGGTTTTTATACAATAAGATTATTGACCCACATTTTAATGATCTAATAATAAATAATAATTGTTTTAAACTTACATTATAATGGATTCACATAACTAGTCAAATTGCTTTGTAAAATTATCGAATCATTTATTGATGTATGGGTAAACGAACCGTTACGAATGCATGCAAAAATTAGTACATAATTAATACGAGGTCTCATTATCAATAAATCATTTGATAGTGAGGGTAATTAAAGACGCTTATAACAAATCATCTTACGATTAACAGTAGAGAAATTGAAAAAAAAAAAAAGTTTTTTGGGATAAATGCCAGTGGCAACGAGTGAAATCGTGAGTGCCATAGGAGAAAGTAACCGAATGTCAATGTCTTTAAATTTAAAGAAACCAACTAACTTTCTTCTTACCCAAGTATTAATGAACAAATTCCAATGCGAATTTTCTCATCAGAGCAATACGAGCAAACAATAAACAGATGCGTCGATTAATCGTAATATACAGGGTGTTTTCTTAACGATATAAAAACTAACTCACCGTTTTGTTATCGCCGTTTTGACACGATACAGTTGCGGCAACTACTGCGGTATTTTTTTGCAAGTCTTTTACTTGTTCTTGTTCAGGTAAAGGTAAAGGTAAAATGCTGATTTGTGAATCTGAATTCTCGGTACAATTTAAGGATTCCATGCTGGTATTATTACCACTAGAAATCGCTACGTCATTGGAGATGTTCCCCGAATCATCGGAGTTATCGTCAGAAATGTAATCTTTTAATACCCGGAAGTTCTGTTCGTCATTCCCGAAAGGGTCCTTTTCGAATTTAACTTCGCCTGTCTCTTCTATATTAAATTTGATATTTTTCATCAGGTCTATCAACAAATTCTTGTTGGCTAAATTTAAAGGATCAGTAACATTAACGTTCTTGACGCACTTCGGGCTCAGTTCTTTCGTAGTGTTCTTCGGTACGTGTGGTAAAATTTTAGCTGTTTGTTGGGATTTCTTGGAATTGTTTTTATTGTTTATATCGACGAATTTTGGTTCGAACTTACTTTTTCTTGCACCAAAACTACCTTTTGGCGGAGGTCTGTTCTTGATAACGTCCGTAAGAGATTTCGAAAAGGCTTTCTGATTAGCATTCATAGTTTTGGCATCCATCGACGCTTTATCTTCTGGGGGCCTTTTAGAACATCGAGGCTGTGTGGCAGCAATGGCACGCGTGCTCTTCACCTTTTCAGGCTGTTCACACTGTTCGAACCGTTGCAATTTGCCGCTCAAGTTCATGGTACTTTTGGACTTGTTGGAAAGGTTTAATTTTCTCTGTCTCTGATTTTCGTTCAACTTCAGTACCTTTAGGCTGAGATCTTGGATATTGTTTGTCGAAAGTTTCGGGGCAAAAATGTCACCCATTTCCTTGGGCTTGAGACGTTTATTGATGTTGTTAATATTACCGGCACTTCTCGTCTCTTTGTCTATCAAATTTAGACCGGACGGAGTGCTGACGAATTTGGACTTTGATAAGCAAGACTTGATGGGAATTTTGCTCGGAACAACGTTTCGTTTGTTTATTTCAACAGCACCAACGTTTTCGGTGCGTTTGATAGCAGTATAAGGTTCTTTTGTTTTGGGATCCGTAGTAAGCTTCTGTATTTTTAAATCTTCGGACGATTTTATCGGGAGACTGGCCGACTTCTTCGCTTCTGGCGGTTTCGATCTCGCAAGATTATTTTTCGAACTAGAACCGGAAGTGGTTGACAAATTGTTAAATTTCCGAATAACTTCTTTTACTTCACTGTAACCGTCATTATTATCTTTGTCTACGTGTTGTTCTTTTTCAGTTTCAAAAGTCGTATTTGTTTTCAAACGGAAACTTTTTGCAAGATAAATGTTTTCCAAACTTTTCGATTCCGAGTGCTGGATATTTCCGGCCGTTGCTTTTTTCAAAATGCACTTAGACTCGATAATACTGCATGTCCTCGATTTTTGTAACTTCGGTTTGTCATTAGCTTTTCTTTGGACTTTACGTCGATCGTTACCGTTCGTTTCTTTTGTCGTTACCAAATCTAGTCCGTTTATCACAGTAGAGTTTTGTTTGGAACCGTCAAATTCGCTCAAAATTTTATCAAAAGTGTCTATGGCTGCAGACAATTTTTTCTCGAAACTTGGCATTTCCGATTCGAACGGGACCTCGACGACTGTAACGTTACTTTCTACAGAAGATTCCATGAAATAGTTTTTGCTAACAGGATCTGCTTTTTCATTTTCCTTAACGGGAAGTCGCTGCTCCTGCGGCGTATCCGTATAAGTTTCAGTTGATTCGAACTGCATGTTTTCATACGTGTGCTCGTGATTGCTGTGTACTACTATTACTTCAGGATCTTTCTTTTTGGTTATTTCTAAAAGTTCCTCTTGAGTAAAAGTGCTAATATAAACTTTATCATCGTCCTCTTCGCTTGCGGAAGACACCGGCAAATTATTACACAGTAATACCACAGAACAATCTTGTTCGCTTCTTTTTAAATCGTTGCTGTAAGTTGTAGTAGTTCTAGTTGTAGTGGCCTTTTTATTGTTACTGTTACTACAGCCGACTCCGAGCCATTTCTTTTGGGCGCTGCACAGTTTCTGGAGTACAGGCTTGACCGTTTTCGGAGCGGTCAATTTATATTTTGGCGAAGGCATCCTTCTACCGCTGCTATTACCTATACGAATATGCGATGGTGCTGTACTGTGTTGTTCGTTCAATAAAACAATAATCACGAAGATAAAAAATTAATTAGGATCCCATGACCGGCTTTGTACTGTTTCAATAGTACGAGTATCTGTCCGTTTAATGACCAGTTGGTTTTTTATATGAGAAGCTTTTATCAGGTTGAACAATTGTCCGGTAAGTGCGCGTGCTATTCACGTCCGAAGACGATGATGCGGTCTGTTTGGCACACACACTATGGATAGGAAACTAAATGGGTAACTGGGTGAATATACTGTTAAATGACAACGGGCGAACACAACATCATTCTTATTCAGCGGGTACCTATGTAAGCGATTTGCTATCCACACACGTATGCAGACATATTTTCTTCGAAAAAGAAAACGAAACTTATTAAGGTAGTAAATGTAAAAAAGTCCGTCGGTTTCATTTGTACCACTACAAAATGGCAGCTTTGATAAGAAGACCTTTTGATTTACGAAAACAATAACGCCTTGTTAGCTGATAAACCCCAGGTCAAGAGTCAATTCAGTAGTTTAATAAATGACACTTTACAAAGTTCAAGCAGCATTTATTACTTCGCCACACCAGTCACGACTGATCGATTAATGACGATATCGATCAGATTTCGATTCACCGTCTGCTCTCTCGGATTTCCGAAACTTCTGGCGTCCAAAGATAACGTGAAACATGAATAAAACGAGACCGGCCACGTTCAAAAAATACACGAAATTCGATGTGCTCTCGAATATTTGCATAATAATCCGAATAAAAATAAAAAAATTATAAAAACAAAGTTTACGTGTCCCAATCACACCATCGGCTTCTCGTAACGCAACATCATACAACAATTGCGACTTGACCGATTAATACTGTTATTATGTCCGATGAATCCGCGGCCGCAACAACCTGTTCATGTATCGTACTATCGAAGTAATAATGAAATAAATGAAAACAAGCGAATAGCTGCTGCTGTTGCGCTTACTTGCAAAGCTACTACTTCTTATTCGTTTGGTGGTGGTGGTAGAGAAAGAAGCACCAGGCGAAAGGCTTAAAACCGCTACGAAGTTAAAAAAAAATGTCCATCACCGAGAGCAACGACAGCCAACCTGCTGTCCTGCTGCAGCCAGTGGACGAGCAACAGGTTGGCTTTTTTTTCGCCAAGAGTTCGCATCGCCTACAGCTGACCGCTTAACGAGCACACTTCTACAATATACCTTGTACATATCATGTAGATGCCATCGCGTAAGAACAAACTGGAAAACGATATCCGATATTCCTGTTATTTAAAAAAAATATAGCACCTGCTTGTAATTATAGTAAGATAAGATATAGTAGGGAATTCTGTCCAGAGCGTAAATTGCTAGCCGAGCCAAAGGGCCATACACGATTTTTTACCATACCCCTACCGAAAGTACGACGATTTTTCCTAGATGTAACATAATCTCCTGTCTGAGCAAGAAATCGCGTTTACCGTACACTAGGGAATTCTATCAGGTCGGCTCTTTTTAATCGACTCGTAACAGTTTTTCTAACAGCAGAAAACGGAAAGCACCCGTTGAACTGTATATTGAAAAAAAAACATTAGCCGATACGGCGCCACTTTCAAAAATTTATAAAATGCCTTTGCAGTATACGTATCGCGTATAAAATATAAATTATTCATAAATTATCTCTATAATCCTAAATAACTGTAGATAACGCAATTAACGGTAGACGTAGCTGTGCCTGCGTACGTACAAACGTATTTTACTTATTTAAATGTGTTCGTTTTTTTTTCTTTTTTAAAAATTATTATAATAAAACCGGTTAGTTATAGTTTCACATTGGGAATTTTTGTAACTTCTTTCTTCTTTTTTGTTATACCGAGGGAAAAATGTGAAGTGAAAGGAGTCGTTGTACAGTTATTTATTTGTAAGTGATTTATGAGAGAGACGCATCTCCATGTCTTAAGAAACTTCGTTGAATATTTGCAAAAGCTGCCTAGAAAACGCCGGTACGTATTATTACGATACGCAGCACAATATTTAAATAGAAGGCGTTAAAAGTAATTCAAAATATGTAGTAATGACGTATGACATCAAAAAATGGCCAAATGTTTCCCGCCACGACTAAAATCGAGAAACAAGTGCCAAAGGCGTCGCTGTTTTCGACTCGGACATAAAATCCTTCTGGCCCTGCACACCTTACAGCTAAAATCGACGAGCTGCGATGGAGTAACCGAAACGGACTTGGTCAACTACATTTCGTCCTGTTTCAAAATCGATGGAGACGTAGAGGACCAAGTGAAGTCGATATTAACGACTCTAATAAGGCCTGGCTTCGTCGTAAAAAGGTGCAACCGGTTTCGGTTGATGGGGTCGTTCGCAAGAATACAATGTTCACCCTGTAACAGTTCCCGAAGACAAAAGGCCATCGAGCACGTGTCAAATATATATGTATTATGTGATAACGGAAGTAATAAAAACAGGGTAACGTTCGACAGAGAAAGAAGTAACTTCGACGAGGAACATGCTTCCTGTGACGTTCCGTGTAATAACAATTCACGACCTTGCTCTTCCCGGAGGTCAAGAGGACGTCCTTGCAAAAGGAGAGGCCGAAGTAGGCAAAAAAATCCAACGTCAGTCTCCACTCCGCCCCTCAGTTGTGAAAAATGTGACCTCGAGGAAGATCAAAAGTGAATTTTAAAAGAACATTATTACCATTGTAGTATTTGTAACAATTTTTTTTTATGAAAAAATTGGAAAATACATTTTAGACGGACTGCCTTTTATATGTAACAGTATATTAACTTGACGATTAATTAAAGGTGGCAGGCAACACGACCTTGTTTCTCTTTCCAACCGATTCGCTTCGAGGCAAAAACTCGCCAAATTTACAATAGAAAGTTACCGATCGGTTTTCCATTAGGTAGGAAAGGACCAATCGTAAGTACGACGTATGTACTAAGAAGTACTTTCAAACGGTTTTGTCAAAGCAATACTTAGAACTGCTTCTACTACTGCTATTTTATTTAGGTGCGATACAAAATAATAACCAAATTTCAGGGAATAAACACATAATTCTGCACTATTAAAGATTTTTGTTTTTTTTTTTTAACATTTCGCAAAGCCGTAGTTTTATATTCTTTATTGTGAAGGTGTTTTTAACCACCGATTTCCTTTACGGAATGGCATTTAATTTAAAATTCGTTGAATCTGTTTATTTATTAACAATCTATGTATATCTAAGTGTTAGGTCCAATATTAAACGTTCCCTAAAAACAAAACATTATTTCCAGTTACACTGATCTCTGATCATTAAACATTTTACGAAGCAATCGATTGGTTTAACAGTTGCATATGGTAATACAAACAAAACAGATCTGTTATTACAAGTCTTATAAAGAATAAAAATATCCTATTATATAATTTCGTAAATGGAGTAAAAGCAGGTTAAAAAATAAAATAAAAAATTCTCCTCGTCCCGTTTTCCTTTATCTTCGTTCCCCATCTTTTTAGTACCCTCCACCACTTATTTGCATGCAGTTAAAGTGTTTCCAAAGTAGTTTCGGTGCACCCTACCTGACTAAGGCCGACCCTGTAACCGGACATGTCCAAATCTAAAGTCAAAAGAACGTCTTCGACAGCCTTCCGTTCGTCCAGGATCGGACTCGCGGGTTTCAACTCGCCGGTCAACAGTTGGAAACGTCTTCGGAATTCAGACAAGGGCATCGCCTGGGGGAATCCCTGTTTGCACATACGGACTGATTCCAACAACTGACCACCCCGTAACTAGAATAACACACGAACATCTCAAGCTAGAAAAACTATTTCCTCCAGAAAAAGGAACCGTGTATTCGTTATCACCTGCGATCGTAACAAAGGAACGTTGATGACGGCATCTTCGGGATCGGAATCGCTGGAAGACACCCCCAACAGGGTCGGATTGCTGTCGCAAACACCTGCGTTGTGCTGAGGAAGTAAGCAATAGACGAAACGTAATTTTGTTCGACGTAAAGTCTCTACCAGACCATCCACGGAGAATTTTGTCTGAAATAGAGAGCACAAACAAAAACGTCCACTGCCCCTAATATCAGATTTTGTCTGTCAATAATACCTGTAAACAGATCGACTTCCTTTTGATTGCAGCCGCTCCTGCGGTGAATGTCCTTCGAATACTGGAAGCCCTACGCAAAGATTGAGACCCTTCGATTCCCGTCATTGACCCGCTGAAGCTAGAAGGACCTAAACCCCTAGAATTAACAAACATCTTCACGACATCGTCCCTGTAAGAAAATAAAGAGAAAATGGTCTTCCCGAGAGACGCAACACACGAGAGAATCCACTCACTTGCTGCTTTCTTGAAGAAGAGTAACCGCCGATCTAGAAACGGGATTCTCCCTGCTAGCCTTCACCCAGCCGTTAGTGTTGTACAAGACCGGGTTAGTACCCTGCAAATGCTGTAAAACAAACTGGCCGCTTCCCGGAGCTTTCCTTATCAAAACCTGATGCTCCTTGTCTCCGTAATGAGTGAAAACTCGTTCAAGGAAAGCCTCGTCCGAAGTACCAGGACACATCGCTTCCTCGTCCAATAACCACAACATCCCTCGCCTGTCACATTCCTGTTAATAATGAAATAAAAAAAAAAAAACAAAAAAAGAAAATTCGAGAAGCTATTATATCTCGACAAACCTGAAGATCGCTTTGAGAGGTACGCACTACAGTTGAATGAGCAGTTTTATCGAGAAGATTGACCATAGGACGCGGGTTGATGCAGTTGTCGCCCTCAAAATCGTACGCCTCGAGTTCCACATTTTCCTGAACGTATTTGTTATGAGGCGCCACCATATTCGTGTAGTAGAACAAAAGCTGGAGCCTCTCTTGCAAATAATTGTGGCAAAGTTCTTCGAACGAAGCGCCGGTTTGCTTGCCACAAGTGGCGGGATTTTGAAATCCCGGCGCATCCACCAAAAGTATCGACGAGACCGTATGAACTGGGGCGGATATGGACCTAAATTGCACGCAAATTGTCATCAAATTTCCGATATTCCACGACGAATTTAGTACCTATTAATGAGCGATATAACAGCATTGAATAATTCCGAATAGAGACCAACGACCATTCCTTCCAAGGCCTCTAAACCTACGACATCCCTATCGATACCTTTCTCGATCGGAGATGGAGTCCTGAAAGGAGCCCTGGGAGTACTTGGCGTTCCTAAACTTCCCGAAGGAAGTCCGAATATTAAGCGAGACAGTTCTTCGACAGTTGTGCCCAGAAGATACGCTGCCCTTTGGGCCGATTGAGGATTTAGGAACTGATAACGACTGTTAGATATACCGGCTAAAAATTCAATTTATTCTCACGTTTGGTTAATAAAACCGTACTACCTACGAACCTTTTGTTGCCCCGGCGCATCCTAAATGATATATGGCGGCCAAAACGAGCCAAATTACTTTCTGCTCCTGTTCGATGACGCCCAACGTGTNAAAAATATACTACTGTCAGTACGACAACTGAACGTCTAAATATATTTTATTGCGTCACTTATTTTAATAAAAACATGTCAAAAAAAAAATGTAACGTCTCCACTCTTAATAAAAAATTAGAATAAGATACTGCCAACAGCACCATGGAATTTTTAAGATCGCTGATGTTTTCCAGACAAAATGACACGCAGGAAAGTGAGAATCAAGTGCAACATTCGGAAGATGACGAAACGATGTTTGTTCGGAGGTACAGGGCAAAATTGGCTACTTTATTAAAGGAGGAACAACTAACGGAATATGATCTGAGTAATTCTGGAAAAACCAACGTCTCAATTAACACTTCTTCTACCTCGCTTTGCAATAATCTTCAGGAAGAAACGCAGCAACAGATCGAATACTTCTTGCATCAATCAGTAACAAATCTCAAAGAAAAACCACCGAATCCAAAAGGAGATCTCGTATTTGGAGGTATAAAAGCCATGTCCAAATACTTAAACAATTTATGTAACTGCGATGTGTGTCGACCGAAATCCAAAGGACTGATGCACGACCTTTTGATCAGCGCCGGCGACGACGACAATTCTACCGACGACGACGATACAATACACTTTTGCAATGCACGTCAAAAAATCGTAACCGATCCTGTTACTGCGGGAGCTGCGAAACAATGGTTTGATATCCAAAGGCCGAAACTCCATCTCCAACCGTTGGTGATGAGGAACTACGAGACGAAATTAAAAAAAAAATCGGACAAGAACCAAGATACTGACATTGGTAGATCGCGAGGGAAGATAAAAGTATTTCCCAGGAAAGGCGCACGAAAACAAAAGGTTGCTGATACCGTTACGAAATTGACCGCTAAAAATGTAAACGAGTGTCAAAGCGAACTCGTTCAAATACACGAATTAGGTGAGTATTAAAAGGATTCATGCTGAGTGGCATATAAACAAATGAATGACTTAAGTGAATTGTGAACCTATGCAAAAAGATTATACATATTTCGCAATTTCGTGTCGTTGCCGAGACGCCCATTCAAGAAAAACAGGTAAACTGTGTCAGAAAAGGACCTTGAATAGTCATTTCACAGATGCAACATTTCTCTCGTAACACATAGGCAGTCACTGTACTGCGTGGTGTGTATTGCATAGGCGGCATAAAAAATGTCCAAATTGTAACATACATACATCACCTTTGCTACTACCCACAACATTTACCGTACGAGAACCGTTTTATTTAAATTAAGATTCAAGAAACTACCGCGCGCTATTATAAATTGATTCCCGCGAAAAAAATGTAAAGGTCCATCTCTCCTCCACCCTCACCTGTTCTATCCCTTCCTCCTCCAGTCTTTGGAGGATAAAATCGTTCCAACTCTTAAGATAACTGCCCTCGTCTCCAATAGTAGCTTTTCGGTTCAAAGCAATATTATACAACTCTTCCCAAGTAGCGGTTTTGATTTTTTGAAGCTTCTTAATGCTTTTTCTAAAAGAAGTCCTCAGCCTTCCGCCACCAACGACGACCACATTTACCGGTTTAACGGAGGGTTTAGGAGGAACTTGGGGTTTAGATTGTGGAACGGATTCGGTTGCAGGTTGATGATGAACGCTTTCTTCGACTTTAACGGATTTTTGAGCGATGTTGTTTTTGCTTACTGTCGGTACTACGTTTTTGTAATAATCACCTGAAACGGTGGTGTGCCCGAATTTTCTATTGAAAGAAACTCTGAGTGACGTTTTAAATTCAATTTTTTCAGGCTTATTAATGACAGAAGTAGCAGCAGCAGCAGCAATGGTGCTAGTGGCAGGAATTTTTATCTCATCAAAAGAGTGATCACTGTTACAGGATTTTGTGTACGATCGTCGTTGGCCAGGTTCTGCTCGAAACGATGCCCTACTCTTTAGAATTTCTTTAAGTCTTTGTCGTCTTTCTGCCCTGGGATCTTTCGACGAACCGCCCAGATGAACGTCAAAGTCGTCTTTTACTTCTTTAGGTTTGGCATTTCCTAGCTTATCGGGAGCACTCCCGCTTCGTCGGAACGACGGGAACCTTCTTCTGAATGAGCTGCAATTGTTTTCTTCTTTCTTTGTTGGAAACGTTGGCACCAGGCTTTCTTCAAAGCTCTTGTTTTGTGTTGGAGAAGCCCTACTGTTCAGGATTTGCTTGAGTCTCTCGCGCCTAATTTCTTGGGGATTTTTTGAAGCCCGATCGTCAGATTTCGTAGCGGTATTGTCCTTTTTCACTCCCAAATTCACAGGAGCACTATCGCTTCTTTTGAACGCCGCAAATTTTTTCTTTAAAGATTTATTTTCCGGCTTGTTCCTGTCGAATGGTTCTTCCTGAGTCCCGGATTCGACCGATTCAGTTTCGCTGTGTCCGTCAGAGCTCAAGCTGGACACTTTTTGAAACGATGGCACGTTTTTAGGAATCTCGCAGGACTTGCAGTTCCTTTTCTCATGTATTTTGCAAGTCCTGTTATATTCGTCAGAAGTAGCGTTATATTTTCCGGATGCATGAGCTACTCCACTGCACGATTTGTGGTGTTTCTGAGGATCGTCCCTGAAGGAGAAGGTTCTTTTGCTATTGCGCAACGAGCTCTCGAAAAAGCTGTACATTTTCACCTTCGTTATGAGTGCATGGAATATTAGTTAAAACAATTGTCGGTAAGCTAATTTATCTGTTTACTATTTTGTTGCAAAGTCGCACGACGGACGTAAGGTTTGATAAGTGTACCTATGCTAATGAACTTTGTCAATACGTATTAAGAACACTAATTTATGGCAACACTTCATGTTAAATGGGATAAAGGTTTTCTACTTCAATAACAAAAAAAATGATTACAATAACGCGTAAATGATCGCAAGCGGTCTGCTTTCTCGCACAACTAATCTACTACCTAATATTTTTTAGCAAATACGCTGAATCGCTAAAAAGTCAAATTGTGCAAATTAAACGCAAATAATAAACAGAAGCAAAAGAATGTTATTCAAGGTCGGCTCAAACGCGACATTTGGCTACGGTCTGAGCAAATAATATTTTCAACCGATCTTGGTAACTACATGTTTTTACATGAAAAAAACGGAAACAAAAAGTCTCAAACACTTTCGATAACACACCAACTGCTGCACCTCTCACGATTCCTTCAAGTCCTTTACCTCCTTCCTCATCAAGGAAAATACAACACCGTTATTTCGGACATCCGGTAAACAGAAGCGACACTTGTTATCATAAATTAGCAAACACATCCTCACTATCGACGTGTGTTTTAATAACAGACAAAGTCTCCACCGCTACTGAGAGCAACATGCACCTTAGAAAACACGATAAACAATAACAACATGATGTAGATTTAATACAGTAACTACCCAAAGGCAGGAAGAAACGAACGAGCTGTGTGGCGTGTCGTGTATAAAAGCTGCGGCAAAATCGACTACGAAACGCGACTTTACGTTTATACGTTACGTGTAATGTGGTATATGTGTTTCTGTATGCGTCTACATCTTTTCCCTTTAATACATATATATGTAAGACACCTTAGTATGCAGAGCTTACGATTAGTTTAGTTACATTGTGTGCTTAGGAAATGCGAAGGCAGGTCCGTAAGATATGCGCGTGCCTACCACAGACAGCAAACACAACACTTCTTTGCATGCTCATTAACAATAAAATTTTAAAACAAAAATCTACAGCACTCCACAAAAATTTCGGCCACTCCGAAACAATATACGCGGCAACAATATTAAAAACACCTTTATGGAGTTATCATTACGAGATTGTAATTGTTACGCCCCCTTTTTTTGGGTTTTAGTTACGCATTTTTATTGCCCTCCACTTTACATGTTCAATATTTATGAATAAGCCTCCTTTTTAAGCGTAGAGATAAATATGTGCTGTTACTATTATTACAGTCGTGATATTTAATAAGTGACAATAAATTAATAGTTTCATTGATGCAATAAATGTACCATAAAGGAATAGAACGATGGTGACGTAGTCACTGGATATTTTACGTTTTCCCTTTTGTTTGAGCATCACTTCATTTATATACCTGCGATAAGATTTAATACATTCGAATTGCTAAATATATTCCTGCGAATTACTCAATTTTAATATTCGTAATAAAACGAATGCAATATCGTTTAATTTTAAACCTATCCCGAAATTCTGGCGTAGGAAATACAGTGACCTGGAATTCAGATGGGCCCGGCGTAATTGAACGAACGCAAAAAATTTAATTTAGATAATAAAAAGGATTAACGAGAGATAAACTTAATTGATCAACTATCAATCATTTTGATAATATTTCTTTTAATAGAGGTTATGTCATAAAAATCTATCGTCTCATCTCCTAATTAAGTCAGAAAGTTATTTGCATAAGTTGTTATTACAAAAGCTATGAAAACTACCCTTGCGTAGAATTTTACTTACTGAAACTTAATATCTGTAACGTATGAAATACAACTGCGTATCTATTATAAACATACGTATAAATGATTCACAGTTAATAGGTACGTAGATATCGTAGTAGTTTAAAAAGAAAGCAATTTCTTTAATCATTGTAAAACGCCTTTTGTTATTCGTTAGAAAACAATGTCGTTTCTGCATATTTTAAAAATATTACTTATTATTCACATAGGACACGTACCTAACTGTTTAAACAAATATATTATTTAAATAATAATCGGTTAACATCTGCCATGCATAAACATGAACATAGGTACTTCAAATTGTATAAAAAACTGAATTCACTTTGGCTAGAAATTAGCAATGAAAAATAATGCAAACGATTTTCAAACAAGTATCGAAAAAGATCAATACAGCCTAAATATTTTTATGCTAAATTAAGTACCTATTGTACAATACTGGATCCTGATTGCATCCTTTTTAATTCCGAAATTAATAAGAAATTCTTCAAAAGATCAGGGTTCAGCATTTTGCAAAGACTTTATTACCTATTTACATTAAATTTTGAACAAAATATAACTGAAGCCTCCAGTAACGAATTATAAAATAATTTACATAATAGACGAATAAAATTATTCCTGCTATTTCATCGAATGTTATTACAAGTTAACACCTGAAGACCTAAAGGCAGAATAAGTTATAGATGTAAAATAACATTGTTACTTCTCCGACAAATTTCCATAAGCAATATTCCTCGTCCTCGTTATTATGCAATGTTAGAAACCGCAGATATTCGATACCGGTACATCTGACAAATGTTTTTCAATTTTACGAATTTCTTCAAGTAAGACATGATTTTAAGTTCTTATTCGGAATGAACATAAACAAAATGTTTTTCAGTCAATCTTTGAGCCCCAATTATTAACCAAATTTTTGTGTTGTTTTATGTTATCTTACTGTTTTATTGTTAGCCATTAAATTATCGATTTTTGCTCTTGATCAACACGGCTTAGGCAACCAATGTTACGCAACTGTTTATTGTTAACCATAATAATTCTAATAGGAAAGCAATCTTTGCAACTGCTACATCAGAAAGAAGTAGAAATCGGCATTTTTTGCTCATTCCATTCATAAGAATCAGTAAATATACAATACAAAAAAAAAAAACAACAACGGCATAAGATCATTTTAAATTACGTTGTTAAATTTCTAACAAAGGTGTGGTAATTATTCTCACTTGCCGTCCAGTTTCATTTCAATTTATGCTCATTCGGTTCCGTGTAACAAATAATGATATAAATAATACGAAAATAGATAATTTCACTGATTTTTTGAGTTTAACACATAATTAAACAACGTATTCCATAACGGTTTCTAATAAATACACGTCCTTACAATACGTGACGGAAGTTTAAAAACAGAATTACTTTTGAACCTCCTACCAAATGATTCACTTTGACTAACTTTTACGCCTCATAAAGTTGAAATATTACAGAATCCGATTTATAAAAAGTTATAGGATGAGATATGTATCGAGAGCAGAAAAGCATTTAAAGACAATTGGTACACAGTAAGTGGTTAATTAAAACGAAAATGATTTTAGGTACGACTCGTTAAAGACACGCTTAAGTAGACATTGCAAATCAACTGAAACCAGGTGAAATAGAACAAAACAAGTGTAAACTAAAAATTAATATATAACTAGGTGCATTTAGCGTTTCTTCACGTGATATTATATTTATATTATTTACAAAGCACAATAGTTCCTGAGTCAACGATAAAAGAAAATACATTTGTTCATGAAATTACTATTTAAATGCCAGAACATGCTCTCTCGTTCTCGTTTAGGTAGTTATATAGTAAGTCAGTCAGGCATCGGCAGTGCCAATTTAACGTTAATATCCAAACCAACACGAAACGCAAGGCAGACCGGACTATACATCGTATACAACAAGTGCGGCGTCTATTTAATCAAAAATAACTTCGTCAGCCAAGAGATCTTTGAGCAATAAATTTTCGTAAGTTTAATGCTTTTATCTAAATTTTAAATAAGTACCCATTTTTTATTTTTATTTTATCTTAATTTCATTTCATTTAGCAAACCAAATACCGCGTAAGGGTTTTATCAGAAGTAATTTCGTTTCTCTGACACTGATAAGTCAATATAGAAATTCCATCGAGATACGTAGGATACCAAACTATTATTAAGATGATGATGATGATGATGATGATGATAAGCATCTCAACAAGTAGTAAAACGATTGAAACAATTGAATACGGTAGCCTATTAAAGTTTCAATACCCTCTATCTGCACAAATACAGACGTGATAAAACCGTAATATATGTACATAGTATATTATCGTATTTATTTAGTAGTATCTACTTATACATGTGTATCAAAATGTAAATGAAAATAACCAATATTAACTGCTTTAAATAATTTCTTTTTCTTCGTATGAAATAGGTCTAATTTTAACGTACATGCATTATTAAAAAGTCGAAGGCATTACAAGTTTAATTTCCTGGCGCCTTCACCATTTTTCTTTCTAGTCGCGATATTTATAAGTCTATGTGCATAGCGGGGCGGGGATATTAAATGTACATATGAATTCTTTTCTGTCGTCCCCTAAAAGTTTCATACTGATATTGTATCAAGTTGTATGGACTATGACAATTCCATAATTTTCCTAGCACTTAAGTATTTGTCAGTAAACAGAACCGTAATCCCTATATTTTAATGAATAAAAGCTATTGATAAGTTTATCAGCGGTAATAAATTGAAGATTAAAGTTAAAAACAAGCATTTTAATATCTGTCTGCAAATAAACATATGTAGGTATATAAATGTGTTAAGTGTTTGTGCTGCAACTCCAGAAATTTCCGCGCCTTACAGCAGTAAGGGTGCCTACATAATAATTGTTTATAAGTAGTTTTTGTCTCGTCTTTTTTCAAGATATCAAGATGAGCACCCTCCAATTCAAAGGTGAATCGCCCTACAAATTACCTCCCCCGACTGTTCCAGAAGACGACTATCTCTACATCAAGTATGAAAATTACTAACTAGTCCAAAATTTACGTTAATTAATTATGTGCTGCGTCACCTGTTTCTCTTTAAGATTCAACAAAGACTTCAACTTGGAAGGATGCGAAGAGGGAAAACCAGTTGGACTAGCACTTTTTGGAGCTGGAAGAGCCGGTAATCAATCAAAACTTTCTTTTTGTTTAATTTTTAATCGTGGTGATCGTACGAACGAAAATAACATTGTAGGTACAATCCATTTGCGTACGATAGCGAAAAACGTACGAGTTAAATTACATTACATAGTTGAGGACGTTCAAGAGAAATGGGACAAACTGAAAAGATATTGGGATCTACCGGACACGGTTTTTTTGACTAGCGTCGAAGCTGACAAGGTTTACAAAGACCTACGGTAAATGTTCGCGAAATTTCGCGCCATAAAATGTAATTTACAAGTCATTCGTGCATTGTAGGGTTGATGCTGTAGTAATCGCTACACCGACCAAATACCACGAAGGAATTGTCTTAAAGGCACTGGAGCATGGTAAAGCTGTATTTTGTGAAAAACCTATCGGCCTCACAGCCGAAGGAACAAAAAAGTGCTACGAAAAAGCCAAAAAAGTGGGAAAACCCCTGTTTGCCGCCTTCAATAAGTATGTATATTTAATCGTCACGGTCTTATACGGGGAAATGTTTATCTTTATGGCTTAACGATTCCTTAACCTTTCAACATTAAAATTACCAACAACCACCCGTCATAAGGGTAATTTGGCAAAACTGTTCTCGTATAAATGGAGTTTTTTTTTGCAAAACAATAAGCCGTGAAGATAAAACAACTTTTTATATTTAAATCGCTATTGCAACTACATATATTTAAGGCGATACGATACGGCTTACGCAGCTGTAAAAAGGAGGGTTGAGCAGGGTGAAGTAGGACATCTTAGGATGTTTAAAGCTTCGGTTAAAGACAGCCAACTGGCACCCGTATCGTACTTGAAAGGTTCAGGTAAACCGTAACTAAAAAATTTTGGGATGTAAAGGAACAGCCGGTCACTTTGATGCGCTATTTATTCTAGGCGGATTTTTCGTCGACAGTGTCATTCACGAATTGGACCTGATGGTCTGGTTTGTGGGAGAATATCCGACAACTGTATCGGCAATAGGAAAATCAAATATACCGGAAATTGAAGAAATTGGCGATTACGACACCGTTGTCGCCACGTTCGGTTTCCCGAGCGGAGCTATTGGAATAATCGACAATTGCAGACATTCTACTTTTGGATACGATCAAAGAATAGAAGTAAGTTTTAAAACTATTGATAACACATATCTCTTTTATGCTAAAATTCCCCATGTCGACGAAACTATAACGCAAGTGCGATCCAGCACACCGACAACGGGGCTGGCTACTGTCCTCTGGGCGAGCTTAGCTAGTGCTATGGAATAAATTGGAGCAAAAATTCGAATCAGCGACTTTGAAAATTTTATAATTTTCAGGTATTTGGATCTAAAGGAATGATTAAGGTGGATAATGAACATCCTTGCCATTCTATTGAGACCCTTGCCGGTTTGGATGCAACAAAAAGATCGCCGATATGGTACACATTCCCGTCTAGATACAGAAACGCGTATAACAATGAAATGGAACATTTCTTAAGCATCTGTCAAGGTATGTACCTACAATTTTTATAACAATCTGCTAGAACGAGTAGGATTTTTACTTAAAAATTTTTTTTTTTTGGTGCAGGTATTGATAAGGTGTTGATTAGCGAAAGTGACGTGCTAGCAACCAGCAGGATCGCCGGCGCCTGCACTGAATCCGCAAGGACGGGAAAAATTGTAACGTTGAAATGGTAAATGAAGAAATTAGACATAAGACGTTACATTATAAAAACAAAAAAAAAACACGAAAAGCATTTAACACAAATAGTTATAATAAAATCGTTTCGAATTAATTGGGCTTTTGTTTTCTGGGATATCACTTTTTCTAGTTGAGGAACGAAATATAAAAAAATGTGCGTGTATGTGTGGCATAATGAAAACCAAATAAAATAGAACCGAAAGGAATTGAGGAAGTTTGACCTCGATTCAATAAAGTCAGCTGCTTGTTGAGTTACATTCCGCACTTGTAGAATGGCACGAAGGGTACGGCTTCAACTAGGAATGCATCACTTTCGCAGCGAATCATGACACTAAAAAGGGTTATCACAAGAAAACAAACTCCTCGTCGATTAAATAGAACATATGTTTATAGCATACAACATATTAAAACAATATTCCGCCAGTCGTCGAGCTGTAAATGCAAATGTTCCTCCTCTTCATCTGTAAAATTTTCACGTTTCCTGACCAAAAACTTCAACAAAAGATGTGGGAGTACCTACTAATCATGAAAAAAAAACAAACCTCGTGGAAATGCAGACAAAACCCCTCAATGCTCCTCTCGAACTTTGTTGTCTTTTTTGCTACTTTCAACAATGTGTTGGCTTGAAAACGAACTGTTACGAACTACGCCAGTAAACAAAACATCATGTTGTACTACATTTCCGCTCATTTTTTCCCTGCCATTTAAACAGGTCAACATCAAACACGATGGTACATATTAAATATGTTCGAGAAGGCGAAGGAACTGTGCCAAAGTATTACGTAAAAATGCGACAAAGAAAGAAACAGTTATTGGATCAAGAAGAGGTTACCAAATAATAACGATGAAAGTATGAAGTAGATGTGTACCTAATGGTAATTATAAACAATATTACATAAAAAATAGATGTGGCATATATTTATTATACACATGGCGTGGCATACCTTAGACAACTTATTAAATCTTTGGCTTCCGGAACGCCTGAGAGTTCCACCTTTTATGTTTACTTCGTCCAGTACAAACTCTTGACCATCGTGACCTGACCGGCGACTCAGTTCACTCAGCTCAGCCACCGGCTGAACCTAAAACGACAAAAAAAAAACAAACAAAGATATTATAACTACCACGTACCTAGCTAAAGTATAGAAAACTCCAAAATTTTCTCGTCTATTCATACCGCATAATTGTTTATCCTTGCAATGTACTACAAATGGGCAGACATTCGCCATTTTATGAATACATAAAAAGTGCAATTGTTCCCGTAAGCAAATTTTACCTTGCAATTAGAACATGATAATTCGCGTAATTGGCGCCAACGTTAAATAAAATGTTACATACGTTACACTTATTACTTTCACTACTGTACATACGCATGTGTAGTACATTGCAATTTTAATTTTAATAGCTACCAATAATAATTATTACTAATTGATTTAAAAGCAAGACATTTATCGTAATAAAATGCTGCTACTTCTCTGTTTTTAAGAATACATTTAGGTCGGACAGTATGCTATTTAATATTTTGTACCATCATCCAAGTACGAATCAAAATCTAATGTCAATGAACTGTAATAAATGTCATTAATTAGAATGCATGTTCATGCATAAAACAATGTGTGAAACAACGAGTTTTACGCGACTGGGGTAACAAAGCAGTTACGAACCTAATTTAAAATTAGCCTTTTCCGCTAGTCCAAAGTAAAATGTATAAAAATTAAACAGATGTGCACAGTGAATTAAAACGAAGGTCTGACAAATAATAGTGGACTGAAAGATTATACTAGTATTATTATTATTGCGAAGAAAGCAGCAACATTTGTTTGGCATTTTCTCTTTAGAAAATTGTATAACAGCAAACCAATTAACTTTATTTATTAGGAGAGTCTCGTGATCATTACATAAATTGGCTACCCAAAAATTTCTATGTAGGTACACTAATACACGCTGCGCACGAATTTGAAATGGGGTAGAAAAATACTGTCCAATTTTTAGAGACGGATAGAGGACCTCCAATCGTTTTCGTTGAGCTAGAGGAGCAACAAAATTGATAAAAGTAGCTCCTTTTTGCGACAAATTATAGCCCTTACATTTTTTTTTTTCAATTTCGATATACGCTTGTGTAGTATCAGCACGATATCAGGCTTTCCAGTAATCGGCTTGAGCGATTCATTTCTGGATTTGGTAATAAATTAACGACGAATCATAGTGCACTTTAAAAATACTGCTATTATAACTCAATATCAACATCCGTACTCGCACACGGCATAAACAGTATCATTGATACTTGATAATAATAGTGTAATAAAAACATTATAAATAAGTCACGAGACCAATAAAAATGAGTATCCCAGTATCTCACCTTGACTGTGACGAAATCCTTGGATCTTTTGATCATGTCGATAATTTCCTCGCGACTTTTGTCTTCGACATGGATCCCGTTAACTTCAAGAAGTTTATCGCCCGGCAAAAGACCGGTCTCGTTGTTGTGCTGCACTATGGTGCCAGGTTCGGCAAACACGACCGCACGCATTATCACTTCACCACTACAACTATTACCGACAACGTTTCGTTCCAAGATCATCGCACGTCTTAATGAAAAACCGAAATCGTTTCGTGGAGCTTTTTGGCGCTGTATCGTAAGGACACGCGGATTTGGTAACTTTAACGGTACAATGGGAGGCAGCGGAAGATTGACGTCCTCCAGGTTACCACTACGAGTCCACCTGTGGAAACCCTGACTTTCGCCTATAGGACTTAGTGAAAATGGAGGTGTAGCGAAAGAGGAATTGGTAGTGTCTGTCAAGGAATCGGCGCTGGGCGACGTGGACACCACCGTCAAAAGGTTTGTCATAGGGGTAGGGGTAGGGGCAGTGGCTGAAATCGTTGTGTCGTTGTTTCGGCACAAATATCTACTACTACTACTACCGTTGTATGTCTCAACTCCATTTGTTATATTTTCGTAGCTTATTACTTCATTTTGTAACGTGTTTTTTACCAATGTACTGTGTTGGTTAACAACGTTAGTGCCGTTTGTGGAGGAAGAGTCGTGGGTCACGCTAACACGAGGTCCCTTCAAGATACCCCGTTTTGGAGGCTTCGGTGGTACCGGGGGTAAAACTTTACGATGCTGTTGCTGTTGTTGGTGGTGGTGGTAGCTTGTGTTAGGATTATTTAGCGAGTTTAGGCTCGTTTCCGAACTATCCGAGAAGGTATAGGCACCGCCGTGAACGGATGGCGTTGTGGCCGGACCGTAAGAATCGTCCCTTTCTAAACACGCCAGAAAATCTGCCGTGTAATCGGCAGTGATGCCCAACGGTAGTTTGTCTTTGTCTTTTCGACGGCCTCTTATTTTAAGGGACCTCCTTACCTGAAAATTTCAGTGTGATCTATTGTACGACAAAAAAAAAAGAAAAAAGAGAAATAACCCCAACACAATCAGCAGAAAAGCAGTAGCTAACCTACGTGCGTTTGTTGTTAAGTACTGTTTAGTTACCACTTCGTATAGAAATTTTTTCATAACGAAAAGCTCCATATTTCCTACTTCATCCTTTCAACAGGCGTTCCTATTTTACCAAAAGAACAAGCAGGCACATTTCACCTTCTCACGTATCGCTCACTAATTCACACAAATCCTAACGTTATGAAAGATAAAAGAACAAATGCGAGTTTAAAATGAAAAAAAAAGGCAAATGAATGCTAACAAGATTACAATTAACTGCAACCCTTGAAATAAAAAGCGTAATCAATAGAGAGAAGGACCCTATTAAAATAGAAAAACGTTTTATTGAGTTATACGGGGTCTTAAAAAAAATAATAAATGAGACGTACCTCGTCGAGTCTTAGCATTTCGTCTGCAGACATGCTAGATCTGTCTTTCTTTTGCTTCTCCTTGCGCTCTTTTTTATCCCTTTTACGCCTATCTTTGTCCTCTTTATCTAACATTGACCCAGTACCCGCCTTTTTGATGAAATTAAACATACTGTTCCGCTGTTTCTGAAACGAAACTGTACTGTTACATATGTATTATGTACATATTCCAGCCCAGAATTACATCGTTTCGCCTTGTCATTACTTTGGNAATAACTGTAGATAACGCAATTAACGGTAGACGTAGCTGTGCCTGCGTACGTACAAACGTATTTTACTTATTTAAATGTGTTCGTTTTTTTTTCTTTTTTAAAAATTATTATAATAAAACCGGTTAGTTATAGTTTCACATTGGGAATTTTTGTACCTTCTTTCTTCTTTCTTGTTATACCGAGGGAAAAATGTGAAGTGAAAGGAGTCGTTGTACAGTTATTTATTTGTAAGTGATTTATGAGAGAGACGCATCTCCATGTCTTAAGAAACTTCGTTGAATATTTGCAAAAGCTGCCTAGAAAACGCCGGTACGTATTATTACGATACGCAGCACAATATTTAAATAGAAGGCGTTAAAAGTAATTCAAAATATGTAGTAATGACGTATGACATCAAAAAATGGCCAAATGTTTCCCGCCACGACTAAAATCGAGAAACAAGTGCCAAAGGCGTCGCTGTTTTCGACTCGGACATAAAATCCTTCTGGCCCTGCACACCTTACAGCTAAAATCGACGAGCTGCGATGGAGTAACCGAAACGGACTTGGTCAACTACATTTCGTCCTGTTTCAAAATCGATGGAGACGTAGAGGACCAAGTGAAGTCGATATTAACGACTCTAATAAGGCCTGGCTTCGTCGTAAAAAGGTGCAACCGGTTTCGGTTGATGGGGTCGTTCGCAAGAATACAATGTTCACCCTGTAACAGTTCCCGAAGACAAAAGGCCATCGAGCACGTGTCAAATATATATGTATTATGTGATAACGGAAGTAATAAAAACAGGGTAACGTTCGACAGAGAAAGAAGTAACTTCGACGAGGAACATGCTTCCTGTGACGTTCCGTGTAATAACAATTCACGACCTTGCTCTTCCCGGAGGTCAAGAGGACGTCCTTGCAAAAGGAGAGGCCGAAGTAGGCAAAAAAATCCAACGTCAGTCTCCACTCCGCCCCTCAGTTGTGAAAAATGTGACCTCGAGGAAGATCAAAAGTGAATTTTAAAAGAACATTATTACCATTGTAGTATTTGTAACAATTTTTTTTTATGAAAAAATTGGAAAATACATTTTAGACGGACTGCCTTTTATATGTAACAGTATATTAACTTGACGATTAATTAAAGGTGGCAGGCAACACGACCTTGTTTCTCTTTCCAACCGATTCGCTTCGAGGCAAAAACTCGCCAAATTTACAATAGAAAGTTACCGATCGGTTTTCCATTAGGTAGGAAAGGACCAATCGTAAGTACGACGTATGTACTAAGAAGTACTTTCAAACGGTTTTGTCAAAGCAATACTTAGAACTGCTTCTACTACTGCTATTTTATTTAGGTGCGATACAAAATAATAACCAAATTTCAGGGAATAAACACATAATTCTGCACTATTAAAGATTTTTGTTTTTTTTTTTTAACATTTCGCAAAGCCGTAGTTTTATATTCTTTATTGTGAAGGTGTTTTTAACCACCGATTTCCTTTACGGAATGGCATTTAATTTAAAATTCGTTGAATCTGTTTATTTATTAACAATCTATGTATATCTAAGTGTTAGGTCCAATATTAAACGTTCCCTAAAAACAAAACATTATTTCCAGTTACACTGATCTCTGATCATTAAACATTTTACGAAGCAATCGATTGGTTTAACAGTTGCATATGGTAATACAAACAAAACAGATCTGTTATTACAAGTCTTATAAAGAATAAAAATATCCTATTATATAATTTCGTAAATGGAGTAAAAGCAGGTTAAAAAATAAAATAAAAAATTCTCCTCGTCCCGTTTTCCTTTATCTTCGTTCCCCATCTTTTTAGTACCCTCCACCACTTATTTGCATGCAGTTAAAGTGTTTCCAAAGTAGTTTCGGTGCACCCTACCTGACTAAGGCCGACCCTGTAACCGGACATGTCCAAATCTAAAGTCAAAAGAACGTCTTCGACAGCCTTCCGTTCGTCCAGGATCGGACTCGCGGGTTTCAACTCGCCGGTCAACAGTTGGAAACGTCTTCGGAATTCAGACAAGGGCATCGCCTGGGGGAATCCCTGTTTGCACATACGGACTGATTCCAACAACTGACCACCCCGTAACTAGAATAACACACGAACATCTCAAGCTAGAAAAACTATTTCCTCCAGAAAAAGGAACCGTGTATTCGTTATCACCTGCGATCGTAACAAAGGAACGTTGATGACGGCATCTTCGGGATCGGAATCGCTGGAAGACACCCCCAACAGGGTCGGATTGCTGTCGCAAACACCTGCGTTGTGCTGAGGAAGTAAGCAATAGACGAAACGTAATTTTGTTCGACGTAAAGTCTCTACCAGACCATCCACGGAGAATTTTGTCTGAAATAGAGAGCACAAACAAAAACGTCCACTGCCCCTAATATCAGATTTTGTCTGTCAATAATACCTGTAAACAGATCGACTTCCTTTTGATTGCAGCCGCTCCTGCGGTGAATGTCCTTCGAATACTGGAAGCCCTACGCAAAGATTGAGACCCTTCGATTCCCGTCATTGACCCGCTGAAGCTAGAAGGACCTAAACCCCTAGAATTAACAAACATCTTCACGACATCGTCCCTGTAAGAAAATAAAGAGAAAATGGTCTTCCCGAGAGACGCAACACACGAGAGAATCCACTCACTTGCTGCTTTCTTGAAGAAGAGTAACCGCCGATCTAGAAACGGGATTCTCCCTGCTAGCCTTCACCCAGCCGTTAGTGTTGTACAAGACCGGGTTAGTACCCTGCAAATGCTGTAAAACAAACTGGCCGCTTCCCGGAGCTTTCCTTATCAAAACCTGATGCTCCTTGTCTCCGTAATGAGTGAAAACTCGTTCAAGGAAAGCCTCGTCCGAAGTACCAGGACACATCGCTTCCTCGTCCAATAACCACAACATCCCTCGCCTGTCACATTCCTGTTAATAATGAAATAAAAAAAAAAAAACAAAAAAAGAAAATTCGAGAAGCTATTATATCTCGACAAACCTGAAGATCGCTTTGAGAGGTACGCACTACAGTTGAATGAGCAGTTTTATCGAGAAGATTGACCATAGGACGCGGGTTGATGCAGTTGTCGCCCTCAAAATCGTACGCCTCGAGTTCCACATTTTCCTGAACGTATTTGTTATGAGGCGCCACCATATTCGTGTAGTAGAACAAAAGCTGGAGCCTCTCTTGCAAATAATTGTGGCAAAGTTCTTCGAACGAAGCGCCGGTTTGCTTGCCACAAGTGGCGGGATTTTGAAATCCCGGCGCATCCACCAAAAGTATCGACGAGACCGTATGAACTGGGGCGGATATGGACCTAAATTGCACGCAAATTGTCATCAAATTTCCGATATTCCACGACGAATTTAGTACCTATTAATGAGCGATATAACAGCATTGAATAATTCCGAATAGAGACCAACGACCATTCCTTCCAAGGCCTCTAAACCTACGACATCCCTATCGATACCTTTCTCGATCGGAGATGGAGTCCTGAAAGGAGCCCTGGGAGTACTTGGCGTTCCTAAACTTCCCGAAGGAAGTCCGAATATTAAGCGAGACAGTTCTTCGACAGTTGTGCCCAGAAGATACGCTGCCCTTTGGGCCGATTGAGGATTTAGGAACTGATAACGACTGTTAGATATACCGGCTAAAAATTCAATTTATTCTCACGTTTGGTTAATAAAACCGTACTACCTACGAACCTTTTGTTGCCCCGGCGCATCCTAAATGATATATGGCGGCCAAAACGAGCCAAATTACTTTCTGCTCCTGTTCGATGACGCCCAACGTGTTCATGGCGTTGCAAAGTTTGACAAATTCATTCTGGGCTTTCTGCTTGTCTTCTTGTTTTTGCAACGGTGTCATGAACGCGTTTTGCTCGTTGCCAGTCATTTGATCGAGGAAGAGGTCTTTGCGCAAATGACCATCGACCCCCGACAGCAATCTGTACATTACGTGGAAGGTGCCCTCGGATTCGTTCTTCCTCGCGATCCGCGACTTTTCGAGCATCAACGTCTGTATGCTTGCAGACGCGATGCAGCCGCTTTGGTCGAAGTCCAGACTGAATATTTGGGTGAATTTGGTAGCGTTCGCGTTTAAAACGGTCTTGGCGTTTCCGAAGCTTTCGAGAACCGTCCAAACGGACGTCAGTTTCTCGACCGAGAGGATTTTATTTACTGAACCTGTCGCTGTAAGCAAATATTGAATGGCGTGACGAAAATTGGTAGTTTTACCGGAACCGCCCCGACCCATGAAAAGAATCGATTGATCTTTACGAGTCGACAGCATGTCGTGGTACGCGGACTGGGCTACGGAGTAGATATGAGGAGGCATGTCTTCGCTCTTGCAGCCCTTGAATAACGACACCACCTACAGAATAATCGAGTGTTTTTTATATGTCAATCAAGATTGTTAATTTTAATGTAAGGGACCGGGCAAACTGTGTTCATACCTTTTCTGAATAAATAGCAAGGGGTGCCATGGGATTGACCACCAACAGAGTGTTGCTTCCTGCATACGTATGTATCAAATTGGAAGCATACCTCTGCCTTACGGTATGCAAAATACTAGATTCGTTCAAGTGCCGTAAAACTGCCAGATCTTCGGCACGATCGAATTGCGGAGGATTTGCCTGAATAAATTATTTATTATACAAAACATTGTAAAATTAATAAAAAATCACATACAATCGCCGTTTTTATTAATAAATAAATATTTTAAAACGGTTTACTTGCCAAAACGTACGTATTATGGGAGTATTGAAAGCAAAAATTCCCTGCGAAAACAATTATTATAATATTTGCATACGTAGAATAACGTAAATATTTGCAACTGAACCAACAATAAAACTACAAAGGTGCTTTATTATCGACCGACAAAATATAACGGAACGTAGAGCAAATAATTACCATTAAGCATTCAAACGATGCTTAAATATTTCACATACGCCACAAAAACGAAAACGTTTACCTTTTCCAGATCGTCCTCGTCAACTTCCAAAATTTCTCCAGTTTGATCGATCTGTATACGCAACTTTCCAATATCGCCTTCCGCAGTGGTGGTTATTTTTTTTGCACAAGTGAAACCACCCCTGTGAACCAGCCACACCCTCTCCGCATCTAGCCATTCTATTTCGTTCGCGATTTGGTCCTCGGTCTTTGCCTAAAAATATACTACTGTCAGTACGACAACTGAACGTCTAAATATATTTTATTGCGTCACTTATTTTAATAAAAACATGTCAAAAAAAAAATGTAACGTCTCCACTCTTAATAAAAAATTAGAATAAGATACTGCCAACAGCACCATGGAATTTTTAAGATCGCTGATGTTTTCCAGACAAAATGACACGCAGGAAAGTGAGAATCAAGTGCAACATTCGGAAGATGACGAAACGATGTTTGTTCGGAGGTACAGGGCAAAATTGGCTACTTTATTAAAGGAGGAACAACTAACGGAATATGATCTGAGTAATTCTGGAAAAACCAACGTCTCAATTAACACTTCTTCTACCTCGCTTTGCAATAATCTTCAGGAAGAAACGCAGCAACAGATCGAATACTTCTTGCATCAATCAGTAACAAATCTCAAAGAAAAACCACCGAATCCAAAAGGAGATCTCGTATTTGGAGGTATAAAAGCCATGTCCAAATACTTAAACAATTTATGTAACTGCGATGTGTGTCGACCGAAATCCAAAGGACTGATGCACGACCTTTTGATCAGCGCCGGCGACGACGACAATTCTACCGACGACGACGATACAATACACTTTTGCAATGCACGTCAAAAAATCGTAACCGATCCTGTTACTGCGGGAGCTGCGAAACAATGGTTTGATATCCAAAGGCCGAAACTCCATCTCCAACCGTTGGTGATGAGGAACTACGAGACGAAATTAAAAAAAAAATCGGACAAGAACCAAGATACTGACATTGGTAGATCGCGAGGGAAGATAAAAGTATTTCCCAGGAAAGGCGCACGAAAACAAAAGGTTGCTGATACCGTTACGAAATTGACCGCTAAAAATGTAAACGAGTGTCAAAGCGAACTCGTTCAAATACACGAATTAGGTGAGTATTAAAAGGATTCATGCTGAGTGGCATATAAACAAATGAATGACTTAAGTGAATTGTGAACCTATGCAAAAAGATTATACATATTTCGCAATTTCGTGTCGTTGCCGAGACGCCCATTCAAGAAAAACAGGTAAACTGTGTCAGAAAAGGACCTTGAATAGTCATTTCACAGATGCAACATTTCTCTCGTAACACATAGGCAGTCACTGTACTGCGTGGTGTGTATTGCATAGGCGGCATAAAAAATGTCCAAATTGTAACATACATACATCACCTTTGCTACTACCCACAACATTTACCGTACGAGAACCGTTTTATTTAAATTAAGATTCAAGAAACTACCGCGCGCTATTATAAATTGATTCCCGCGAAAAAAATGTAAAGGTCCATCTCTCCTCCACCCTCACCTGTTCTATCCCTTCCTCCTCCAGTCTTTGGAGGATAAAATCGTTCCAACTCTTAAGATAACTGCCCTCGTCTCCAATAGTAGCTTTTCGGTTCAAAGCAATATTATACAACTCTTCCCAAGTAGCGGTTTTGATTTTTTGAAGCTTCTTAATGCTTTTTCTAAAAGAAGTCCTCAGCCTTCCGCCACCAACGACGACCACATTTACCGGTTTAACGGAGGGTTTAGGAGGAACTTGGGGTTTAGATTGTGGAACGGATTCGGTTGCAGGTTGATGATGAACGCTTTCTTCGACTTTAACGGATTTTTGAGCGATGTTGTTTTTGCTTACTGTCGGTACTACGTTTTTGTAATAATCACCTGAAACGGTGGTGTGCCCGAATTTTCTATTGAAAGAAACTCTGAGTGACGTTTTAAATTCAATTTTTTCAGGCTTATTAATGACAGAAGTAGCAGCAGCAGCAGCAATGGTGCTAGTGGCAGGAATTTTTATCTCATCAAAAGAGTGATCACTGTTACAGGATTTTGTGTACGATCGTCGTTGGCCAGGTTCTGCTCGAAACGATGCCCTACTCTTTAGAATTTCTTTAAGTCTTTGTCGTCTTTCTGCCCTGGGATCTTTCGACGAACCGCCCAGATGAACGTCAAAGTCGTCTTTTACTTCTTTAGGTTTGGCATTTCCTAGCTTATCGGGAGCACTCCCGCTTCGTCGGAACGACGGGAACCTTCTTCTGAATGAGCTGCAATTGTTTTCTTCTTTCTTTGTTGGAAACGTTGGCACCAGGCTTTCTTCAAAGCTCTTGTTTTGTGTTGGAGAAGCCCTACTGTTCAGGATTTGCTTGAGTCTCTCGCGCCTAATTTCTTGGGGATTTTTTGAAGCCCGATCGTCAGATTTCGTAGCGGTATTGTCCTTTTTCACTCCCAAATTCACAGGAGCACTATCGCTTCTTTTGAACGCCGCAAATTTTTTCTTTAAAGATTTATTTTCCGGCTTGTTCCTGTCGAATGGTTCTTCCTGAGTCCCGGATTCGACCGATTCAGTTTCGCTGTGTCCGTCAGAGCTCAAGCTGGACACTTTTTGAAACGATGGCACGTTTTTAGGAATCTCGCAGGACTTGCAGTTCCTTTTCTCATGTATTTTGCAAGTCCTGTTATATTCGTCAGAAGTAGCGTTATATTTTCCGGATGCATGAGCTACTCCACTGCACGATTTGTGGTGTTTCTGAGGATCGTCCCTGAAGGAGAAGGTTCTTTTGCTATTGCGCAACGAGCTCTCGAAAAAGCTGTACATTTTCACCTTCGTTATGAGTGCATGGAATATTAGTTAAAACAATTGTCGGTAAGCTAATTTATCTGTTTACTATTTTGTTGCAAAGTCGCACGACGGACGTAAGGTTTGATAAGTGTACCTATGCTAATGAACTTTGTCAATACGTATTAAGAACACTAATTTATGGCAACACTTCATGTTAAATGGGATAAAGGTTTTCTACTTCAATAACAAAAAAAATGATTACAATAACGCGTAAATGATCGCAAGCGGTCTGCTTTCTCGCACAACTAATCTACTACCTAATATTTTTTAGCAAATACGCTGAATCGCTAAAAAGTCAAATTGTGCAAATTAAACGCAAATAATAAACAGAAGCAAAAGAATGTTATTCAAGGTCGGCTCAAACGCGACATTTGGCTACGGTCTGAGCAAATAATATTTTCAACCGATCTTGGTAACTACATGTTTTTACATGAAAAAAACGGAAACAAAAAGTCTCAAACACTTTCGATAACACACCAACTGCTGCACCTCTCACGATTCCTTCAAGTCCTTTACCTCCTTCCTCATCAAGGAAAATACAACACCGTTATTTCGGACATCCGGTAAACAGAAGCGACACTTGTTATCATAAATTAGCAAACACATCCTCACTATCGACGTGTGTTTTAATAACAGACAAAGTCTCCACCGCTACTGAGAGCAACATGCACCTTAGAAAACACGATAAACAATAACAACATGATGTAGATTTAATACAGTAACTACCCAAAGGCAGGAAGAAACGAACGAGCTGTGTGGCGTGTCGTGTATAAAAGCTGCGGCAAAATCGACTACGAAACGCGACTTTACGTTTATACGTTACGTGTAATGTGGTATATGTGTTTCTGTATGCGTCTACATCTTTTCCCTTTAATACATATATATGTAAGACACCTTAGTATGCAGAGCTTACGATTAGTTTAGTTACATTGTGTGCTTAGGAAATGCGAAGGCAGGTCCGTAAGATATGCGCGTGCCTACCACAGACAGCAAACACAACACTTCTTTGCATGCTCATTAACAATAAAATTTTAAAACAAAAATCTACAGCACTCCACAAAAATTTCGGCCACTCCGAAACAATATACGCGGCAACAATATTAAAAACACCTTTATGGAGTTATCATTACGAGATTGTAATTGTTACGCCCCCTTTTTTTGGGTTTTAGTTACGCATTTTTATTGCCCTCCACTTTACATGTTCAATATTTATGAATAAGCCTCCTTTTTAAGCGTAGAGATAAATATGTGCTGTTACTATTATTACAGTCGTGATATTTAATAAGTGACAATAAATTAATAGTTTCATTGATGCAATAAATGTACCATAAAGGAATAGAACGATGGTGACGTAGTCACTGGATATTTTACGTTTTCCCTTTTGTTTGAGCATCACTTCATTTATATACCTGCGATAAGATTTAATACATTCGAATTGCTAAATATATTCCTGCGAATTACTCAATTTTAATATTCGTAATAAAACGAATGCAATATCGTTTAATTTTAAACCTATCCCGAAATTCTGGCGTAGGAAATACAGTGACCTGGAATTCAGATGGGCCCGGCGTAATTGAACGAACGCAAAAAATTTAATTTAGATATCTTATAAAAAGGATTAACGAGAGATAAACTTAATTGATCAACTATCAATCATTTTGATAATATTTCTTTTAATAGAGGTTATGTCATAAAAATCTATCGTCTCATCTCCTAATTAAGTCAGAAAGTTATTTGCATAAGTTGTTATTACAAAAGCTATGAAAACTACCCTTGCGTAGAATTTTACTTACTGAAACTTAATATCTGTAACGTATGAAATACAACTGCGTATCTATTATAAACATACGTATAAATGATTCACAGTTAATAGGTACGTAGATATCGTAGTAGTTTAAAAAGAAAGCAATTTCTTTAATCATTGTAAAACGCCTTTTGTTATTCGTTAGAAAACAATGTCGTTTCTGCATATTTTAAAAATATTACTTATTATTCACATAGGACACGTACCTAACTGTTTAAACAAATATATTATTTAAATAATAATCGGTTAACATCTGCCATGCATAAACATGAACATAGGTACTTCAAATTGTATAAAAAACTGAATTCACTTTGGCTAGAAATTAGCAATGAAAAATAATGCAAACGATTTTCAAACAAGTATCGAAAAAGATCAATACAGCCTAAATATTTTTATGCTAAATTAAGTACCTATTGTACAATACTGGATCCTGATTGCATCCTTTTTAATTCCGAAATTAATAAGAAATTCTTCAAAAGATCAGGGTTCAGCATTTTGCAAAGACTTTATTACCTATTTACATTAAATTTTGAACAAAATATAACTGAAGCCTCCAGTAACGAATTATAAAATAATTTACATAATAGACGAATAAAATTATTCCTGCTATTTCATCGAATGTTATTACAAGTTAACACCTGAAGACCTAAAGGCAGAATAAGTTATAGATGTAAAATAACATTGTTACTTCTCCGACAAATTTCCATAAGCAATATTCCTCGTCCTCGTTATTATGCAATGTTAGAAACCGCAGATATTCGATACCGGTACATCTGACAAATGTTTTTCAATTTTACGAATTTCTTCAAGTAAGACATGATTTTAAGTTCTTATTCGGAATGAACATAAACAAAATGTTTTTCAGTCAATCTTTGAGCCCCAATTATTAACCAAATTTTTGTGTTGTTTTATGTTATCTTACTGTTTTATTGTTAGCCATTAAATTATCGATTTTTGCTCTTGATCAACACGGCTTAGGCAACCAATGTTACGCAACTGTTTATTGTTAACCATAATAATTCTAATAGGAAAGCAATCTTTGCAACTGCTACATCAGAAAGAAGTAGAAATCGGCATTTTTTGCTCATTCCATTCATAAGAATCAGTAAATATACAATACAAAAAAAAAAAACAACAACGGCATAAGATCATTTTAAATTACGTTGTTAAATTTCTAACAAAGGTGTGGTAATTATTCTCACTTGCCGTCCAGTTTCATTTCAATTTATGCTCATTCGGTTCCGTGTAACAAATAATGATATAAATAATACGAAAATAGATAATTTCACTGATTTTTTGAGTTTAACACATAATTAAACAACGTATTCCATAACGGTTTCTAATAAATACACGTCCTTACAATACGTGACGGAAGTTTAAAAACAGAATTACTTTTGAACCTCCTACCAAATGATTCACTTTGACTAACTTTTACGCCTCATAAAGTTGAAATATTACAGAATCCGATTTATAAAAAGTTATAGGATGAGATATGTATCGAGAGCAGAAAAGCATTTAAAGACAATTGGTACACAGTAAGTGGTTAATTAAAACGAAAATGATTTTAGGTACGACTCGTTAAAGACACGCTTAAGTAGACATTGCAAATCAACTGAAACCAGGTGAAATAGAACAAAACAAGTGTAAACTAAAAATTAATATATAACTAGGTGCATTTAGCGTTTCTTCACGTGATATTATATTTATATTATTTACAAAGCACAATAGTTCCTGAGTCAACGATAAAAGAAAATACATTTGTTCATGAAATTACTATTTAAATGCCAGAACATGCTCTCTCGTTCTCGTTTAGGTAGTTATATAGTAAGTCAGTCAGGCATCGGCAGTGCCAATTTAACGTTAATATCCAAACCAACACGAAACGCAAGGCAGACCGGACTATACATCGTATACAACAAGTGCGGCGTCTATTTAATCAAAAATAACTTCGTCAGCCAAGAGATCTTTGAGCAATAAATTTTCGTAAGTTTAATGCTTTTATCTAAATTTTAAATAAGTACCCATTTTTTATTTTTATTTTATCTTAATTTCATTTCATTTAGCAAACCAAATACCGCGTAAGGGTTTTATCAGAAGTAATTTCGTTTCTCTGACACTGATAAGTCAATATAGAAATTCCATCGAGATACGTAGGATACCAAACTATTATTAAGATGATGATGATGATGATGATGATGATAAGCATCTCAACAAGTAGTAAAACGATNTGAAACATAATAATCGGAATTTTATACTATTAATTAATCAGTATTTATGTATCTAGTTATCCCAATTTTATTTATAGCATTAACTTTTATCTAAAATTTTTAAATGTATAGCAAAAATAAATTGAGAATTTTTTTCGTTTAACGACAAAATAACTAGTTACGGTGTAACAAAATCCGCGAATGCCTACGACCTTCGTCTAAAATAGGTTTTTTTTACCAATACACAATTTCAAGAAACATGAACAAGAATATAGTAAGACCTTGGGTTTTACTATATCGAAATTAATACATCATAAAATGTACAGTACAGGGTAAAATTGGTAACAACAATAACATTATTCGGAAACATTCTACTTAAATGGAAAAGTGTCGGTCGACTCGACACTTGGAAAAACAGACTTTATTTTACTGCTCTAAACCTTACAAGCAAGTATACGTACCTTCTTCATATAAAGATACTACGTTACTACGTAAATATCAAACGCGTATTTAAATGAAAAGCAAATAGAAAACTTGATGTAAAAATATCAAATTGTTCGACCAATTTCACTACTAAGAAAATATACCGTCTTTGAAGTCACAGAAGGTACTAATTATGATCGAAAATCATTGACAATGTGACAGATGCAAATGAATTCCATTCGTTAATTTAATTACAAAAATAAGTATCGATTAAAAATATAAAAAGAAATGGGATGGCTGTTTGGTACACACAACATACCTAAGGCTTTCATAAATTCATCGAAATTTTCGCTGGTTGTGAGCTTGTACTTTTTATCCAAAAATTTGTCGACCATCTTATTAGCTGGTATACCTACGAATAATTAATTTAAAATTCACAAATGTCGCTTGGTAAATTTCAGTTATTATATTATACCTGTTTACCAAACAACCGGCGCTTCCAACAACAGAATGAATAATAAAGTAAGGTCAAAAATATACGAGCACAGGCACAACTGTCGACCGTCGACTGCGACTGTACCAATTCTTAAGGTCTACTTTTCTCGTCTGATACTCAAAATTATATCCAACTTTTTTAAAGAGTTTTTTTTTATTTTGTTGTAGGAGGGGAAAATCTGACTTCTGAACTTCATTCAAAGTCTCCGCTTAGTTGTACCGTCTCTCTCACGATCATAAAAGCCTTTATAACACTTCCCCCTTTATTACAACAACGCCTAATCGATTTCAACTGTGAGTTCTTTACACATGCGTATTATTGTTTAAACTAAACATCGTACGATGTTTTTTATAATCCGACAAATAACAAAAGAAAAATTTCAACGCCAACGCAACTATTGCGCTTAAAATATTTGGTACTGTAGTTACCTAAGATACAGAAAAGAGGAAATCAATGATAACCATATCCTTCGTTTCTTGCTGTAAGGATCACCAACAGGTGACCAATAGAAACGGCGTCTACCTAGCCATTAGCTAATCTCATTGATTGTTAACTATTAAAACCAAGACACATTATTGTTTTACGTATGATGGAAAGTATAATGAATCACATTCGAAAACAAAATGTCGTATCTCATTGAATATTTAGAAAAATCGAAAAAGTTAGTTTAATCCTAGAATTGTTATCTATATTTATGACTGTATTTAATGGGTAAATCTAATTATAAAGAAAGATTAAAACTTATCAATGGATTCTCATAAAAATAATCAGTCAATTTTTATTTTAACCGACAACTAAGTTTGTTAATATGCAAAAACCTAAATTAATAATTAGGTGCTTCAACTTGCAAGCAAAAATGCACCGAGCAAACTTGCAAATTTGTTAATTATGCATATCTCACAGACACCAGTAGGGGGTTTATCATTTTGTTTAAAAGAGGAAGTGCAAAAGTAGGTACATATAATATTTCCTTTTCTGTCGATAAATATTTCAACCTGCGCAAGGAAGAAAATTACAACCGAATTCCAATAAATTTTATTACGAACCTGCGCAAAACGAAAATATCGCGCGTTTGTAAAATATTTTCCTCTGTGCTGGTGATGTTGAGATACTACAAAGTATTTTTTCTAATATAAACCAACAGGTATTACTTTAAAATTCCTTTATTACGTGAAGGAACTGCGCCAATAGACATGTGTCAAAATTTTAAAAAACAAAACCATTTTTGAATACAGAACTACAATTTCGTAATTCGAACGACACTAAAGAGAATTGTGAAATGTTAAAGGTGAAAATGGTTTCTTACCGTCAAACAGAAAATTATAAAAAATAGTTCGTAACTATCCTTATTGAAATTAACAGGATCGATAAATTTATCATTAAAAAATATTGTTTCTCTCTGTCATAAAATTTGTTGTAGGTTTTCAAAGAGAAATTTCAACCGATTTACTTAAAGTAGAAAAGCTGGACGGTAAAATATTTTCAGCGGTCAACAGTTTCTTTAATTTCTCTCCTTTCGTTACACAAATTAAGGATTTAATGGTAAGAATTATTTTTTTTCTGCTTTTTAATTGTTTGGTCTAAAAAAAATGCAATTATCGTTGTTGTTTATTTTAATGACATATTTTTCCTTTCATTGCGAACAGATTAACATTTTTTTGGCTCGTGTTATTATTTTAATATTAATATCGTATTATTAAAGACGAAGCAAGCGAGCGGTTCCGGCACATCAGAACAAAGCGAGACTGGGCTGGTTAAAACGGCAAAAGGAGACGATTTATCCCAAAGGGCCAATAACTCGGGTCTCGAAAATTATGAAAATAAAAATAACAGAAAATTTTCGGGAAACCCTCAGCTAAAAATCAACGAAAAGCATCCCTTCATTTCTAAAAGTCAGATGAAAGGTAACCGATTCTCCTATATATATATGTAAATTAAATTTAAGCTTTTTTACATACGTAGAATTTCGAGAGGCATTTAAACTTTTCGACAAAGACGGTGACGGAAGCATAACAAAAGAAGAACTAGGAAGAGTGATGAGATCATTGGGGCAGTTCGCTAGAACTGAAGAACTGCAGCAGATGCTACAGGAAGTAGATGTTGATGGTAACATAAAAAAATAAATAAAAGTGTACTAAATATAAATACATACGTATTTATGTATTAACAAGGTGACGGGAACGTAAGTTTTGAGGAATTTGTGGACATTGCTTGGTCTGCAGGGGCAGCTACTGACAAAGATAGTTCCCTATCTCGCGAAGAGGAAGAAAAAGAACTGAGGGACGCCTTTAGGGTGTTTGACAAACACAACAGGGGTTACATTACAGCTTCAGATCTTCGGGCGGTTCTCCAATGTCTCGGTGAAGATCTTTCAGAGGAAGAAAGTAAAAAATTTACAATTTAGGAGAAATATTTAAAATCTGTATTTTCAAACTATTTCAGTTGAAGATATGATAAAAGAGGTCGACGTAGACGGTGATGGGCGCATCGACTTCTACGGTGAGAAACAAGCTAAATTTACAGAAATTATTTTTGATACATTTAACATGTTTTTAGAGTTCGTGAATGCCCTTGGAGAACCGGGTAACGAAGACAGCGCTGACGAGGAAGAGGACGAAGGGACAATGTTCGGTTTGAATTGAAAGAAAAACCAAAGATAATCGCTTAAAAGAAATTTCAATTTGTAACGACACAAATGTTTCAAAAACGCACTTTCTCTTTGCTCATTTTAATCGTATACCCAAAAGTTGTAATAGGTACATAAGCAAATGTAATTTGACGTGTCAACATTACTACTAAACATAAGTATAAATATTCATGTCTTTTTCTTTGAACAAATGTTTCGACCGCTTCAAAAATAACAAATATATGTATTAATTAACTACATAAACCAGAATTTTTGTTATCGTTATATATAAAAATAGATAAGATGATGGAGTGAAATATCAATTACATGAACGCAAACAACAAAATGGCGACTACAAATGACTACAAAATATACACTGCGGAATGACAACTTTTTGGCAGAAATATTGAAGTTTTATTAATAATAGACGTACCAAAAAATTTCGGTTTTAACTTGAACATTTTCTGATTTTTCTAATGAAAAGTCACGGCTGGTCTGATATCCACCCACTTGCGCCTGCTATTGTTCTTCTGTGCGACTCGATGAACTCGAGAAATGAATAGTTCATAATAACATTGACACGTCGATTCGTCAATTAATAAAAAGGTTATGGATTTAGGAGTGTATTGTTTATTTTATTGTTTTTATGCGTAAATAAAAATGTTCAAAAAATTGAAAGATAAAATCACCGAGGAAGGTAAGAACATTCCTCAGATGCTACAACAGTTCGCGCAGCCAGTTACGGACAGGATACAAAACAACAGCAACGACGAAAATTTTTTCTCGATAGGAGAAGACGGTAGGACTTTCTTATAATTACCAAATTTACAAACGTGATATTTAACTCAAATTAACAATTTAGATTCGCAAAATACTAGTACAAATTTAGAAACAGGTTTCACAAATGTATCCTTAACTAATTATTCCACCCCAATCAATGAGTCGTTAAAAAGAAAAAATTCGGCTTCGTCAATTTCGAGTGATATATCTTTCCTCAACAGATACGAATCTCCTGCATCTACGTTTCATTTGCAGGTGAAATTATATTAATATTACTTCCTACAAGAACATTTTATTCCTTCTAAATTGCTTTTAGTCAGATGTTGAATACTCTGCTAGCGAATTTGAGGATAATGCCTCAACAGCGTCATCGCAAATTGGTCACCTGAGCAAAGAACAAATTTATTCCGCCTTCCAAAAAGCTCAGACGCGGTATCACAAATACAGGGGTCGCTTTACCGATTTGACTCATCATTATAAGGAATTAGAAAGGGAAAAGGCCAAAATGCAAGTAGGTTACTACTACTAAGTCCTAAGGTTTAACTTTGAAAATTAAATTCATTGCCGGTTTTTATCTTTTTATTTTTATTGTAAATTTCAGTCAATTTTGGTTGACACTCAAGACAAAGCTTTGAGAAGAATCGCGGAATTAAAAGAACAGTGTACTCTGGAGCAAAGTGCAAAAGCCCATCTTGAAAACACCTTGAGAGAGGATTTAAATGAAAAAGATATCGTTATAAAAACATTAAAAGACAAAATACAACTTTTACAAAATAGTTATCAATCAAGTGTTCCACTGTTAGATCTTAGCGACGACACTTCGCCCAGTTTAACGGAAAAATCCGATAAGCAATCGGATATTACCGTTCTAACGAAAGATTTGAAAGAATCTCGTTCTGAAATTGAAAAACTAAACGAAAAAATTCAAGAAATGAAAGCGAACGCGATCGTCTTTCAAAGTAAAGAATCGGACATGAAAAATAAAATTTCGCAATTAGAAAAAAGTCTGCAAGAAAAAGAGACCGAAATAGTAGAAATTTCGAAAAGAGAAAAAGAAAACAATCTAAAAATAGCCGAAACTAAATTAGAGCTGCACGCCGAAATACAGAGCAAAGATGTGACCATTGAAAAATACAAGAACGACTTAGAAGCATTGAAAGATGAACTTGATAAAGTCAACAGCGAAAGAAGTAAAAATTTACATTCACAAAACACGAAACTTATCGAAAAGGTCGAAGCATTAACTGAAAAGTGCAACAGGTATGAAAGCGAAATTTTAAAAAGCAATCAATTAAAAATTGAAGTTAATAGTCTTAAAGAGATCGTTATCGATTTGGAAAATAAAAATAAAGAGTTAACAAAAATCAATTCCGAAATTGAAACGAAGAAAGAGCAATTATTATTAAATTTTGAAAAATTAAAAACCGACCACGACACGAATAGCGAAAAACTGCAAATGTACGAACAATTAANGATGTTAAAATTCTTACGTATTATTTAGATTGAAAAATCCTGAAAGAAAAATGCTTCTACAGCTTGGGTAATTATGCCAAACTGGAGCATGAATATTTTCCCTCATATACAATCATTGGGAAAGAGATCTTTACCTAGTATTTATTATTTTTGTAATTATTAGAATGTGAACAATATTCTGGAACAATGTCATCAGTGATTGTAACAACAGTATGTATTTACATGCGCTCCAGATATGCATATTATTTTATCAATAATTAAACAACTTACTTATTGCAAAACGACAAAATTTAACAACAGGTACACAGATAAAAATTATTATTGACGCAATTATATTACACGATAACCAATCAAAAATTAATACTTTGAGTAATAAAATACTGATTAGAAACAACGAAGAAAATAAAAATTGATAGATAACTAACTATAGAAAAATATTATACCTATAGGTGTCTATTTGTATGTGCAGAAATTAAACGAACCTGAAACTATCTATTAATAAATGGTACAATGCAGATATACCTAACTATTAATTCATTTCCGTTTCGTTTTCGATTTAAAGTACATCTAGTTTAGTACCTAAGCACGCTTTTAGAGTAGACCAGCAATGTAAGAAGAACTATCAAATCTATGAAAAATAGACTCAAGTTTCAAGAATTGTTTGGATATTCTCTGATGGCGAATTATTGAACAGTAACCGTGGTAGGTAGGTAGGTAGGTACCTGGTGAAAGTAAAATGAGAACCTGTGGTACTACTTGGGTAATTCTTGTTTAGACTGCTTACATATAAATGCATTAGCTAATTCGATACAAGGATACGTACGTACATTAATATCCGTGTATCCTAGGTAACCATAATAACAGCTGTTACAGTTGCAGAAATTAAAGACAACGCTAAGAAATGCGTAAAGGGCTGTGCCCACAGACTTATTTTGATAAGTATCTGGTCGATACCCGTACGGTGGTGGTTTACCGACATACATGTATGAATGGATACTTAATGTATGCACGTTATCAATTACGTAAATAAAACAGAAAACAAATGTAATTAATAATATTATGGGGCTATTGTTTTCGTTAGTGCTAAAGCCCGATTTAAAAATTATTTCCTGCACCTAGAAATGTTAGTAAATATGGGTAAGACTCGAATCGATAATGGGGCAGACACAGTTCGTTTATCTAGGATAAAGTTTTCCAATTAAATCAGAAACGAAAGTCCTATTTGTAATTTTCAAATAAACAAACATAAACAACACTCTTTTAACAGGAAATGCTACGTACGTACCCTACAGAAATTTTGATTTTTTTTTTTAAATACACAACACTGTTAACCTGTAAGACACAAGATCATTTTAATACGAGACATTTTACGAACTGACGATGAAGAAAAACAGTTTTTTCGAAAAACACGCGAAATTTGCAACGGGTTTTATTTTGTTTTGACATTAACCTCGACGTACAACGGCAAACACGGTAAACACAACTGCTGACAGAAACAGAATTACTGTTTTCATTGTTTCTCGTTGCAAACGTCAAAAATTTACCAATCAACACACGATTTTAAGAGCAGAAAGTGCGGAATTTAAATCCTCCACGAAGCCTTTTGTATGCAACCAACTTTACCACAAAAATATACAGGATGTTCCCTATAACCTACCCGGCCAAAAAAATCACAACGCCATCTATAAACGAATTTCAACACCATACAACTTTGGTACAAACGCATCAAATTATTGATAAGAAAAATGCCATTTCTCAATCAATAAACATTTAAATAAATCAATTAGTTAACGAAGTTTTGTTTTTATTCAACCTTCGTAAATTGTTAGACTTGGATGTTTTTAGACAGATTTTATTGCCTACGTACATATACGGACAACATTGATCCAGTTCACCCTTACAGTTTCGCAGCAAAACTGTGTTTGAACTGAATAAAAAGCCTTGGAGAATTGTTTAAAGCAAAATTTATTTCGTACAAATAATAATAACTTGATGAATTCATTAACAAAACAATTTATTGACCTTAGTTTAATGTAAAAAGTTCAGTACGTTTCTTCCAAAGCCTTTATTTATATGGATTGGAATACAGTAAAAAAAGTAGACCAGCGACGTTTTCATTCTTGCAATTTGTAGATTCTGGTAGAAACTATATCGTCGACTTTGCAAATCTAAAATGCACAAAACCATTAAATATTTTCTAAATGAACGAGGAATCTATTATATCATATTCCTGTACACGTAACTCGGACCTTGCAGCTAACATTTGGCAAACGTCTCTAACTATACTTACTAGAGACTTTGATCTGTTTACATTAAAACGAGAAAATCCAATAAGCCAAAAGTTAATTTGAAAATGAACTTTGCATTTTATATAAGTAGGTATATGTATATACAAAAAAATTTGAGTTTGAGCCCAACACTGCATGTGTCAAAAAAAAAAAACAGATGAACAATAATTTATAGTCCAATTGGGTACATTTAGAAAAGAAAATTACTCGTCCACTTGGAATTGAATACAGAACATAGGACAATGTTTTCAACGCTTTTTGAATTTACCATTTTTATTTCGTCGTCAGTGAAAATCCTTTCGATTGTAGTTTCTTTTCCATTTGCATCTTTCTGAATTTCGTGAAGGGTGCTTCCGTCGACGGTAATTGTCGACTTTACCTTGCGCCCATCGGCCGTTTCTTGGTCAAATTCTTCACCGGGTTTAAATTTCAAAAGTACATTTTTAAATGTCGAATTAGAAGAAAGTAGATACTGATCGCCATCTTTCTTCAATTCGACAACCGGCGATACCGCATTTCCAACCTTACGAGTTACTAAACCAACTCCTACAATATTCACCGTATTATTAATCCCTTGTACAGGCAAAACAACTTGATTATTTCATTTGAACTGTACTGTACAATACTGATGTACTACTTTGAGCAAAATGATGAAGTTAGTTATAACACCGCACATGTTTTCTTTTTCCATTAAATTAATGAAAATGTATGCATTGCTTATCGCATTTAAGGTTTAATACGTGCCGACTTATAGAAATGCAAAACAAGATTCATGTTAATTGCACATTTAATGGTGAGATTTAAAAACAAACTCACCTAAAGCCTTCATATAATCGTCGAATTTTTCGCTTTTTTCGAGCTTATATCTTTTTCCAACGTAATCATCCAAACTCATTTTTAATTTCAAAATAATTACTCAATGGGATGATACTTATTATTAATAAATTGTTCCTCTCTACAGTAAAGGCAAGTGAGAAAAGACTGTCGGGCAAGCAAACAACCGAGCCACTGATTATATTATCATACCCCAGAGACCAGAGACAGAATTATATCTTACATTAACCTTTAGTCTTTATCGAAGTTGATAAGACTGTATGTTTGAACGTTATTTAAAGTAAAGCAGAGAAAGGAAAATTCTAACGACAGGCACCTAGGTGTTCGTGTTTTACTTGAAAACAAGAGAAAACTATTTTCTTTCAGTTTTCTCTTAAGCTAATATTACATAATGCAATTAAATGTTGCACAAAATGTATAACAACGCTTCGGAATTTCGTTCGTTTATTCAAGTAGTGGTGGCCGGTAAAGATTTTCTGTGCGAGCAACGACGGACAAAGATGTAACCGATTAGTTTCAATTTAACTTATTAACTCTCATTTAGAAGACTAAGCGCAGTATGCGTTTAATCTTTTGTATAACGAATGATAATCAGCTAAAGGAAACCACATTTCCGTTTGCTCTATTAACGCTAATGCCATTTGGCCTATGAATATTGAAACATAATAATCGGAATTTTATACTATTAATTAATCAGTATTTATGTATCTAGTTATCCCAATTTTATTTATAGCATTAACTTTTATCTAAAATTTTTAAATGTATAGCAAAAATAAATTGAGAATTTTTTTCGTTTAACGACAAAATAACTAGTTACGGTGTAACAAAATCCGCGAATGCCTACGACCTTCGTCTAAAATAGGTTTTTTTTACCAATACACAATTTCAAGAAACATGAACAAGAATATAGTAAGACCTTGGGTTTTACTATATCGAAATTAATACATCATAAAATGTACAGTACAGGGTAAAATTGGTAACAACAATAACATTATTCGGAAACATTCTACTTAAATGGAAAAGTGTCGGTCGACTCGACACTTGGAAAAACAGACTTTATTTTACTGCTCTAAACCTTACAAGCAAGTATACGTACCTTCTTCATATAAAGATACTACGTTACTACGTAAATATCAAACGCGTATTTAAATGAAAAGCAAATAGAAAACTTGATGTAAAAATATCAAATTGTTCGACCAATTTCACTACTAAGAAAATATACCGTCTTTGAAGTCACAGAAGGTACTAATTATGATCGAAAATCATTGACAATGTGACAGATGCAAATGAATTCCATTCGTTAATTTAATTACAAAAATAAGTATCGATTAAAAATATAAAAAGAAATGGGATGGCTGTTTGGTACACACAACATACCTAAGGCTTTCATAAATTCATCGAAATTTTCGCTGGTTGTGAGCTTGTACTTTTTATCCAAAAATTTGTCGACCATCTTATTAGCTGGTATACCTACGAATAATTAATTTAAAATTCACAAATGTCGCTTGGTAAATTTCAGTTATTATATTATACCTGTTTACCAAACAACCGGCGCTTCCAACAACAGAATGAATAATAAAGTAAGGTCAAAAATATACGAGCACAGGCACAACTGTCGACCGTCGACTGCGACTGTACCAATTCTTAAGGTCTACTTTTCTCGTCTGATACTCAAAATTATATCCAACTTTTTTAAAGAGTTTTTTTTTATTTTGTTGTAGGAGGGGAAAATCTGACTTCTGAACTTCATTCAAAGTCTCCGCTTAGTTGTACCGTCTCTCTCACGATCATAAAAGCCTTTATAACACTTCCCCCTTTATTACAACAACGCCTAATCGATTTCAACTGTGAGTTCTTTACACATGCGTATTATTGTTTAAACTAAACATCGTACGATGTTTTTTATAATCCGACAAATAACAAAAGAAAAATTTCAACGCCAACGCAACTATTGCGCTTAAAATATTTGGTACTGTAGTTACCTAAGATACAGAAAAGAGGAAATCAATGATAACCATATCCTTCGTTTCTTGCTGTAAGGATCACCAACAGGTGACCAATAGAAACGGCGTCTACCTAGCCATTAGCTAATCTCATTGATTGTTAACTATTAAAACCAAGACACATTATTGTTTTACGTATGATGGAAAGTATAATGAATCACATTCGAAAACAAAATGTCGTATCTCATTGAATATTTAGAAAAATCGAAAAAGTTAGTTTAATCCTAGAATTGTTATCTATATTTATGACTGTATTTAATGGGTAAATCTAATTATAAAGAAAGATTAAAACTTATCAATGGATTCTCATAAAAATAATCAGTCAATTTTTATTTTAACCGACAACTAAGTTTGTTAATATGCAAAAACCTAAATTAATAATTAGGTGCTTCAACTTGCAAGCAAAAATGCACCGAGCAAACTTGCAAATTTGTTAATTATGCATATCTCACAGACACCAGTAGGGGGTTTATCATTTTGTTTAAAAGAGGAAGTGCAAAAGTAGGTACATATAATATTTCCTTTTCTGTCGATAAATATTTCAACCTGCGCAAGGAAGAAAATTACAACCGAATTCCAATAAATTTTATTACGAACCTGCGCAAAACGAAAATATCGCGCGTTTGTAAAATATTTTCCTCTGTGCTGGTGATGTTGAGATACTACAAAGTATTTTTTCTAATATAAACCAACAGGTATTACTTTAAAATTCCTTTATTACGTGAAGGAACTGCGCCAATAGACATGTGTCAAAATTTTAAAAAACAAAACCATTTTTGAATACAGAACTACAATTTCGTAATTCGAACGACACTAAAGAGAATTGTGAAATGTTAAAGGTGAAAATGGTTTCTTACCGTCAAACAGAAAATTATAAAAAATAGTTCGTAACTATCCTTATTGAAATTAACAGGATCGATAAATTTATCATTAAAAAATATTGTTTCTCTCTGTCATAAAATTTGTTGTAGGTTTTCAAAGAGAAATTTCAACCGATTTACTTAAAGTAGAAAAGCTGGACGGTAAAATATTTTCAGCGGTCAACAGTTTCTTTAATTTCTCTCCTTTCGTTACACAAATTAAGGATTTAATGGTAAGAATTATTTTTTTTCTGCTTTTTAATTGTTTGGTCTAAAAAAAATGCAATTATCGTTGTTGTTTATTTTAATGACATATTTTTCCTTTCATTGCGAACAGATTAACATTTTTTTGGCTCGTGTTATTATTTTAATATTAATATCGTATTATTAAAGACGAAGCAAGCGAGCGGTTCCGGCACATCAGAACAAAGCGAGACTGGGCTGGTTAAAACGGCAAAAGGAGACGATTTATCCCAAAGGGCCAATAACTCGGGTCTCGAAAATTATGAAAATAAAAATAACAGAAAATTTTCGGGAAACCCTCAGCTAAAAATCAACGAAAAGCATCCCTTCATTTCTAAAAGTCAGATGAAAGGTAACCGATTCTCCTATATATATATGTAAATTAAATTTAAGCTTTTTTACATACGTAGAATTTCGAGAGGCATTTAAACTTTTCGACAAAGACGGTGACGGAAGCATAACAAAAGAAGAACTAGGAAGAGTGATGAGATCATTGGGGCAGTTCGCTAGAACTGAAGAACTGCAGCAGATGCTACAGGAAGTAGATGTTGATGGTAACATAAAAAAATAAATAAAAGTGTACTAAATATAAATACATACGTATTTATGTATTAACAAGGTGACGGGAACGTAAGTTTTGAGGAATTTGTGGACATTGCTTGGTCTGCAGGGGCAGCTACTGACAAAGATAGTTCCCTATCTCGCGAAGAGGAAGAAAAAGAACTGAGGGACGCCTTTAGGGTGTTTGACAAACACAACAGGGGTTACATTACAGCTTCAGATCTTCGGGCGGTTCTCCAATGTCTCGGTGAAGATCTTTCAGAGGAAGAAAGTAAAAAATTTACAATTTAGGAGAAATATTTAAAATCTGTATTTTCAAACTATTTCAGTTGAAGATATGATAAAAGAGGTCGACGTAGACGGTGATGGGCGCATCGACTTCTACGGTGAGAAACAAGCTAAATTTACAGAAATTATTTTTGATACATTTAACATGTTTTTAGAGTTCGTGAATGCCCTTGGAGAACCGGGTAACGAAGACAGCGCTGACGAGGAAGAGGACGAAGGGACAATGTTCGGTTTGAATTGAAAGAAAAACCAAAGATAATCGCTTAAAAGAAATTTCAATTTGTAACGACACAAATGTTTCAAAAACGCACTTTCTCTTTGCTCATTTTAATCGTATACCCAAAAGTTGTAATAGGTACATAAGCAAATGTAATTTGACGTGTCAACATTACTACTAAACATAAGTATAAATATTCATGTCTTTTTCTTTGAACAAATGTTTCGACCGCTTCAAAAATAACAAATATATGTATTAATTAACTACATAAACCAGAATTTTTGTTATCGTTATATATAAAAATAGATAAGATGATGGAGTGAAATATCAATTACATGAACGCAAACAACAAAATGGCGACTACAAATGACTACAAAATATACACTGCGGAATGACAACTTTTTGGCAGAAATATTGAAGTTTTATTAATAATAGACGTACCAAAAAATTTCGGTTTTAACTTGAACATTTTCTGATTTTTCTAATGAAAAGTCACGGCTGGTCTGATATCCACCCACTTGCGCCTGCTATTGTTCTTCTGTGCGACTCGATGAACTCGAGAAATGAATAGTTCATAATAACATTGACACGTCGATTCGTCAATTAATAAAAAGGTTATGGATTTAGGAGTGTATTGTTTATTTTATTGTTTTTATGCGTAAATAAAAATGTTCAAAAAATTGAAAGATAAAATCACCGAGGAAGGTAAGAACATTCCTCAGATGCTACAACAGTTCGCGCAGCCAGTTACGGACAGGATACAAAACAACAGCAACGACGAAAATTTTTTCTCGATAGGAGAAGACGGTAGGACTTTCTTATAATTACCAAATTTACAAACGTGATATTTAACTCAAATTAACAATTTAGATTCGCAAAATACTAGTACAAATTTAGAAACAGGTTTCACAAATGTATCCTTAACTAATTATTCCACCCCAATCAATGAGTCGTTAAAAAGAAAAAATTCGGCTTCGTCAATTTCGAGTGATATATCTTTCCTCAACAGATACGAATCTCCTGCATCTACGTTTCATTTGCAGGTGAAATTATATTAATATTACTTCCTACAAGAACATTTTATTCCTTCTAAATTGCTTTTAGTCAGATGTTGAATACTCTGCTAGCGAATTTGAGGATAATGCCTCAACAGCGTCATCGCAAATTGGTCACCTGAGCAAAGAACAAATTTATTCCGCCTTCCAAAAAGCTCAGACGCGGTATCACAAATACAGGGGTCGCTTTACCGATTTGACTCATCATTATAAGGAATTAGAAAGGGAAAAGGCCAAAATGCAAGTAGGTTACTACTACTAAGTCCTAAGGTTTAACTTTGAAAATTAAATTCATTGCCGGTTTTTATCTTTTTATTTTTATTGTAAATTTCAGTCAATTTTGGTTGACACTCAAGACAAAGCTTTGAGAAGAATCGCGGAATTAAAAGAACAGTGTACTCTGGAGCAAAGTGCAAAAGCCCATCTTGAAAACACCTTGAGAGAGGATTTAAATGAAAAAGATATCGTTATAAAAACATTAAAAGACAAAATACAACTTTTACAAAATAGTTATCAATCAAGTGTTCCACTGTTAGATCTTAGCGACGACACTTCGCCCAGTTTAACGGAAAAATCCGATAAGCAATCGGATATTACCGTTCTAACGAAAGATTTGAAAGAATCTCGTTCTGAAATTGAAAAACTAAACGAAAAAATTCAAGAAATGAAAGCGAACGCGATCGTCTTTCAAAGTAAAGAATCGGACATGAAAAATAAAATTTCGCAATTAGAAAAAAGTCTGCAAGAAAAAGAGACCGAAATAGTAGAAATTTCGAAAAGAGAAAAAGAAAACAATCTAAAAATAGCCGAAACTAAATTAGAGCTGCACGCCGAAATACAGAGCAAAGATGTGACCATTGAAAAATACAAGAACGACTTAGAAGCATTGAAAGATGAACTTGATAAAGTCAACAGCGAAAGAAGTAAAAATTTACATTCACAAAACACGAAACTTATCGAAAAGGTCGAAGCATTAACTGAAAAGTGCAACAGGTATGAAAGCGAAATTTTAAAAAGCAATCAATTAAAAATTGAAGTTAATAGTCTTAAAGAGATCGTTATCGATTTGGAAAATAAAAATAAAGAGTTAACAAAAATCAATTCCGAAATTGAAACGAAGAAAGAGCAATTATTATTAAATTTTGAAAAATTAAAAACCGACCACGACACGAATAGCGAAAAACTGCAAATGTACGAACAATTAACAGAAGCTCAAGACGAATTAACGAAAAGTGTAACACAAGTAAGTGCACTTCAAAATTCACTAAAGGAAAAGGATGATTTTATAAGCAAATGCAATTTACTAGAAAAAGGAATACGCGAAAAAACGGCTACAATTGACAGACTCAATTCAGAAATAGAAGCGTTAACGACAGACATTCAAAAACAAAAGGAAAAGTACGAAACAGAAATAGAGACCATAAGAGGTGAAGCAAAAGCTAGTTTAATTTCGTTGGAAGAGAAAATTCGAAATAAATTGAACGACGAATACTTAAATACGCAAGAAAAATTAAAAGCCGACTTTGAGGAAAAACTGCAGAAAATAAATTCAAGTGGGCACACAAGCAAAGAACTAGAAATAAAATTAATAGAAAAAGAGGACGAAATAAAAACATTATTATCAAAAATCGATTCACTGGACGAAAATTTAAATAAACTAAAAGAAAACTATAAACAATTAGAAAACAATCACTTAGAACTGATATCAGAAAACACGAAAACCCAAAAGGAACTGTCTAATCTACAAAAAGAAAAACACAAATTAGAAAACGAATTAGCAAAGAATCAGGAAGATTTAATGCGGAATAAATTCGAAAACTCCGATGTACGGATGGTAATTAAAAATCTTGAAAACGAAATTGAACAATTGAACAGTTCTTTGACGCGCGAAAAAGAGGTTTCGACTCGATACGAACAGGGCACGGTAGAAATAAAAAATGAAAACTCTAAATTATTAAAGGAAATTTCAAATTTAACAAATCAGATTTCAAACTTAACTCAACAATTACAAGATTATCAAAACGAAAACTCGAAATTAAAGAACGAAATTTCAAATCTCACTCAGAAAGTAAACGTCTTAAATAATGAAAAAGAAAAGCTCGAAGAAGAGCTGAAACTGATTGAAAATGAATTGAATGGCAAAGAAGCGATGCTTAGCAAAAAAGAATCACAAATATCACAATTAGAGGAAAAAATTAACGAAAAGTGTAAGGAAGTAGAATTTTTGAAGCAAAACGAAAAAGGCCAGCAAGAAGGAGCAGCATCGCTTCAAAAAATTCTTGAAGAAAAAGAAAATCAAATAGAAACAATATTAAAAGAAAAAGGTAAAAATATATCTGACATTAAAAAGGAGATAAAACTGTTACATGGAAATCTGAAAAGTAAACAAGAAGAATTGAATAATGTTGTATCAAAAAAGGACGAGTTTGAAAAGTTACTAAACGATTCATCAACAAAAGCGAAAATTTGTGAAAAACGCGCAGAAGCTTTAACTAAAGAAAATGAAGCTAATAAAAAGGAGATCGAAATAATTTCTGAGCAAGTAATAGAACTCGAAAGCAAAATAAAAACCTTAGAAAATGATAATGTAAAACTGAAAGAGCTAAACTTGGAACTTGCTGAGGCAAACGCTAAATTATTTCAACAAAATAATACCACGTTAAATGATAATTCTAATCTTAGATCAGAAAAAGCAAGTTTAAATGAAAGTTTTAAAAATAAAATTACACAATCAGAAGCGACAATTTCAAATCTACAAGAACAAATAAACAATCTACAGTTAAAAATGGACGATGTAAAAAGAGAAAATATAAAACTAGTTCAAGAAAACGAAAAACTGGTGTCCAATGCAACACAATTTAATATAGAACGCGAATCTTTTAAGCAAGAAGTAGCACGATTAATGGCAATGGCAGAAAAAGAAAAGTCCGCATTACTGGAGCAAATTTCACAGCTACACTCTCAAATCCAAAAAATTACATCTAAAAATGACGAATTAGAAAATTCTCTACGCAATTCCGCAAAAACAAATAAAGAACAATTAAGTATTTTAAACAATATTAAAGAACTGGAAGAAAAATACGTAAAATGCCAAAACGAAATCGAAGAACTTACGCAAAGAAATAAAAAACTAACTTTAGACTACAATCACGTTTACGAAGATTACGAGCGAGCTTTAGGCGAACTTGAGGAGCTCAAAATTAAAACTGGTTCAAATGAAAACGCGGAAGCCGAATGGAAAATAATGCAAACGCAACTGACAGAAGAAATAGACAATATTACAAAAGAATTGACGGTATCAAAGGAAAAAATATCAGTTTTAGAACTTGAACTGGCAAATGCGCGCACTCAAACCGAAAATTTGGAAACAGAGTTACAATTAACTAGGACCGAATCTACTAAATTACAAACTGAACTGCAAAAGGCCAATTCTCACGAAATCGACGCTAAAGTTGACGATATCAATAAAATAAAGAACTTAGAGAATGAACACAAATCGATCAAAAATACGTTAAAACAACTCGAAGAAGAGCGCGATCGTTCGGAACAAGACAATAAAAGATTGGAGGCGCAACTTAGGGAAATGGATCATCATCTTAGCGAGATGTCGCACGAAAATCAATTGCTCAAAGACGAGATACAAGAATTAAAAATATCGCCTCTAAATTTCAATAACAAAGACAAGTTCGACAATCTTTCAATACTCGAAACTGAAAGGCAACTAAACAGGGGAAAAGTTGAACAAGATAACCATCTAAACGACAAACAAAAAGAAATCGAATGTTTACAAAATAAATTGACTCAGTACGAGTCTTTAGAAATAACAAATCGCAGTTCAATTCATTTTTACGAGGAAGAATTGCAAAAATTAAAATCGAAAAATGAGAAACTAAACAGAACACTTGACGAAACTCTGGTCACTCTGAATCATATGAGTGAATTGCAAAATTCGACTGAATTGGAATATCTTAAAAACGTTCTTTACAATTACATGTTGGGAAAGGAAAGCATGGTGTTAGCAAGGGTTATAGCAGCCGTTTGTAAGTTTGATCGAAACCAAACGGAAGCAGTGTTACAAAAGGAACAACAAAAGCAAAGTCTGGTGAGTCCTGTTAATTTTCATAAAACCGAACAGCTAATCTTTAATTTAATCTTCTGTGCGACCGATTTATGATTAAATTAATTAGCATACACGTATTCTAAATATCTGCGCTTTATTGTTTGTTACAGTTGGGGTCACTAGGGATTGTATAACTGTGAATGCGTGTGAGCGTTCATAGATAATCGTCGTGAAGTACGTTTTAGATTTTTATAAGATGTACAGGTTGTGACCAAAGGGCTAGTGTTTTCAAAATTGCGGCATACACTTAATGTGCACTACTATTATTCCCTTCCCTGTCATTTTTATACCTTGCTGGAAGAAAATATGTACCTATTATAGCATTAAAAAGAAAAGTACCTGCTATGGTTCTAAACGTATAAGTTCTCGTCCTTGGTAAACTTTTGTATTTATCGCTTTCATTATTACTCGTATATGTATACCAAGTGTACAATAGTGCTAACCACCTTATGTATATTAAAAATACTAAAAGAAGCAGTGTCCCATTGTAAAACTATTTTAGGAATTGTTACAGTTAATTAAAATTAATTAATTAATTAATAAAATACGACTACTGTTACTATATTTGTATTTATTTTGTTACCTATTAAAATTAGTTTATTAAACTGTTTCTTTTTTTTTTTCGCAATTTGAGACGGGTACAGCAGGTAATAAGACAAAATAACAGATCAGAAATCGTATTTGTATTTTTTTTTTTAATCCAAGTATCACAACAATATCTGCATAAAAATTATTCGGCGCAAGAAACATTGTGGAATACCCGTACGTGATGTTTTAAGTACGAACCATCGACAAAACTTTTTTTGCATAATTCGCACGAATAAGGTTTTTCGCCAGTGTGCGTCCTTATATGTATTTGCAACTTGTTGTTGGCAAAGTATGACTTGGGACACATATGACAAAAGTACTTTTTCTCACGCAAAGGCACCTTAATATTACCCAAATCGTGTGCCTAAAAACACACACATTTTAAAATGAAATTATCGCAAATAAGTTCGTACCTTTTTCAAATGTATTTTCATTGACTTTTCATATTTGTAATGACGTCCGCAGACGACGCATGTAAATTTTTTAACGGTAGAATGTGTTCCGATATGTTTCCTGAGAGCCGATTGACTTATGCATTTTTTTTCGCAGAAATGACAGGCGAAATTACGTTCTCCCGTGTGAACTTTGATATGGGTGTCCAAGTTGGACTTTAACGGGAACCTTTTGCTGCACATCTCGCATTCGTACTTCCACAAGCTGCGATCCAAATGCACGCAGATGCGGTGCTTGTGCAAGTCTGAAGAGTTGTTGAAAGCTTTTGGACAAACATCACATTTGTACGCCCTTTTGTTAGCATGTATTTTTTCATGATGGTATAAATCGCTGGCAGTAATGAAACCTTTACCACAAAATAAACAAATGTACGGTCGTTCCCTCGAATGATACAATTTGTGATTGTTCAAATAGACCATGCTCGTGAATTTCTGGTCGCAATGGTCACATTTGTATTTCTTTTCGGCGGTGTGCACGTTTGTAACGTGCCTTCCTACCAAAGATTTCGAGGAGAAAAGGGCCTTACATATGACGCATTGAAACGTTTTCGAATTATTTATAGCTTTCTTACGACTTCTTTTCCGCCTTACTTTTGCTTCTGTTGTATGCGTAATTATTTCTAAGTTTTCAGTTTGCACTTCGGTTTTGATCTTTTCTAATTCAGTAGGTACCATCGGCTCATCTGTTAAAATATTTTGTACAAAAATAAAAAAAAAAACATTTACACAAACGTTTATAACTTCCCAGAAAATAGGAAAGTTATTGTAAAGGGTCCGATCATAAAAATCGCAGTTTTCAACGGATTTTGAAAGTAAGCATAAAAAGCGTGCGTGTAGGTATTACAAATAACGGAAGGTGGTGCTTCGTTAAGATAAATTCAAAAGTAAGGCGTTATTAGCTTCAACTTGGTTGTTCAAAATTAATCCTAATTTTAAGTCTCGTTACTTCAAGGTTCTCTAATAAGGTTAAATCAATGTCCTTCATCAGTAACAGGATGGGTAAAGGTTAAACAGTTTTGTTTTTAACTATTTTTATGCTCTAACAGGTGTTTTTTAAAACTTCTACCTATTTGTCCAATACAAGCTTTAGGGCGAGAGCCACAAGTGAGCTTATAAATTCCTGTTTTTCTTTATTTTTACCAAATTTGCATACAGAGTAATTAATTTTGTAAGCCATATTAAGACACAACGTTTCGCAAACATTAAACAATTTTATTAAATATAGAGCCCATAGTAATAATGGTACAGTTTCGTTTGTTTGTTTTTAATTGTAATAGGGTTAACGGAAACTATTTAATAGTATAGGGAAAACGACGATTACGGTATATAGAAACGGAGGATAAGTGGAATTTAAAGGGCGAGAACACTAAAATATTGTAGAAGACAAGGGTTACCAAAATTGTTAGTAAAATTACAGTAGGGTTAAACAAATGGTGGGATAAAGAAAACAATAGTTTTTACACTTAACGTAGGAAATAAAGCGGGTAGAGTAATTCATCAGGAGTACTACAACTTAAGAATATATGATTTGGGTTAGCATAAAGTGTGACAAAACTGGAAGGGCTTTTAAGTAATGTTACAATAACACGCATTTTAAATTACTGACAAATAAATAAACAGGATTGTTGTAAACAAAGATAAAAGAAGTAGAGGAAAGGCTGAAAGGGAAAGCTGGTCTTAATAGAATATAATGCTTAAATGTAAATGTTGGGGTGTAAATGAAACACATTAAAGAAAAATTGAAATGTCAGTTGTAGTTTAGTTTTAATTATTTTTTTAAAAATTTGTAATGTTGAACTAAACGTTAAAGCAGCAATTTGCAAAAACCTGTAAGGTATGCAAAGAAATAAAGCATTATTATTGTTAAACTAATGAAGTGCTCTGTATGCAATTTTGTTAAAAATATTCAAGATAAAATAGTGCTAATTTAGAAAGTCTGCAAACATGAGATAAAGGGCAAATATTGACCTACAAAAGCAATAAGATTTAAAAGATAGGATTGATTTTGAAGAAGTGAGTTGAAGGTAGTAGCGCTCCCCTTGAATTTATTTTAACAAAATACTACCCCATTATTTGTAGTACCTATTCCAGTAACTCGGTAAATCCTCTATTCTTCTTATGAAGAAACAGATGCGACGAAGCACGTTACGAGATAAGAATTTACAAAATGGTGTTTTCTTAATCTTATTTAAACATGGATTTTCATCAAGTAAATTTCAAAACCATTCAGCATTCTGCACATTTAAAAAAATAAATATACTGATGCCCTTCAAATTTTATAAAAATGCAGAACAATCGACATAAAAATTAAACAAAAACAAGCTGTAAGGTAAGAAGTGTTAATAATCATATAGCACACACAAATAAACATAAAAAGTAAAGAACCACATTTAATGTGTAGCATTTAATTTTAAATCAATATAAACCTTCGATATCTTATAAAAGGTAACCTAATAAGTACATTTTAAATGGAAAACAAAATGAAATTGATAATATATCTACAAATATATTTCCTGAAAGGTAAAAAGATCTCATCTTCTCCATAAGTCATGGACAAGACAAAATTTCTTCTTTTCCTTTTCAGTAAATATATTAATTGACAATTATATTCATAAAAATGTACAAACAATAATGCAATAAAAAGTTTTATATTTTTCAAACATCTTTATTTATAAAAATTTTAGCCAACACTCACCAACATCTACCTGGTCCTTAATATCTGTTCTAATCTGTTGCATATCATCTCCTTTAGAACAACCTACAGGAACTATCCTTTGAATATTTTGACCGATGCTCTTCCTATATTTTATCTGAAAGTTCAATTTTTGCCAAAGCTCCAAATAATTGGCATATTTAAACTGCCATCGAGATAAATGTCTTTGCTCATGAAGGACTTTACTCAAATAAGTCCTAAAACATCTCTTACAAAACAAGCAATTAAAGGGACATGGTGTTTTATGTAATATAAGATTATGTTTAAACAATTGCGACTGAAACCTAAATGTATCTGAACATTTGGGGCAGTTAAAAGGCTTTAAATGAGAAGAATGTGAGAATGTTTGCAGGGAGGCTTCTCTGTTTTCATTTCCTGAAAAATCTAAGCATCGTTTACGGAAACCATAGGCAACATTCATATCCGAAATGCAAACACTACATATGAACACCTTACTGCTCCATTTCTAAAATCAAAGGTATTATTAATAAGCTGATTAATAATATCGCAATTTTACTTTTTCTGGGACGCAAAATCTAAGCTTCTTATTCATCTGTTTGCTACCTGAACCTACTTTTGATTCATTCAAACAAATCGTACATCTGCTGGTGTTTCTTGCTGGAACTTCACCCATGCTACTCGAAAATAAAATCGAAGATGTTATTTAGTATTCAAATTCTGTTAATATATAACAAATTTTGTTTGAAAAAAACGTTTAGAATTCTTAACACCTATGAATCACTGAACAGGCACATCAATATTAAATAAATTCAATGCAGATACTACACAGGAACATATTGTTTATTTAAGTTAGTTTTAATACAAATTACTTACATTTCGACGACTATAAAGGAAAGGACGCCGATACTACACCCAACTACAACTTTATTCGCATTTAAAATGGCCGACGATGGATAACATAGATAGATATAATGGCCGACCATAGATTAATGGCCGACACAGAACAAACCATAGACATACATTAAAACAAATGGATCAAACGTTCTAATTGGACGTTGGATGATTTCAAAACCACTTTCGCGGGAAGTGGTTAAATACCACCACGTTCGGTTTAATAAATTTTATTGTACTACTAGTATTTATCTTGAATAACATTAAGAATAATAACTTTTAAATTTTCAAATTTGATTATTTCAGTAAACAATCAGATATTTTTTTACGAAAGAAAAGAAAAAGTTGCATATGCATCATAGGTAAAAACAACCAACTTCAGATCTTGCCAATCAAAATCATAACTTTTTCTTTGTGATTCTCGTTTACGATACGATATTTGTGTTTTATCGTGGTTGTTGTCTGTTTATGTGCTAATTTTTAAACGATAATGCCTGTTATTTCTATTCGTTTTTATTTTTTATCGTGAACTGGAGACTTCATTGTGAAATTAATTGTATAAAGTTCATGGTATGTGTATGCATATGTATGCATTTGGGTGTGAAAGTCATATTTGTATATTAGATAAAAACAAAATATGGAAGTCTAAAATACACATTCACATTACTGTCCCATAGCAATGAATGTCTAAACTAAACGTCTTAAATTTTGGTTTCAGTGAATGTATAATTACAAAAATTTTGAGCACTTGTGTTTTTCAATTAAGTAAGTGTTTTATATATATATATATACATATATATATTCCTAATCCATAGTAAGAAATGAGGTTAGTGTGTAATGTTTTCTATGGTTCTAATGTAACCATTGAAAACTAATATTCCAAACACCATAGATTATTGATATACTGAAAACTATAATCTCAATTCCAACGTGGGTTGGAACACAAAAATGTATAATCGAATGTATTTTCAATCTAAATTCCACTTTTTATGCGGGTGATGCCAGGGGGCATCCATTAATTATATGAGCTCAAAAAAGAGAATTGGAGGGGGTCGCCTAGCAAAATCTCATTTAATGGAGTAGGAGAGTCACTAAAGATCTCACGTTAACTTTTTAAAATAGTATAATTATTATTACAAAAAGATAATAAAAAAATAAGTGTTTTTTACGTCTTTGGGTGTCCTGTTTTGCCCGGAGTGAATCTCACGGAAGGGAGTGGGGGGGAGGGTTCTGCCACATTTTACCAGATCTCGTCAAGAGGGTGGGAGGAGTTAAAAAGAAATTAAAAATAAAAAACATTCACGTAATTAACCGATGTCTCCTTAAGTTCATAAGCACAATTATTTTTAAATCCTCACAGGTATTACGAAATTTCTTGGAAAAATCTATCTATCTAAACATCCGCGAAAAAGGAGGCTTAAAGAAGCTGAATGTAAGATTCTGAAACAATTAACTTTCTGCTACGTAATAAACAAATCGTTCACCTTTTTTTTGCCAGTGTGACACAAAAAAATGATTAAAATGAAAAACATCAAAGCGATATTTCGTAGAGGGCCATCGCAAACTTCCTCGAAAAACGAAACTTCTGTTCAGCAGTTATCAGCTCATTCAACACAGGACGATTTATCTCGTTCTTCTTCCACAAATAATCTCAATTCACTCGATTCAAGAAGAACTGCAGCGGTCATAAGATCTAAGAAGTCTCTCTCCAAAGAAAAATTGGAGAGATTTAACGACAGAGAAAATGACACCAGCGGTAAGATTAGTTATTATTAATTAATTGCTAATCGTAGATAGAAAAACCTCAATTAATAAATTAATCTAGGTTTAAGCAGTAGCCGGTCTGAACCTGAGGTAGAAGTTGCTGCAATTGATGAAGTTACTATTTGCGAAATCGAACAATTGAGATATCAATTGAAGGACATGGCAATAGAAAAGTCAGAACTCACATTAGAACTGGCTGAAAGTAAGAATCAGTTGCAATTATTGAAAAACGAAGTTATTAAGTTAAAGGTAGACTTCTTAGTTTTTTTTATCAAGAACATAATTGTCATAAAATTTTATACTTCTTTATTGCAGACGTTTCAAGACCAATCCAATGTACATATTCAGCAATTAAATGAAGAAAACGTAGCCCTTCGAAATAGACTTAGGGACGTTGCTCATTCCCCTTTGTCAGACAATGAGAAACAGATGCTTTTGGAAAGTCACAGACACAGTTCAGCACCTGCTTCCATTGCCACAAATGTATGTTTTATACACTAGTTTCATATTTGGCACTTGAAGTATGTATGTAAGTATCTTTTCCTTAGGTGGTTGACGAGAACGCGACCGCTGGAGACGTGACCACATGTACCACTCCAGAATGGGACAAATATTCGAGCAGTAACGTGAGCGAAGTATCTGTTGCCTGTTTACAAGATAAAATTAACCAAATGCAAGAGACTCATTACAGTACTAACGAGGAGTTGCAAGCTACTCTGCAAGAGTTGACTGATTTACAGAGGCAACTGACAGAACTTCAACAGGACAACGAGCGACTGTTGGACGAGAAAAATTTAATGTTCGATTCGTTATGTCGCCAAACTGAACGTCTGAACAATGCACGGACCGAAGTCGAATCGCTAAGACAACTTCTTTGCATAGATAAGGAAAACATCCCCGATCAGTTCGAGAGTATTGTCGATAGGGAGCAAAAGTTGGTAGATCTCCTTAAAAAAGGGCAACAAGTTAGTTGAAGGCTGTTTTATTTTATAAACAAAGTTACGTGATGAATACCACGCATTTTAGGAACGCGAAACGTTATTAGTAAAGTTGGAGCAATTGAATAACGAAGTGCAGGAGTTACGAACCCTTAATCATTCCCAAATACAGACGATAGAGCAACTAACAGAGCGGGTGCGAACGCTCGAGAGCAGCTTAGATGCGAAACATGCAGAGCATCGACAACTCGATAAGGAATTGGCAATGGTAAAGGATCTATGTAACGTTCGACAAATTGAAATCGATAGACTGACCGGATTACTCGACAACGCAAAAACTAAGGTCACAAACAATATTATAAAAAATAAAGTCAGTATCTAATTCTGTTTGATTGTAGATCGGCGAAATAGAGCAGGAGAGGGCGCTCAACGACAAATCGGAATTGGATGAACTATTGGATAATGTGCGCAAAGAAAAGGATACGTTGGAGTGCGAAGTAGCTAATCTTAAGGAACAAGTGGCATATAGCAAAAACGAATCGGAAAAACTTAGAGAACAAGTATCTATTCTACAAGAAGAGTGTAAGGTAAAGAAGGACACATGTTTGTGTTAATGTGGATTGATGTAATCTTATCGTTTAAGGTTTCAAGAAACAACGCTAAGTGTACCCAAGCTGAACTCGAATATAAATGCGAATTATTAACTTTGGAGAAAAATAATCTTACCGATCAACTGCATCAACTTCAGGAAGCCGCTAACGAGCTTCAAGTAAGTTATTGAGTTTCGGGTTTGATAAACACGTATTAGGTACCTAATTGTTTTATTAAATTCATTATTCTTAGGTGCAAGCGCAATGCCACGTAGAAGACAAACGTCAGTTATCATCGGTTTTGTCGGAGACTCAAAGAAATCTTAGCGAAACAGAAAAACGGAATGCTGATCTTGAAAACGAAATTGAGGAACTAAAGAGGATGAGACGGGAGGAGGTTGGAACGTTTTCCTTTTATTCTTCGACTGCAGATTTATCGTCGTTTGTCATTTCTCTTCTTACAGAACGAAGAGTGGGAGAAATTTCAAAACGATCTTCTCACGTCGGTGCGTGTGGCGAACGATTTTAAGAGCGAAGCTCAACAGGAATTGCAAAAGATGATAATGGAGAATAAATCACACAGAGAAAGGGTTCGACAGTTGGAAGCTCAACTAGACAAACTGAAAGGTAAACTAAAAAATCTACAATGCCTGATTATTTATTTATTTATTTATATAAACTACACGATAACTATCTTTTTGACAAGAGGTGCGGGTGAGTATAACTAATCTCTTTTCAAAAATATAGGTATTACCACTCGAGAAGATTCTACATATATTAACACGGTAAAAAACGACGACTTTGTCATCTTACCACCGCCAAGTTTTTCCGACAATGACGGAAAGAGCAGTTCCGCTAATCCTGATACTATTTTTTTAAAAACATCCGGTTTTATTAAGAGTCTTAAGGAAAAACCACTTTTTTATAAAAAATACTTCCCGATGGATAAAAAGAAATTTTTAACTACGGAAATTATATCAAATGAGGATGACCATAATAGCAATCGTAGGTGTAGCGCAGGTGAACTTTTTACAAGTACAAGAAATATTTGTAAACCGATTAGTAATGAACTTAAAAAATCTAAAAGTTACGATACCAATTTGAACGATATTATACAAGAAAACGAACTTTTAAAACAAAAAAAATCGAAAAAGAAGTTTAACTTTTTGAAGAAGTCGTCCGCAAAAAATCGAAACTTGGCAATAAGCCTGCCAACGATAAATTCGGTTCTATTGAATCCAAAACTGGCAGCTTATTTACGCGACAACAGTACAGAAAATGTTGTCTTACGAGATAAGAGATGTTGTAGTGAGTCTGAATTAATTCATTTCGCCGAAGAGGAAGATAAAAATAAAGATGCCTCTTTTAACGACAGTAATAAAAAAACCATTGAAACTGAACAAAACCCCCTCCTTCATTGGGTATTTTTTGATTCCGATTTAAATCTAAAAACTTTAGCTAAGAGAGAGAATTGCTTTCGCAGCAGTTTCATCGTTTTGCACCAAACTGCCATTCTTTTTGAATGCAAAATAAAGCCCTACATTCAAATCATACACGATTTAATGGAAGAAATCCCTTGTTATTGTCAGGCTACAATTTTTCCTTCCTGCCATTCAGTAGTAGAGCTGCATGTAATAAATTTAACTACTGCTTGCTTTTTTCATATGGACGAAATAGAAATAGAAAAACAAGAAGAAACTATAACGTTCACTTCACCAAGAGTAACATTAAAAGAGCAAGTGAGGACTAAATTAACTGAAGAAGAGCTTCAGATTCTCGAAAAATTACACTCCAACCAACGCTTTATAAGACCAATATCTGACATAAACGAGGATGATTTGAAAATAATCGAGTACGCAAAAGCCCGATATTCATCTAATTTGGAAACTAAAGATGATTATTTTGAACATGGGCCAATTTACGAAAATTTGGGAAGTTTAAGTTTAGCGACTGCTAGAGGATCACGCCAAGGTGTAGAGTATAAAAAACCTCCCGTACCAGTTCCGAGAAGTAGTACGTTTAAATTGGATAATAATAAAAATGAAACAATAAAAGGGGAAGGTAATGTTCAAAAAGAGGACGCACTTGAAGCATACATTGAAAGGAAGAAGTCAGAAATTCGTTGTGTTAATTCTCGAAGATTTAATGCACAAATAAGAAACTCGAAATCGGATTTGGATTTAAATAATCGACAAAGTTTCGAGAAAGCCAAGTCGCTTTTTGAAAGCATTTCTCGTAAATAGATTATGATTATTTCAATAAGTTCCATTTTTATTATGTACCCATATCACTTGTTATTCACGAATATGGTAGTTTAATATAAATATAATATGATAAATAATTATTAGAGAGACATTTACTGTACCATACATATGTAGGTACTTTTATATGAAAATGTATACATGCAAATAATGTTATCAATTATTAAAAAATAAATGTCGAATAATTTGAAAAACGAAAGGGGCAAGGTAATTTTTTAACCGTTGTGTTTTGTCTGCCGCATATTAACTTTGTTCGTTTATTTGTAGAATGTCTTAATGTTTTCATAAAGCTTGTCATAGGGATAACAAATTGGCGGTATGGTGGTATTCTTTCTTAAATAAATGTATTGTGATTGTACTTTTTTTTCTTAAATGTATGTCTAGCAGTGCTTTCTGTTGTTTGTTGATAAGTAAACTTAAACTTCCAGTAACGAACGAATCTTTACGACCGAACTCGTTTCCGGGTGACGATTTATCGTCGACAAAGCAAAAAGTGATCCTTAATCGCCAAAATAGTCGACAGTCCGTTAAATCATTGATCGAAAGCATCGAAAATGCCGGAAAGCCTGTAATTAAATCTAGTGAGTACATCATGACTATTGTAACTTTAAAGGATTATTTTTACTTAGTAAATTTCGTAGGTTTCAGTACTAATTCACGAAGCAGTTCGGACTCTTCTTTGAATTCGTTAAGTGCGGATGCGCATACCCCTTCTAGTCCAGCCCCGTTGAGTGCCACGTCCTCGATTTTGTCACCCAGCTCAAATTTAAAAATGAGCAACGAATGGAACGATTCAAAAACCCAATTGAAGGAACAACAAACGAGAGACTGGTCTAAAACCATAATTACCGCCGGTACGTTGTTTTAAATTATTTTATTTTCGTTTTTTTTTTCTTTCTCCTTTTGTTTTTTGTTCTAATTAGTTGATATCCGTTTTGTATAGGAGACTTGGCAAAAAACGGTATAAATGGGAAAACAGAGGAAAGTTTAAGGGAAACAATTTTACAGACCGCTAAAGAGATTGATTTTTCAAGGCGCAATAGTTACTCAGATTTGTGTATGTTTCCGTATAAAATGAAGGAAATTTTTTTATTCCTTTGTATTGTTTCAGGCGAAAGAAAGGACCCGTTGAATAGTCTGGTGAAGAACGGCGGTTCGAAACGTAATGCACTGCTCAAATGGTGCCAAAATAAAACAATCGGCTATAGAAACATTGATATTACAAACTTCAGCAGTTCGTGGAACGATGGTTTGGCGTTTTGTGCAATTATGCACACTTATTTACCCGATAAGGTACCCTACGATACACTGGCACCCAACGAAAAGAAACGAAACTTCTCGATTGCTTTCGCAGCTGCCGAAAGTGTTGGCATACCAACTACATTGGTAAGAAAAAATAGTTAGTTATAATTCATCTGTTGTTACTTACTGTTTCAGAATATAAACGACATGATTCAATTAGAAAGACCGGACTGGCAACAAGTGATGGCTTANCAAAATTTCCATCTATGTAATGTCACATTATTAGTTTTATAAGCAATAACTTCTAAAACCTGAATACAAAAAGTTACGACATTTGAACATTGTGAAATTCCACAAAGCAAAACAATTTCATGTTTGGATCTCCGTAAAACGTCCAATAAATGAATTATTTGTTTTTCGAATTAAGCTATAAACTGAAAGATATTCCATTTATTATTATATTTTTTCACAAACGAATATTTTCCATCGTTATATATCCTAAACGAATTAAGTAGGTATGATAAAATTATAGTTGCGATGATGTAACGATTTTAAAAATAATTTCTCTTTTCGAAATACACAAAATATTTTTGTAAACACTTTACATGTTATATGAGGTATTTTGTACAAAATCAGACCATTAAAAGACTGCAGTAGCTATTTATGCAAAATAACTTTGTAACAAATTGTGCACCCAGAATAAATAAAAAATTAAGTAACCAAACAACTTAAGTTATTAACAGTTTTGAAGATGATAAGACTATTTATTCTTGGCTTAATACTTATAGTTGTATTGTAATTGCTTTGCTTTATCGTCAGAACCAGTTACTCGAGCACAGTCAATTGTACATGTATTTCAAAAACCTTCTACATAGGATCTATTAAATGTTTTGTTTTTCTTTGCAAATAAAAAGTTTTGAATATAATTTTGTTTTCTGTTTCAATCGTTACCGTGGGAAAATTTCGAAAAAATTTTTATACACGGAAGTGTATGTTGATTAGAAATTATTTAACGATTAATGAAAAAACATTTGTTTAAATTTTTAGCATTAAAAAGCAAAAAGATTTATTTTTTTTGTTAGCTGTTAAATAGGCAAAGCTGCGGCTTTGTAGAGCTTATAAATGATTCAAATTTAAATAGAATTAACTCGAACATGGACATGGAGCTGCCCTCTGTGAAAAGAATCCGCACGTGCCCTATTAATTTAGTACACTAAGCAGCTCGTTATTGCAGAAAATCTGCTTGTTACTCTGTGGACCTTCATCGAAACATTTGGTTCCTGCATAAAATTACAGATGCCACTAGACGTACAAAATGATCTTTTATGCAATTAAAATAACTTTTTAAATACATATGGTACAATAATAAAGTTTTTAGAAATCAACCGATACTTGAAAACAATGAGAAATCTTTACATAACTAAACGATACTTTAGCAAATTTTGAAAAATTTTCTAAATAATAAATAACATCAAAATCGAAATTCAAAAATGTTACTTTAATAGATGTACCTATTGTAAGTACTTGGCATTTTAGTATCGGTCTTCTGCTGAGCTTCTGCCTCAGCCTGAACGTCAGCATCAGCATATCGTGTCAGCCTCGGTGCCGCCAAGTCGCGTATATATATAGCCAAGTAGCCGCAAGTTTTATTCTTTAGGGATCGGTCTCACTGGGTGGCAGTTACGTTCGGCACTCTTTGACTACCGCATTAAATTTGTTTCAACTATAATAGGATACCTACACGTGCAAATTTTGTATGTAGATAATGTGTAAGGGTTTCTTCTACCCTTAGTTTGACATGCGTAGGGACTAATAATTCGAGCTGTATATTTTTTAAAATCTGATAAGACACCTGGAAGTTGCGAATGTGTCATAGCCCTTTCGTGAAAAAAAAAAATGAAGAAATTTCAATTTTTAATTTTAAAAAATTGAAACATGGAAAATTTTAATAGGACAATGGTTTTCGATCAAGGGTCATTAACGTGTTTTTTTTTTTTTTAATTCAGCCTGATTACATGAGATTAACATCCGCTATACCGCAGGTGCAGATTTCGTAATAATAATCTAATGTTGGTATAGATGATTACAGTCATCAAAAATTGAGCTTACCCACCGCGCTAGCCTATAACTAACTTTATTACCAAGGTACCTGATTCATTTTTCCAACGCGGACATATGAAAAATGGAACAAAGTCAAAAATTTTAATTAGATATCTACGGCAAAGGATTCAAGAAGATTAGATATTTATGTATTTTTGCGACCTAATTACTACAATTTATTAACGTAACAATTTAGGGAATCTTTCTCACACCCGACGCTTGTGCAAAATCGCCTTTTGCCTCCACCAAGTGCCCAGTATCAAGTGAATTCGCAGGCTGTGTGGTTCGGTGCGTCACGATTATATCACAATATTCTTTATGTTATTCATCTAGGCCGCAAGAGGCGAGGTGCACTCTACCTAGCGCTAATTGGTGTGCTTTTATTTCTCGATCGATGTTTTCCATTGAAAAATTATATCAAAAAATGATAGTTTCAACTAGAAGGTTACCTGTATAGTTACATGTGGGTATACATTTGCACAACACCTGATTCATTTCATCAGGAGCCGCCACTAAAATAGAATATGTTGAACCCATTGATGGGATGCGTAACTCAGTGGCAGCTCGTGATGAAATGGATCGGGTGATGTGTAAACGTTTACTCACCTATCCTATCTTTGGAAATGTAGTTCAGACCCTAACCAAACCAAACTGTAGATAAGTGTTGAAGAAGTATTTTTACCGTGTACGAATTAAACGTTTCCAAGGGTAGGTTTTCGTCCAATAAAGGAGTCAGCTAGCTCATTCATAAGGTGCGCAATTATGCCTCCTAATGTCCCGGGGTCTTTTAAAACGGTTAAATTTATTACATAATTCGAACTCGTTGACAATTTGATGATAGCCACCTCTGCAATAAGAATATATAGAATAATTGGAACCGTGGAAATTGCCCAGCGACACACCTTCGCACTAACGACCGATGACGCTCACGGTGGCAGGATAACACCCATTACATAACGAATAATAACCTACAGTACCTATATCGCCTTTCTCGCCTACTACTCTACGGTTTACAACATGTCTACTACAAAATTTCCATCTATGTAATGTCACATTATTAGTTTTATAAGCAATAACTTCTAAAACCTGAATACAAAAAGTTACGACATTTGAACATTGTGAAATTCCACAAAGCAAAACAATTTCATGTTTGGATCTCCGTAAAACGTCCAATAAATGAATAATATTATTAGTCTCAAAAAAATAAAATAAAATGCCTAAAGGTTCAAACAACGGCTCTCAATCGTCATTTATATTGTGATCCGGCTGTGGCGCCCGTCTGGCATTTGTTTTAACCACTGACACGCCCTTTAGCCCCCCATTATCATAACTAACTGATGAGCTTGCTAGTGCATACCGGTCCAGGGCCGTAATTGTTACTTTTCTAAATCCTACCAAGTGAGAGATTTAGTGTGTCTAATTATTAAAGTTGAAACATGACTGAAACTGACAACCTCGATGATAACTAAACTTATAATTCCTTAAGCTGACCGAACCATTGACCTTTATAAACAATGAATAAATTGGGAATATTTCCAGATAATAAATAGCCTAACAAAAAGATTTTTACTATATATAAGTAGGTACACGAAAGTAATTCTAAGTTTGTGTTCCTAATACCCGTTGTACATTTACACACACAAACACATATATATATATATATATAGATATATGTATTTATGTTTGATACATGGACGTGTATATTTGTCAAAAGAATAAGGACGACTTGGTTGCCTTTTGTTTCGTGTTAGTGCACAATATGCAAATGATATACGTATATATTTACTGCCGTATCATTTTTATGAATGGAACACTTCTAAAGCAGGTTACTGGACGGACGCTTTTATATTAAGGTCTTTTAAGGACGAGAGTCGTTCGCGAACGACGATAAGCCATCTAGTTCACGTTGTCTCCGTGATAGCAGTCCGAGAGATCGGCCACGGAGTTCAAGAATATAAAAAATAATAATATTCGTGGGAGCAGAACGTGATGCTGCAAGACGAATTTTGATGAGAACAAACAAAAACGAAACCGTAGAGACGCGACAAACTCACGTAATAACATTCATCTAGCTATTATATTGCACTATCCACATATGTACCTATAGGTGTACCTATGTGTACTTATTTTAAAATGACGAACAAGTTGTATCAGGTTGTACAGAAACGAAAATTGTTGATTTAGTCTGGTTGGTATTTTTACGAAAAACAATTGTAATATTGAGGCGCCCTGTATATGGCAAAAATGTTGGCGATCAATAAGCAAACAATAACGGCCTACTATGATACGGGGACCCTCGTTGATAATACGGATGAGAGAAAGACCTCCCAGATTGAATTATGGCCAAAGCAACCCATAATTATCGCAGACACAGCCTCCTCTCATCGGCCCCGTGAGCACCTTGTTAGCAAAATCATCAGTTGTCAGAGGTACCAACGCTATTATGCCAATATCCCGAGGCTTCGCCAGGTCAATCCTGGACTGTACCATGACCGTACGCTACATTATAATCAAGTACCATCCTATCCCACAAAACTTGCTCATTTCTACAAAGCCTAACAGAGTAAATCTTCTAAACCTGGTTCCGTGATCGTAACGAATCGATTATTAAGCGGCGGCGAAGCATTTAGATACCGATCGGGGGTGGGGGGTATGTCGAGGATTTTACAATTACTGCCATAAGTTGCCATTGTATCAACTCCTTTAGTGAAAAATCTAACTAAATTTTCAACTTAAGTGTTATCATTTGGAACGGAAGCAATCGTTTGGGGATATCTGAAACTTATTAATAGATAATTAAGGAGCACAGTTAGTTCGTTTGATACGGTACATATACAATCTGCGTTGTCCGAGCAAAGCATTTAAGGTCGTTCATGCATTAACATTGGCCGCCGCTTATGTAGTTGTAATTATGAATTGTTTCGCGTTCATTCAAGGTCTGTCGCAATCGTTAATAAAAAATAACAAAGAAATAGTGCCTTATCTGTCTGTAAGTTATACGGAAGAAATCGACGGTTATATTATAACAGAAACAAAATCTTTAGTGAATCCTTTATTTTTTGTTTCTTTATTATAAAGTTGGTAAATTAGAGAATTTTTCAAAAAAAGAAAACAATGCCCTTCTCGTAAGGATATTCAACTAGCTATTGGAAATTTCTCACGCGACTGGGGTTAATCAGGGTATTTATTCCCTG